GTCTAGGACTTTGACAACTTAGCGAGTAATTGAAGAAAGTTGTTTATCTGCCTGAGAAATCTGCTGGCCTCAAACTAAGAAAGGTTCGAGCTCTAAATTTATGAAAACAGAAAATTAGCCAATTGGCAAATTAAGTAACTTTTGTTATTCAACTTCCAGGCACTGTATGGCCCGATGGCAACTTGGTTGGAGTTTCCTTTTGAATGTAGTCCCAGGGAATTGGAAGTGGTAAGAACTGTTCATTTTGCAACGTTAAGTGAAAAGGATTTCTCTATAGCTTACAAAGATTAAATTTGACATGGTTCTCAGAGGTTACGGATGCAACTTCTGCATCACTAAAAAAAAAAAAAAAAAAAACCTTGATCAGTGACAAATTTTAAGCTTTTCTTTCCAAAGGGAAATAGCTTTAGTCAACGCTTGCCTCATATCGCCATCTCGAAATGACAGACAGAAGGCAAATGCCGGCCAAAGCTACAGAGAAATGCCCTGAAACAACCCGGAATCGTGTACAGTTCTTGTGGTTCTAGACTATTATCTTTATCGTTCCACTTTCTTTACAACGGATTATTTGGACGAATGCATGCTATGAAAAAGTTGTCTTCTATTTTCCAAAATGTTTGCATGTGTACGATATTTTGACTCTTTGAGTATGTTCATGTGTGTCCTATTAATGAAAAGAAACTGAACATCTTGAAATAGTCTCTCAGTGTTCATTGGGCGCTAAGTTTTTCAACCGAAACTGGGTCATTTTCATCATCTCTCGTAGACTCCTTCGCAGTTGTTGTTTGGACTCGTCACGCAACGTGCTCTCTCCCCTGTCAAGAGTGCGGTGCGTGACGTAACCAAACAACGTATTTAACGGCTGCGTAGGGGACTATCGCAAGTTTGGACTTTCGTTCGTACAGGGGTGGGGGTGAGGGTTGGGAATATGTGTTTATTCTCAAAATTAAAAGTCGCTACCTAAATCGTTTCTCCCTACAGTCATGGACTAAGCTTGTAGAGACCCAGGACAACTACAACAAATCCCTGAGAATTGAGCTTACCAGGTAAGATACGTGTTGTCACTCGTTAGCAGTTAATCAGACTGAGTCTTGTTTAGATGATATGGGCCTAAGGCTGTCTTCTTAGGTTACTGAAGGCGTGGCTTGGGATGTCCAACTTTTTAAAAAGGCAGGGACGAAACTTGGTTGCCTGTCGCATTCGGGCTGTGATAGAACACAGCCAAAGCTTTAGTCTTTAAATCGAATGAAAGTGCAAAATGTAATGATTTATAAAGAACAAGTCGCCCACAATAATCCGGGATGACAAAAGTATATTTCTTGAACAACCATTGTGTTGTCTTTTTCGTGTGGAGGGTATTTACGATTAATAGGACTACACAATCCCCCTTGATATGCATCTCCACGAAAATGCTTGTGGTCGGCTGTCGTATTTTTTTCCAAATGCACCCACTAATCACAGGCGGCTTTGAGGCACATGCAAAACTATGAAATCACTGTAGAGAGTTTCTTTAGCTCAATCTCGGAGGATTCTTAATCGATGGATGAAATGTTCCCATATCTATAGGTAACCTTTGATTTCCCTCAAACTCCCAAACAATAGAATTTGGTCTAATATCGAGATATCACGTGGAAGCTGATAATCCTCTTTGTTCTCATCTCCTGTCTGCATGATAATGCATGATGTATGTAAAGGATTGAGTTTCGAATACCAATTTTTTTCCTCCTGGCCGCATGGAGGATCTTACGCCTATGCTTAAATCTAAACGTCTTTCAGGCTTGAGCAGATGCATCAAGTGGCAGAAAAAATCCAAAAGGAGGTCAGTACCAAACATAGCAGCTATTTTCTTTTTATAAAGGAAAAGCTACCCTCAAGTGTCTTTGCAACTATATACAGTTCGGAATTGTCTTTTTTTTTTTTGTACAAAACAAGTTAAAAAATATGTTTGAATCAAGGAGTCATGATAAGTTATTCAGTTGTGTTTTAAAAATTATGGCATCGTGAACCTTTCCTTGACTTTATGAATTAAAAAGTCAAGTTTGCAGTTAAAAAGCTAGTAATAAATCCTTTCCTGTGTTCCTCTCTATCGTCAGGCAACTCTTGTTGATGCTTCACTAGATGACATTGAAGAAAGAATCAAATCAGTAAGTGCAGAAGTAGCGGCTATCTATGTTGAAAATTACTAAGATACTAGGAGCGCCCTGATTGGTCAAAACGTATCGTTTATTGCACCGGTAAACCTGATTGGCCAAAACGTATCGTTTATTGCGTTGGTAAAACCTATCGGAAATTGAAGTCACAAAATTGAAGTTACAAACTTTTCTCGCGTTCTCCCAACATCACGCGTAGCGGGGGTTATTACGCCGGTAAACCGATAGAAAGTGTGGTCTATTACTTGAATAATTCACACCAAATTTCTGTTCTCTTTCGCTTGTTGGCATGCTATAAAAATATTTTACTGATTGAGACGTCTCTCCTTTTTATTTTGTCCCTCACAGGAAGAGGAAGTCGGCGATACAATTGATAGCGAGACACGCCGAAAGCATTTCTACCAAATTGAAAAGTCCCTTGTGGTAAGCGCCCGGCTTTAAGTTGTCGATTTGCTACATAGGCCCTTGCACAGGCCCTTACACAGGCCCTTGCACAGGCCCTTGCACAGGCCCTTGCACAGGCCCTTGCACAGGCCCTTGCACAGGCCCTTACACAGGCCCTTACACAGGCCCTTACACAGGCCCTTACACAGGCTACATTTTGCTAACTCTAGCAAACAGAGGGTGGGCGTTTGGATAGCGGGGCTACAATTGTTCCAAGGAAAAGAGGTTTTAATTTATTTAATATAAAAAAGCAGTAATTTTCTTGCAGTATTTTGTTAGGGTCTGGATTGACCATTTCTTTTCGTTCCTGTAGATGTTTGAGTCCAGTATTAAGCACATGTTATCTGGTGTGGACATTCTTGTCGCTGGCCGCTACTCTAGAGCTGATGAAATGAGAATTAAGTGAGTCAAGGAAACTTTTTACTGAGTCATTCGCGCATTTAATTTAAAAGAAGAGTAACGACTTACGGTATGTTGAATGGAATTTAGACAATGTATGGCCAAAATATTTGTAACTGAATAACAGTACAAACATTTTCACGGATACAAGGTGACAACATCATCCTTACTTAATTCTGTGGAAGACACAGTGACCTGGGCCAAGTTGTTCGTATGGTGGATAGCGCTATCCAACGGATAAATCGCCACCCGGTGGATATACGTTAACAAAACGCGTTGCGCTATCCATCGGATAGAGATTTATCTAGTCTGCAGTGCCGGCGTATTTTTCCTTCCCCTCCTTCTCCCCCGTTGCCCATTTTTCCACTTAACACCTACTCCCTCGGCAAATATTTCCTCACCCTAATCCTCCACAGTTACCAAATCTAAGATGGCGGCCTGATACGAAAATGTGCACTCGTGCGCCCAAAATACGCCGGCACTGCAGGCTAAGATTTATCCAGTGGGTAGCGTTATCTAGCCTTCACACCACCTGGGCCTGATGGGTAACGTGATGTTTCCGGATCATAAGGTCCGGCTTTGAGTCCAAAGTGAGTCTTGTAGAGACTTCAGGGTAAGACAGGGTAAGACTCTAAATCCCAGTCACTCTCCACCCACTTGTATGAACTGGTAGCGGTGAATTGTTGACCACTGAGAGTGACTAGCAGTTAATTTCTCCTTACAATATCAGCCCTGAATCAACTTTTAAGATTACGAGAATACAGGAAATGATCACCAACTGAAGAAGCTTTTCATTGTTGGACAAATTCTCCTAGTCAGCCCTAAGGAAATGTATGGGGGACAGTATGGAGAATATGCATACTGATGTTAGGGTGGAAAGGGTTAAAGAAACCTAACCAAGTGCTGGGGTAAATTACTATGCGCTGAAGGAGTGACAGTCTTCCTGGTCTTTTGAGGCTATAGAAACTGGTTAAACAGGCTCCAGCGGTGTAAGCCACTTGGCTCGTGTATGGACACAAGTTTTTTTACGCGCATGTTTTTCCTTCCTCGTAGAATTCAGTCCATTGAAAGGCGCTGGTCTGAGATGAAGGATCGATTGGAAGCTCGTTCCACAAAAGTACTCACTTACCAGACTTTCAGCACGACCGACGGCAAGAAAATGAAACTGGAATTACCTGTGGAGAAAACTGTGGTGTCTACAGAGGAAACAACGCCCAGCATAGAAGACTTTGAAGAGGTTACGACAAGAAGAAAGGTCATCACCATCACAAAGAGGACTTACCGCTCCTCAGGGGGTACCCCCACAGAAACAAGGACAACTGTTGCTCGGATCATGTCCGCAGAGGGGTTAAATGACGGTAAGAAAGAAGTAAAACTGTGGGGTTTGTTTAAAAAACTTGTGCTGTCCTCTTATTGGATCGGATATTTTCAGCGCTTGAATTCACTTTTTTGTATTTTGATTGGTTCTTCTTGATTTACTTTCTTTAACCCCAAAGAGTGACTGCCGCTAATTTCTTTTTTTAAGAGAATGAAGGAGATGACCGTAAGCTTAAGTAGCTCTTGACTGTTTGACAAATTCTCCTTGTTAATTCCAGACGGAATATATAGGGAAAAGTATGGAGAATATGCATACTGATGTTTGGAGAATGTGCATACTGATGTTTGGTTGTAAAGGGTTCCCCGATCGCTTGGATTACTTTTGATCTGTCTTGACAACAGTCAATCAAAAATCGTCCTGTAATTAATTATCAACGCAAGCCAGTGGTCTTATGGTGCCTAAACTACGGACTAAATAATTGTTTTTAGTTTGATTCTACCAGAAAATGTTTTTCACCTTAGACGGAAGCGACAATACAACCTCGACACAAGGCCGCATGCGAGTGAGGATGAAGTTTGCAGAACTGGATGGATCTGGGGATAAATCGCAGCGATTGGATGCAATGTTAGCTTGGATAAGAGAGACAAAGGTTCGTTAATAAACTAAAAGGTGTTTAAAAAATTAACCGTGAACAAAATTAGCAAGCAGTTGAGATTACTTTTGATTTTTGGTTTAAAATTACTTTTGATTTTTGGTTTTAAATGAAGTGCATTTCTTCTTGGCCATTTTTAACCTTATATCGGGTTTTTGGCGTGACGTCATCGTGTTATACAGTCCGACTGCTGGCTAAATAATTTAAACACAGGCTCAATCAATTCTTAGCAAGTAGAATCGTGTTCCTTGTTCCATTTTTTCATTATTGAATTTACACTTCCCTGGGTACATGTACTACTGTTAGTCTCGGACATCTCGTGTTTGGTTAATTTCAATCTTGATAGAACTGATTGTGAAGTAGTTTCACCATCTTGCATGGACCAAAGACTTAAAAGAGGGTTTTTGTTGACTGGGGTATAAAACTTACTTTGATTGGATCTAAATAACTCAGGAATGAAAATTAGGGATAGCTTTGGAATTTTCTTCCCCAATAATAACTTGAGCTGCATTCGATAAAATGTTTAAATTTTCATAGTTTTCTTCTCCCTATGGATTTTTCCCGGAGAAGTGTTTCTTGTTTTCGTGTATTTAGGGCAAAATTTCAAAATAAGATATTGCATAATTTATTGATAAACTCGGGCGAAGTAGAAATAGAGATTCCACTTCTTTGTGGTTACCCACGGTAAGTTGTTTATCTTATCAGATAATACAAATCTAGCAGGTGGTAACCAGAAACTTCAGATTATTTTTCCGTTTTGCATTTATTTGTTGATTTTTATTTGCCGTTCTGGTACAGTTAGAGGCAGGCAAAAATTTTGCCAATTAGCTGTCGCCGATGTCAAGTGTTACGCAGTTGCTTTTATGCGACAAAACTTAACTTCTTCAGAAAACTGAAACGTTGAGCGGCGCTCTAAAATATGGCTCGATTGGATATAATAATGCCGTTGCGCAAATATCAGGTATTGCATTGATTTGACATTGCGTTTTTAAAATGTTCGTCTTCGTCATGGAAAATGTCAATAAGATATTGTTATAGTGCAATTCAACGTTTTCTTAATGTGATAAAAAAAAAATCTGGTCATAAATTTTGTAGAGACTTGTTTCTTTACGTCCAGCTCTCTGCTGTCGCATCAAAGTTAAGAAAATTAGAGGACAAAATATCCAGGGTTTAGCTTTAAGTTCCTTGAATGATTTATGACAAGTCATTAATTCCATCCGAGTGGACGTTGCATTTTCTTTAGAGAACCTGCATTTACTTTCTTCTTTTCTTGCCAATTCGTACCCGTTATTGTTAACCCCTGACTTGAATGTATAGAAACTCAGGATTTGCTACCCGTGTTTCAAATCATAATGCCTTCTTTTCTTTTTTGGGAGGCTCTGAGTCGAAAGTATTGTGTTCTTGTTGAGACAATTTTATTTCAGTTCGACTTTCCATTGAGCACTCTAAGGGAAGAGTGAGAAGCTTCATGGACACTTTCATTAATAGGGATAAAATTGCTAATAGCTTCTGCCACAGATACTTCGCTGCACTTCCCTTGCAGATACAGCCTACATGAAGGTATACATTGAACTCGAATGTTGATGTCTTTGTTTTGCACAGGAGGCCATCGAAAAGGAAGACTTTGGTCTGGATTTACCATCTGCGCAGAGACACCAACAAAACCATCATGCGCAACACGATGCTGTGCTTGCCTTCAAAGACGAACTTGATAAACTTAAACAACTTGAGGTGGGATTGTATTGTATAACTTACCGGACAGAATGTTGTGAAAAGATACTGATAAATTGGGGGTGTCGCAACTGTAAGTTTATGTAAAAAATCGATACGCTACTTGGAAAACCAGTGTATATGTAGTTATGAAAATTAAGCCGTTTATCAAGGGAGTGATACCTGAAGGACTTAGGTCGGGAGAGGGATTGGGGTCGAGGAGTGCGTTTGAACGTCGTCTCTGTCGAGAGGTATTGATAATTTTTATGTGAGGGGCGTGGCACGGAAATGTTTCATGTGTATCCAGAAGATATCTATTTATTTCTCATTCTGTTTTGACTCAGGCTGAAGACAGAAGTCTTCGGGAGAAGATCATAGAAATACATGAAGAATACGCTGCTCTTGTGGTACGACAGCATGATCTTACGCGCCTTTTCTCTCTTTACTTTTGATCAGTGCGTCCAAATTCGATTCGTATATTGATACAATATAAACTCTTTATCTTGCAGAAGAGTTCTGTGAATCGCATCAATTACCTGAAGAGTCTTGTGGAGTTTATGAGCGAAGCCACCAAAGAGTTGATATGGATGAACCAAAGAGAAGAGCCTGAGGTGTCACGTGACTGGTCCATCACAGATCTCGACATTGAAGATCTTCAAGCGCATGGAGAGGTATAAAGAGTTGAAAAGTGGGATTAGGACAGGGTTGGGGTTGACGCCCTTTTTGAAACTTGTTAATCCATTTTGCTCTTAGAATCTTGAATTTGATGTTCGAGACAGAGAGCCTCACTGCAATATGCTGCTTACTAAAGGAGAGAACCTGATGCAGAGTGGGCACCCTGCGCCAGGACCAATTGAGGTGAGATTCAGTAAAAGACAAGATGGTGATCGTCACTGGTAGCTTTGTGACATACATTAGGAATTAAAAACGGTGGTTGGGTATCTATTTTGAAGAATTGAATGGTTGGGAATGTACAATTCAGCGTTAAAGCCTGATGAGCTGGGGAGGAAGGCAAATCTTAAGGGAAAAACGATTCGAACACAAACGGAGTTGCTTATCTTGTCGAGAACTAAACAGCGTCTCGAGAATCTAGTAACGATTAAGTGTGGGACTGTTTTCTTTTCCATGCAGGCGTACCTGAATGCCATGCGCAGTCAGTGGTGGTGGCTTAACCAACTTCTCGTCGCCTTCCGCCAGCACGTCAGGAATGCAGAGATGTATCAACAGGTGTGGTTTGCACTGTACCATTATGATCTGTTTATCCTCCGTTGTCCATGATTTTGTTAATGCCCCGTGCCATCGTACATTACTATATGAGATTAAACTGACATGGATCGTTCCAATACTTTTTGTCCCTTTTTGCTTGACCTATATTCGCAACTGTGTACCTACCCTCCTCTAACCCAGCATAAACCCGAACTTGTTACCAGTTGACTGTTTTGGGGTTAGGGGAGGGGTGGGTGTTTATATACATCTTTAATTTCCTGTTTTTTTGTTTTTTTCGTTTTTACTTGAATATGTGTAGTATTTCCAAGACGCACATACCACAGAGAAAAAGATGGTTCATTTGGTCGATCGACTGAACAGTGAATATGACGTACAAAACATACCGTCACGTGACGCAGCTGAACAAGCTCTCAACAATCTGACGGTGAGTTGTTCGTGAAAAGTCCAGGTTTCTTCCCACTCGTACAATTCTATGTGTTATTGACTCTGCGTGTGGTCGATATGGCTGGATATTAGCATGCCTTGTCATGCTATCCCTCGCTTGGGTAGCTAATTAGAAGACGTAATTCGCTCCATGCCCGTTCGCAGAGTCAACTTTTTTGAAAACATGTCGCATTTGGACACGGCCTGTATCTTTCCTCCGCGTGCCTGACCTTGAATAGGCTCTTACTCGGCGTGCAAAGCAGGAGAATAAAAGGATATTTCGATTTGCGTTTCGTCTCTTTTTCTTGCCTTGCTATTTGCGACCAGTGACTAAAGCAATAGAAGTGTAGAGCTTCTTGACGGTGGAGATACTCCATCCCTCGTACAACATGATCCTGACTTTTCATTGAGAGAGAAATCCTGTAGTACTTTCTTGCCAAATAGTTATAATCTGGAAGCTATGGAAACTGGAAACGCCGGTAGGAAAGGGTGAAATAACAAAGGTAATCAGAAAATGTCTGAATTGGGTCTTCTTAATCGTGGGATATACCACAGCTAAGTAAGGAAAGAAAATGGTTAGTTAACCAGTTCGTTTTCTCTTATCAGTGACCGAGTTAAAAAAATCATATCGTAAGTGACCCGTGGGACAGAAGATCATACTTCTTTCACAAGTGTTTTCATCGCGATAGCTAACCACATCCTTTATGTTCCAAAAAATCAATACATTCTAAGTCCGCCCTCCGCCCACCAACGCCCACCACAAACAATCATACAGATTGCTCTTTGCGTTAATATTTTTCTTTAGTTGGTTTTATCAATCTGCCTTTGATTTCCTTAGCAAGCGAATAATCAAACTAAAGGGGATTTTTGCTGTGTTTACATCGCACGATCTGGACATAAGGAGTGCTGGGAGAACTTGAAACAGTAGTTAACGGGTGCCCAACTAGCTCCCCCTCAACGCACATATCCACTGGTTACCAAAGAGAGCGCGCATGGTATATCAGCTATGGTAGTGTCCTGCATCCAGCATACTCTGTTCTAACTCTCACAGTACCTGTAATCATAAAATACTCCTAAAAGCGAACTAGTTGTTTCGTTAAAGAATATCGCAGTGCTTGCCTGGAATTACCGGCATCAGTTGAACAAAGAGTATGCCCCACGAAGAACGTGGGCGTAGATGGAGTAACAAAAATCCTCTCGAATATACTTACACGTAACTATTCGTAAAAGATGATTCTAGAATTTGTAAGTTGACAGGTGGCTTACCACAACTAGAAGTCTCTAGCTTAAGTCTTTTTGTTCACATCCTTAAGACGTGACGGTAACAGAAAAACAAAGAACTGTCGCGTCTGAAGAGCTTTGTCTTCGTCAAGGTTCACTTGTGTTAAAAGGCGCCTTGCGAAGTATGAATATTGTTTCTTAATCTTATTCGTGTCAACCATTGTGTAATATCTATTTGCATAATGAACAAAGCTTTTACCTTATCCATTTTCAATGCGGCGCTTTTCTTAGCTGTTTGCCGCTCAATTCAATTTTCTAGAAATTACATAATAGGCTAATTGTAGAATTTATTATTCCTCAAACTTTTTCACGTCAACGAGGTTTCGCGCAATATTATGGTAATTCCTTATTTTGACGGTACTTAATGGTATTTTAAAATGCCCGCGCTGTTTATTTAGACCCTTTCCGGTCTTTATCCTTGAAATCTGATATTAAAAACAATTTGTGAGTAGTTTTGCATTAAAGTTATTAATATTTAATTGTGACAATGAAAATTAAAAATTCGCTGCTCTTTGTGAGCGACTGGTTTCGAACCTTATGCGCGCATATCCGATTTCCAGTCGAGTGGAAATTGTTGTTTGGGAGTTGGGGCTCCAAGGTTCAGCAGCTTAAACAGGAAGCGTGTTGATCGTGCAGAGGGAATTGACGTCCGTCACAGGGAAGCTTGTTTACTGATTTCTTAGAGTTGATTATTTCAACTTACGGATTGATTTGTGGAGTGAGAACTCGTGACTGATGAACTGGATGCATGCAGGTTCAGTGCACGTGCAACGGCAACCCTTCTCAAACGTCAAATCCAGCCGTCTTCCCAAACAATGGCTTATATGTAAACGACAACGACGGAGATTTAGACGAAACAGATGCCGAAAGTGCTAAATAGATTGATTTCATTATCAAAACAGTCTTGGCGAGTAAGCAGTTGTGAAAGTTAAGAAATGTGCGTGGTTTTGCATTGGAATCCCATACCACTTCTCCTGTTCATTTTGTTTACATCGGCGGCTGTCGCTGTCGTGGCATTAATTTCACTTTTGTACTTCATTTACCGATCGAGGAGCGAAAACAAATTACATGGACGACGATCTCTAACGGTTCCCATAAGGACAGCGCGCTTGTCGCGAGCAGTTTTTCAAAATTTGCTTTATCCAGTCTCTTTCATTTCACAAATGATTAAGCAACCTTTCACTCGTGTTTATTTTGCATTCAGACGAGCATTACATAGTGCGGCTACTGTAGTGAGATGGCGAACTTCACAGCAGCCGATCTTTGATCACGATCAATTAATTCACGACTCTCGCTGGCAAAAGTTTTTAAGAGAAAGAGTTCTCCCTGCCTCGGAGCAGGCAGTCCATGAGGGAATTCCGCTGGAAAACTTCCCAGTTGTCAGACAGTCACAAATGGGGACGATCATTGCATACTCTTTGGAATATATTCGGGATGTTTTCTATCGAAAGGTCGATGAAAGAAGTGTTTCTGCACCTAGAGAACGTTATTTGCTGCTTCTCCGCGGACCAAAGACGGAAAGTGAGAAGGATCTAGAACCAAAGTTTAAAGACGTCGTTACGGACATGCTCCAATTTAAGCAGGTAAACAGTGATCAAATAGTTCTTCAAGATGTAATAAACACAGAGTGTTTTAAACAGGTCGAAGAGTGGTGAAAATGAATTAATATTGGCAACAAGCACTGTGCTAAATTTGCATTTTAGAATAGTGGTCTCATCGTGTCTGGCTTCAGTTTCTGCGGCTCGTTTAACGCGTTTTTTTTTTCTTTTTTTATCGCTCGATCTTTTTACTCGAAATGCAGTTTGAGTGGAATTTCTAAATACTTGATATCAGGTGAACGTAGTTTCCTAAATGTAAATTTGCACATTTCTAAAGAAAATTTGTAGAGTTCTGTTTGTTTCGTTTCCTCGGTTGATTATTGGTAAACAGAAATCGACATGTTTCGCGTGATCGGTTTTCGCCTGGTGTTAATTTCATGTGGTGAAGCTTTGGGGCATCGAGGTCGACGTTGCCAGAGCCGTAAGCGGTTTTATAATTCCTTGCAAAATAAACGTCGAATTTGTGTCAATATTTGGCATGGGTCACGCTCAATAAGTGGCTTTTATTTTCTCTTTCTGTTCATTGAAAAATCATGCGCTTCACCTGGTTGTCTCGCATACAGATCAATTATACTATACAGTCATATCAGTTTCATTTCTTTCGTTATATAACTCCCCGATTGACTTAAAGTTTTATTCTTTGAGATAATGACTCTTGTGGAGGATCACATTAATGCAAAACGCACCTAATGATTACGCTTAAAAATTCTACTGTGGTTTAGCGAAAATGTTATTATGAATATTGTGCCTCTTCTTGTTTTGATGATTACGTGGTGATTTGTTTAGTAGTTGGTTGAAGTTATTTCCAGGAAATGAACATATCTCTGGTTTTGAATTTGCAGACCAGTATGATTTTATTGCCCTTGTCTGTTGTATCAACATAAAGAAAAATTTTTAATAGAATCGGTTTGGACATGTTTGAAGCTAAGGCTGGGTTCAACGATGACAAAAATTTCTATTTATGATGATAAAGAAACTCAAACACAGTTGATGTTTTTGAAGGTGATCCATTATCTATCACTGCCTTTGTCATCCCCTTAGATTTTTGCCAGAGTTTTTCCCAGAAGTGGTAACAGTCAGTAAACCTCCCTTTGAAAGTGCTCTGTGATTTCTCATTGAAATTCAACAATGTGAAGCAGGAAGTTTAAGGGAGACATTAACTGTATTAGTATTGATATATTATTTGTTTTTTTTTTGTTTTTTTTTTTTAATCAACTTGTTGTAGTTTACACACAAGTATACAAGTTTTGCTAATTCATCACCAAAAAACTTATAAGACAACCATCAGGTTGATGTTAATACATTTCTTTATACTTTGAACTTTTACATATTATAACTGGTTCTTACTTGCAATGTATCAAACCAAAGTCTTATAGAGAGTGCCACTATTGGCAATCATTTGGCCACTTAACCCTCGACACTCTTACATCAGTCTGCTTCTCCTCAGGAACTGTCCTTTACATTTCCTGAGGTGCCAACAAGGACAATATGTTTAACAATCAAGAGCTTCTTCCCTGATGTGTGACTCAGGGGTGTTATTCATAGTAGCAATTTGATATAAGTCACTCCTAAGGGTCAAAGAGTTCACTGCATACATTATCTTTGATTCATGTTGTCTTGAATCTGTTAGTGTATTACATTACAGTTTAGGTCAGACTGTGGCAAGAGTGTTGTGTCCGAGTCTTTGTCAGTTCAGAGGGGTTGTCTGGTTGTCAGATCTTAGTATCATCTACTATTGTTTTCTCAACAGATGTAAAGCAGCATGCAATGTATTTGTTTAACAGAATTGATGCTTCATCATTGTGAACATCAAATTACAACCTATGTTCAATACATGAAAGCAGAAGTGTGTTCTCACTTCCTTCCCTTCTTGTTTCACTGGGCATAAGTTTCCTCTTTATGTTCAAAAGTTAATTGGGCATGACATTAAAAGGACGTTTCTGCAAAAGGAAAGTTCTGCTCAGTTATTTTGGGTTTAATATGTCACCTAATGTCATTATGAAGATAACTCTGCAAAGAATGCTGTTATATCTTATTAGTAGAATATTTGATAATGTCAGGTCAGAATATTTGATCATGTCAGGTCAGAATATTTGATAATGTCAGATTTATGACTGAGTGGGTGGAGGATAACAGATGTGAGTCACCAATATCACCTAATCCCCACATTACTGGTTCTGGTCTGTTTCTTTTCAAGAACTAATTTGTTACTTTTCTCTTCTTAATCTCACACATTTACCTCATAATTGCTTTGTTAGTATTTTCCCTTACAGTTAATCAGCTGATCCTGACTAATTTTACTTTCATATTTTTACTTAAAATGCTTGCTCTGAGGATTAAGTTCCACCAAAAGATACCTTTAGTCTATTTTTATGATCAGCTTTTATTATCTGACTGCATAAGTAGAGTACAAACAATGCATGAATCAAGCACAAATATCCCAACCACAATTCACCTCTCTATTGCTTTGGTGTATAGTTGAGTATTTTTCTTGCTGCTTGTATTTTGATGAACTCTGTGGACTTTTTAAAATATGGCACAGCTCATGGATGCTGAAGGTTGAATATCTAGAGCTTCAAAAGATGATTAACAACACTGTCAGCTTCTTGCATGAATTTTTAACATTTCTTCAAACAAATAAAAAAAATATAGAAAAACTGTGTTGCATGGAAGTGTTATGCATAAAATCTTATACAAGTACCAAAGGGGTCCTGCTAAGAGAGTTCTTGGCCTGTAACCTTCTCAGTTGTCCAGAAAAAGTGATAATCACAATCATACATAACTTGTTGTGATCCAAATGTAAGGTGTTACCATAAAATGGGTGTCTCAAAAGGAAAATAGTCCTCATAGCACTGGCATACCTCTTCAGTCAACTTTGTCTGAGACTACCTATTGATCACAGGGTTCTGTGGCATGTTTAAAAATATAACAATATTGTCATGTTTTACACCACAAGTTGCTGCCCAATTGTTTCAAGATCCTTAAAATCTCTTTGTTATCTAAAGGGTTTCCCTATTTCTTTATAAAATGTACAGATATCAGAAGAGGTTATGTGATCTCAATCTACTCTTCCAGGGCTTTCCAGGAAACATTTTGTTAATTTTATATATATTTGATGTGTTTAAAAATTTCTTACAGGAAATGAAGCAAGAACTTGTTGACTTCAAAGATGTCATTAGCTCCTTGCAACTTCTGAGTAAAAAGGTGGTTCCTCTGCCACAAAGAAAATCTAAATTAAAGAGCAAACTTTTGGTTGATCCAGTGTGCAGTTACAAGAATATGCAGGTAAGACTGGTGTGGACTTGTTGATGCAGTGGTTGGAATCTGTGACTTCTGATTGAAGTTGCTACCCTGAGTTTTGCACAGCTTGGTTATGAAGTATTTTATCGAGCATTTACTTGTTGGTAGTAAATTCAGTTTCATCTGAAATGTGGGATTTTCTTGTGCCATTGATGGCTTATTATTCACCCCTGGTATGCTGTTAAATCCTTTCAGAATATTGTCAACAAAGGTGAAGAATGTCTACTCCTGGATAATTCTGAACATCATTCTTGGAAAGTATGTATAGTTGTAAAAATAAAGACTTGTAATTAAATTGTAAGCAGTGATCAAGATCTTAAAACCAACAAACAAACAAAGACACACAGACAAGCTACTTGGCTGACTGATCAACAAACTCTCAGACAGACAGGCGAGTGGGTAGACAGAAAGGGAAACAATCAAGATCAACAGGTAAATAAACAAATGGGACACTCTGTTGGGGACAGATGTACAGATTGCAGGATTGTCATGAGGAGCTGGTGGGAGATGGAAACATGCCAACTGTCAGACCATTTTGTGCTGGCTTCTTAGTGAATTGTAGTCAAAGCTTAGAAGAAGTATTTTTGAACTGATGCTAACATCAATATCTAGCTAAAAAAATGTCACTCAAATATGTCCCAGAATGCTAGAAGTCACATTTCAGAGATTTTTAATTTCAAATTTTGGGGGAGCATGCCCTTGAACTCCTCCAAGAAAGCTGTTGCAAAATTCAATTCAGCCATCTACTAAGTTCAGATCGTGGACCTTTTACATTTTTGAATGACAACCGTGGACAGACAGACAGACAGACAAACAGGACCGACAGACAGACATGAACCACAAGACTGAATTGATCGACTTTAATCAATGAATACTTAATCAGAAACTTCTAACAGTGACAGAATAAAACGGGGCGGCCACGCTTAGTAAAACAACACAACGAGTACATAGCGAGTACAAGTTTCAACATGGCGGTTCTCTCATGCACTCGAGCACATGTTTTTTAACTGTCTCTGCGCATGTGCTGAACGCACACCGCAGGTTAATAATATTGCATTCTAGACTACTAGTCACCAGATTCCACAAAATAGGACAGATTTTTATAAAAACAGATGGATCATGGTATTTGTTTTTTAATGAAAACTGTGGAACCTTTGTCAGGTTACAAATGCCAGTGGTAGACAGTGTGAAGTTCCATCCGTTTGTTTCGTTATTCCTGCTCCAGATGTTGAGGCCACAGAATTTTCAACCAGGTAATGGTCATATATTTTAACTTTTATCCCTTTTGCTTATTAAATTAATGAAAAGTGCAGATTTCTTTTATAGTTTATTGGCTTTAGTATTATATTGTGTACAAGTGCATCTTTTTACTTTGAATAATTAAATCTCATGAATATTTAAAGAGTTCTTTGTTTTGAGGTACAGGTAAAGTCTGTTTGCGAGCCAGTGGCCCATCAGGCCAGCGCTTAACTCCGGTTTCTGTAGCCTGAAGCGACTAGGAGTATTTCTACTCCCCCCTGGATGGGTGCTAGTCCATTGCAGGGTTACCCCCAGCATTAAATTGCCGGTACCCATTTATACACCTGGGTGAAGAGAGGCACTGTGAGAGTAAAGTGTCTTGCCTAAGAACACAACACAATGTCTCCAGCTGGGGCTCGAATCCAGACCACTCGATCTGGAGTCAAGCTGTCTTGAGCTATAATTGCTTCTTTTTGATTTTATTGCACCTAGGATTTCTTTTCAAGTTGTTTACGTATATTTGTATAAGTTGCCAATACAACAAGCTTATACCATAGTTGATTGCCTTGTGATCTTAATTAGCATGTAATACAATGAAATACTTTTCTATGCAAAGAAAATGATATGTTGAGTAGACAAGATGCGCAAGATACTGTATTGGCAAGTGTTTTAGCTACCATGTGGCCACTTTCCTATTTCACTAGGTTAGAAATTCAGTATAAACATTTACTGACACTGTGGAGAACAAGACACTGGAATTTAAAGCAAGCCCTTAGCAAAGAACAAGTTTTTACACAAGTAAAGGTTATTAAATCCACTTCTCCTGAGAAGGTTAGTTGGAGCAGTTTTGTATTAAAAAGGGTAACAAAGTTGGTACAGTTTGTATGAACAGTGAAGTATATGAGACTGGGACCTTGGCTCCAAGGATGGTAGTTAGCAGTGATCTACTCTAACAGAGCTTCACTCTACTTACACTTGGGTTGAGTTGTCGTTATCTCATCAGTGTGCATATTCTCCATACTGTTCTCTGTACATTTCCCAAGGTGCTGACAAGGAGAATTTGTTTAACAATCCAGAGCTTCTTTTGTTGTGATCATTTCCTTTATTCTCGCGACCTTAATGTTTGATTCAGGGATGACAACGTTCGGAGAAATTAGATGCTGGTCACTCTTGGGTTACTTGCCCACAAAAAAATTTAACCTTACCATAGTTAAACTTGAGCTAAAGCAAATCAAATTTTGGAAAACTCTGGCTGTAGTGTGAACAGGTTATAGTGAATTTTCAAAGATCAGGTGTTGTGTTAGGTGCTTAACTGGCCTATCATGCAGGGTTCCCTTTCATTGCACTGAAAAATTAAGTCTTCCAAAACCTTTGGTGGTAATACAACCTGGGTTAACATCATTATGGTCTGTTTTTGTGTGTACTACTTGGCTAGAAGGGTTTTTCCCCCCTGATGATTTCCCTACATCCAAATTTTTAAACTATGGGTATGATATGAACCTTGTGTTTCTAAGTGCTACATATCAGATTGAAAAGCCAAATTTTAAACTGGTATTTGAATATTGAGGTGTTAGATTAAAATGTTGGGATAAAATCCATGATCATCATATTCGTTTCAGGGCAAGATGCCACTTCTGGTAGGATCAAAAGATGTTGAACAGTTATTGAAAGATATCCAAATGCCTGATAACCAGGAAATAGCAGGCATCACAGAACGGCTAGAACCAGCTTCTGTGTCATTAAATGAAAGTGCTATAGAACCAGAGACCATGTTTGAAACACAAACTGTGCCGACGCTTGATAAGGTAGAGAGAATGAAAAAATGATTTTGCGCTGTCACAATTTCTTCATATATAGAGTAATTTTAATAGAGCGGTGAAAGTAATCCGGGATTATTTTGTTTTTGCTTTTCTTCGCTCTGATTGGTCGAGAGAACTTGCGCCACTCTCTCGACCAATCAGATGCCAACTGAAACCAATCACGACTTGGTCGCCCGCGTTTTCCCGCGCTTTAGGCAGTTTGATCGGTTCTACTTTGAGTTCTTATTGGTTCTTCAGGGTATTTTCCTCCCTTCTGATTGGCTATTGCGGTTACTTTGGTTTTGGTTTTACGACATTCAAACGAAAAGCACTCTAAACCTCTTTGCAATAAGTTAAACACACAAAAGTGCCCAAAACAAGACGCACACAATTTGTCAAAGTTATTGACATTTCGGGTGGTTTTTTTTACTTTTCAGCAAAGTGCTCAGAGCACTCTAAATGATCTAATTGCGTGGGTCAACAGAGCTGAGGAAGTTTTGAAAACAAAGTCACTTGAGACTCTAAACCAAAGAAGCCTGTCTAGCACTCTTCAGCAAGTTGAGGTGATTTATTCTTTACTTGTCCATACAATAGAAATACATTGCTATGCAATCATGCGGTAAACATGCACGAACTCAGTAACTAGTTATTTAAGCATTTGACCGCACTTTCCATCGATTTACTGGCGTAATAACCCACACCGGATGTTGGGGAGAGTATGAGAAATGTTTGTTGAACGTGAGTCGGAGGCTAAAGAAAACCTGTAAGTTATAGTTTGCTGTGAGATGGAGCGTCGCAATCTTTAGGGTTAGAAGTAAGCAGCAGCTAACTATCTCTACTTTCTTTTCCGTATGCACTAGTTTTTGCATTTTGATTCTCATTATTGCAAGGAGTGCTTATCAAAACGCATCGCTGCATCACACGGAAGCATGTGTTGCATCTATAGAATCATGAAGGTATTCGACCTCATCGATCGCGACGTTTCGACTGCTTTGCTGCTAGTCTTCGTCAGGCTATAAGTGACACTGGCTTTGTATCGATAAGCAAACTATGGAACGTTCATTCATCGTATGAAATCTTTTTCAAGATGTAATTTTTTTGTTCCCTGATAATCATGGTGTACTATGTTGCATTTTAGAAATTGCAAGAGGAGCAGAAACAAAGAACACCGCAGTACGACTCCTTGACACAATCTGTGGTGACTCAGATGGATCCTCAACTACAGAGTAAATTAGGTTTACTGTCGGAAAAATGGAAACACGTTAAGAAAGATGCAAACATTTGGCACAAAATGTGAGTTTAGGCTAAATCAATTCTTAAACGCGTATTTTTCCCGCGAAATTCTTTCACTGTGATATAAGTTCCAGGAGGCATTTGAACCCTGATCCGAATCGTTCAAAATGCTATCGACACTAACTCAATATTGGCTGTGTATTAATGATAGTACGTACAAGGATTTATGAATAGAAGAATAACGACTTGCGAATCAATATCATGGACTTCCAAATGCTTGGTGTTCTGTCAATCCCGTACTTATGTTCATGCCTGGGGCAATTCCGAGATTGCTTTGTGTTTGCTTTACTTCGCTTTCTGATTGGTTCAGAAAACTCGCGCCACTCTCTCCGCGCATCAGATGCAAAACTAAAACCGTTATCCCGCGCCTTAGGAAGTTTGGTTGTTTTTACCCTGGGCTTTCATTAGCTCTTACTGGTATTTTCCTTTCTTTTGATTGACTGATATGATAACTTTGGTTTGGATTTTACGAAACTGAATCTGAAAGCGTTCTTTGTCTTGTTTTGTTGTGCATGCTCTCGTCAGAGCTCGCCTAAGTTTCCAACAATCGCGTTTAGCCGGCGTCGAATTAACATTACTTTCTTCCTTTTGTCCGTCGATCGTGCGAACTTGTCATAGTAGTTCTCATATCACTTGCTAATTCAGGCTCACTTTTTTTCACCAATCGATAGGCTTGTGTTTTTGCTGAACATCGCTGAACTGGTGACAGATCTTGAAAACAGTTTGCGACGCGTCGAAGTGATTCTTATTCAACAGCCGGGACTCACTGCTAACTTGAAGGACATTCAACATCAGACAAAAGTGATACAGGTAGCCAGAAATAACAAGACTATAATTCCTATCTTTTTCTTTCGCTCCCCCCCCTTTTTTTTTTTTTTTTTGAGAACCAAGCGAGTTGAGAAAACGCAACCTCAATTTTTAAGGATAAGATAGCGCTCTGAGGGGTTCTTACTTGGTCAGAATTTTTGTCATATGCAGCGTTTTTACGGAAACGATCATAGACCGTGGGATTTTTTTTCTCGAAAGCCGGTAAATTAAAAATAAAAATGTTTAATCAGAGTGCCATGTGATTAACAACTTACTAACCTCGCTTGTTTGAGTTGTTCTGAGGAATATTAGCTCCCTGTCGTTTTTGCACGGGCCTCGCTACATTTCTTCCTTACTGCCACGACCTCGGGCCAATCTCTAAAGCTACGTTGGTAAGCAGTTAGAATTAACAAAAGTGTAATTTTTTTTTTTTATTTTTTCAACCCACAGGAAGTACTCCAGACCGAAATAGAACCGAGAAAGGACAAAATTGACGACATTCGAAGATCACTGCCCGACTTAAAGGAATTTGAAAAGGCTAGAGTCCAGGCCGTTCTCGAGAGATGGCAAGCGGCTCTGAACGAGATTGATAACCGTCTCGGGGGCCTGGTGAAAGCTGAACACAAACTGGAGCAGTTTCAAGCTGGGTTGCAAAGTGAATTGGACTGGTTGAACAGAGTCGAGGAGAAAGTCCAAGACCGGGGCTGGAATACCGACCCTAGTAATGCTGAAAGTGTTATGGAGGAACTCACGGTGAGTCTAAAATTCTTGTTTTCAATGAAGTGTCGAAAAAACAAATCCAAAATTATCACAACTGCCAATCAGAATAAAGGTTGACATCGTCATAAACTAATAAGAACTCAAAGTAAAAACAGGCAACCTGCTGAAAGCGCGGGAAAACGGGATTGGTTTTTAGTTTTCAATCTGATTGGTTGAGATGGCGGCACGAGATTTTTCAAGACCAATCGCAGAGTGAGGTAAAGCAAAACCAAAGCAATCCTGGTTACTTTGGACACTCAACTGAATTTGTCTTTTATTTTATAATTATGAAGAATTCAGTCTCGTTTTGAAAAATTTTCAGTGCATCCTCGCAGCTTTTTACGATTTGCAAGAGAGCTTGTGGCCATTTGGTTCATTTGGTTCATATTCCAGCAACTAAGTAACTTTTTAACCCCTAACCTTCCAAGATCTGATCAGACACGTTATTCTCCCTTCTAGGTGACATACATTTTCCCTGCGAATTGTAAGAGGAATTTGGCGTTTCATCAAAATAACACCCTCTGGCTGATAAGAGTTTCTTTTATCGTCACTTGTTTGCTGGGTAATTTATCGAACTTAATCAATTCGTGATTTAAAAATGTGAGATGGACATAGCATCCGGCAATTAAGAGATGTTTGTTGACGGATAAATGCCTTTGCAACTGTAGGTCATAATGCAGTTCTTTTCGCCTACAAAGTTAAGGCTAGTAAGAAATCAGAAAACTGAATCGAGATTTTCAAATTTGTTTTTCAGTCCCTATACACGGATATACGAAGCCAGCAAGTACCAATCAAAACACTCTGTACTGTTGGACATGAATACTCAGACGAATCACAGGTGAGCATGGGCCTGAGTCACATTATGCCCAATCTCCTTTATTTCGTTTGGGATGAGATTACGAGATTTTAGCGCGCGGATGACCCGACTTGAGCCTAATCCTCCCTCATATATCTTTGATTTTAAGACGCCCCTATTAATCTGTGCTCAGATCTGAACATAAATTCAAATAAGTAATTGTTGGAATATTATATTTTTTTTGAGAGGTTTTACTTCCTAGCTAATTTTACTCTTGAAATCTCAAGATCTGATTGTAAAATCTCCCTCGAGTTGCTACACATTTCCTTGTGAATTAGTCACATGAATTTGGTTTCAGATCAAGATAACAATTTCAACTAGATAAATTTGAGTATTTTCATCACCTGTTCACACGATAATGTATGGATGTTAAAGGGAGAAATTACATGTTAATCACTTCTGAGAATTAAAGGAGTAAAGCTAAATATTTTTGGTGCTTGTTGCTAGATGTGGGAAAGGAACCTTGAGGAGTACCGTCATAGCCTGCATCACTTACCAGAGTCCAGAGAAGCTATCAACCCCCTCTTGGAAAGTGCCCAGAAGGGCCGAGAAGAAATAATTTCATCCCTGATGAGCATGAACGCTCGATACGAAAAACTCTTGAATGAAGTGCAGTTTGCCATGGAGAACCTTGTGGAGACCTTGAAAAGACACGGAAAAGAACACAAAGAAGTAAGTTGGTGCATTTCACAAATTAATCTTACTCTTTTCTTCTAAACGAAATTTGAACCAGAGGCTCATCTGTTCTTAAGTACTTCCCGACTATTATTGCCCGATTATCGTGGTGAATATATACTCTAGACGAAATTTGAACCAGAGGCATATCTGTTCTTAAATACTTCCCGACCATTATGCTCGATTATCGTGGAGAATATGTACTTTATTTACTTTAACTCTGCACTGACAACAGATTGTGACGTGTCAGGAGCCCATTACTTGTAGCGGTAATGGGCGCTGAGACGTGTTTAGTCTGCCTCACCAGGTATTTTTCTTGAACACTTCAACAGACTGCGCCACTAATGGTTCATAAACCTTGTCTCTCTTTTTTTAACGCCTCTCTTTAAATCTACTTTAAGGAGCTTTACTGTGCTTAAAACGCCGCGTTTGGATTAATCGATTGCAGCACCTTTTAGTTTGCTATTTCGACCCCATTCTGAGGTCTTTCACAGTTGTAATTGTCATCCAGATTACAAGGTACTTTTTTTTTTTACAGTTATGGCAGTGTACGAGACCTGCCCCCCCCTTTTTTTTTTTTAACATTTTTGTTGCATAAGTCAACTCGGAAAAGAAAAGGTGCAAAACATTTACCCATGACCGCAAGCGGTTCACAGCCGTTCGAGCTGCCAATTGAAACTAGAAACACCCAACTGTTTTTTATTTGTCCAAGCTTTTTACTGAACTTTTTTGTACTGAAAGTTATTTTTCGTCTTCCTCCTCCAATCCTATTATCGTAATGGGATGAGTGCACATTTTGTTCCAGTTTTTTTAAATATTCGGTAACAATCGGATGGTATTTTTCAAGATAAAAACATTTGTAAGTGTTAAATAGCTGGTTTTTTGTATTGAGTTTCTCGAGAGAAAGCATCGTTGTTAGAAAACTTACTGCCATCCAGAATTTTACAAATTTTTATCATTCGAAACATGAAATAAACCCGAGCATTTGAGCACCCTTTTAAATGATTATGGTTATTTTTAATGCGATTATAAAGTGGTCGTTACTTTCCCAGCTTACCATTGTACGCGCATTAATCTCATCTATCTTTCGCACGGTCTTAATGTGAATGTCATTTTGGATTAAATTAAAACTGTTGATTATCGTGACAACTGGCCTTCTTAGGTTCACTGCATGACAATCACCCAACATTGGCGTGACGTTCAGTCAAACCTTTTTTTGACGTTCACTTTTTACTTGTTCAGGTTGAAGAGGCGTGCTTACAGTGGTGTTCCTCGATACAGCACTTACTTGATTGGCTGTCCGACACAGAGAAAATCCTGCTAACGCAATCGGCCTCCCCCGCAGAAGTCAAAGAATTAGAAGAACAAATTGAAGAACAGAAGGTAAGATCAACATGATGATGATAGATTTTTAGGGTGAATTTTGGTAACGTTAATCAATTGGTATATCTTTAGAGAATAGTTTCTTAACCGACACAAACCATAGAATCAATTTATTGCAAGGACAGATCTCATTTTCAAACTACTCTCGCAAGATAAAAGGCTACTTACGCCATAACTCAAATGCTCCCAGGTTTCCGCTATAACTAGGTTTCCGCTATAACTAGAGTGAGACAATTACAATAATGGTATCAGCTTTTTAACGGTGGAAGTTTTACAGATTTCCTCGCACCTTTGGCATGCCCCTGTTTTGATAGCCACTGGGGGTCACGGTCCGAAGGTCAGAGTCGAATTTAGCGGTAAATGGAATGGTCCTATAGCATTATACCTGGCTTGCTTTCATTTGATTGGCTGCATGTCACTGTGAGAAGTCTTACATACGTGAAAGGTTTTGCTTAAAAAGTCTCGAAAGAATCATCAAACATCCCGCTTTTTATCATCAACCACAGAGTAGGAATGACAATTTAGGGTATACCCATATTTCCACATGATGTGCATGTACTATTCGATTCTGACCAACATGTGACTTCTCCTTGAGAAGGTGAGAAAAGACAGGTTTGTCAGTGAGAAGTGGTATCTTGATATAGAAGCTAAGTCTCCCAACTGCTCTACAAAGTATTATAGCAACCAGAATGGAGAATTTCGAAGTGGATCGACGAAATAAACAAATCTAGAAGAAACTTCTTCTGAAACCGTCTAGTCGCTCAGTGGTATGTAATCTATCAACTGAAAACTTAGATTTATTTCTCATCCTCAGAGATTTGATTCTGTATTTGAGATTTAAAGCTTAGGAATTAATTAACAAGGATATATGAAACCAGATAGCTGTTTGTTTTGTGAATTTTTTTCAGTTCTTTAGGCGAGAAGGCTTTTTGTTGTTATTGTTTCGGACACAGTTCATTCATAAGTTAGAATCGTAAATCCAAGGGAGTTTTTCAAACGCATTTACTCTCGCGCATTTCGCACCCTCAGTATTCGACTCCCTTGAGACCAGTTCCTCAAGAAAGCCAAACGATTTTGCACTAATCTGCATGTAATCAGCAAACAGTCGTTTCTGGTGATTTTAATAATCACGGAAAACAAACAAGACGCCTGTCTGAATCATGATTGAAGTTTAAAACAAGGAAGGTTCCATCACAGAGAGCCAGTGATCAGTCGCGAAAAGAGGTTGTCAAGGCTGTTCTCGTTTAGTCAGCCCTCAACCACGGAAATTGTGTCGAGGAATGTTACTCTGTGTTTTAAACTACGTTGATTATTCCATTTGGTGGTGTTGAAGGTTCCAGTGAAGAGACGGACGCGATGTTTTGTAACTTGAAACCCAGGTTCGACAACTTATGTATTCCTTCTTATTAACGGCTCAAAGTTGGTCCGAATTGTTCTTTAATTGTTACTTTTGATCGGCTGTAACTGCGAAATAGACTGCGCTGAGGCTAAGTGTACTCGCTCGAAAGTTTGGTGACGTCCTTTACACCGATCTGTTTAAGACATCAACGAGTAAGAAATTCAGATCAGCCGAGTTGTAGAATCGAAAATCTGAGCCCTCTCTCTGTTTGTCATGGAAAGGTCGCGCTCTTCTTTCGAACAGTAGCATGAATGCGCAAGCAAATCAAGTTAAAACACAGCAAAAGATTGTTTGCATTACAGAAGAACTCAAGAGCCGTTCACGTCAGTAGGATCCTGCTTGCTTTACTCTCGAACTGCCAAAGATCTTTGCATAACTTTTCGCGAGACTTTAAGTCTACATTAGACATTAACTTCGAAAACTTCCCTTTGAGTAGCGTATTAAATCCCATAATCGCTGCAATTTCACGCTAAATCCCCATGAGTTAACTTGAATTTTTAAAATTTATTTGCATTTTAATGAAATGTGGACAGTATTGACACAGTATTTGATTTACGGACATTTTGCTCCGAGAGTACCTTTATAACAAGCAAATACTTTATAACTGACGTAAGGTGGCCTTGAGAAATTGGCTATAATTTTTTTATTACTATTTCATCCTGTATTCATATACCTTTATAACTAATTAGATTATGCAATCACTTGAGAAATATCAATCACTTCCGAGGGCTGCCTTGTTATTTTTAAGGATGTTTATCATTTGCTGTGAGTGAATCTCGACAAAAACTCAGCCAAATTTTTGTAGTTCCTTTGTTGAATCTGTTTCAATCTTTTCCAAGTATAGTCATCCTTGTACTATCGTTGTTTATCACTAACTATTGTGTTTTTCTGTTCTTCCGAGGTAACATATTTTAGTGTCCCTCAATCTGAAGGTTATTAAGCACTTCAAGAAACTTTTCTTATGATATTGTTAACATACAAACATGAGTGAACTTCATTTTGTCTCGAATGTTAAGAGTGGTGTGTGGTGCTAACATTTACGAGCTCGCCATTTGAATGTATGGTTAGATAGCAAGTTAGACAACAAGCGAAATTGCCAATTACTTGAATTATTCAAAACCTACTTTACTATTCATTTATAAAGGAGCTCCTTTGATTGAAAATACTCTACTATCTTGAAAAGGTTTCAACCGGCAGCCATTAACTCGCATGAGTGACGAAGGCAGAATTTCTCCTTACAATGTCAATACAAAAAAGAGCAGATAAGTGATGAGAATAAAGAAAATTATCAACAAGGGGATTATTAACTGATCCAATACCAAATTCTCCAAACTAATATCAGAATTGTATGGCGGACGGTAAGAATTACTTATGAGATATTGGAATCTGGGGAGTAAAAGAGTGAAAATTATGAAAAATTGTTCGTTTCCTCATCCAGAGATTTACCAAGGCAGTATATGAAAGGAAGAAACCAGTGGAAGTTATGCTCGAGCAGAGCAAGCAGTTCTTGAAAGGCAGCGGTCAGCTTCTATCGCCCACGAAGAAAGCCGAACTTGACTCGAAGATGAGCATATTGGAAGCGAGGTGGGGACGACTGCAAGCCGAGCTCGACAATCGGTACATGAGACTTGTGAGGATCCACGAAAAGCTAACGAATTTTGAAGAATTGCTACATCCTTTCTTGGTATGCTCATTATTTTTTTTTAAAAAGTTGCAATATAAAGAAGAATATTTAAAAAAAATGCCCTCAACTTATGCGAATTCTTTTGCCTCATGAACAGTCCTCAATATTTGAATCCATTTGTGGTCGGCGAGCGCTCGGCTCCTGACGCTGGTGGATTAACCGAGATCTAGCCTAAGGGCTTGCCTTAATGGCGCTCGGGTCCTGACGCTGGTGGATTAACCGAGATCTAGCCTAAGGGCTTGCCTTAATGGCGCTCGGGTCCTGACGCTGGTGGATTAACCAAGATCTAGCCTAAGGGCTTGCCTTAATGGCGCTCGGCTCCTGACGCTGGTGGATTAACCGAGATCTAGCCTAAGGGCTTGCCTTAATGATTTTAAGACTCTTTTAAGAATCAGCCCATGACGTTGGCTCTTTACCGAGGTAGAGCATTAAAGGAGACAAAATTTGCCAGAAAAGTGGCATAACCAAACAGCCCCTTTGCAACTCTATTCTGTGTTCTTCAGTCGCAGAGTGGAATTTTACGCATGCATTTTCAGGTTACATCACACACATCCCTTTGCTCGTTGAGCAAAGGAAGTAGGGTCTTTGAAAGCTGGCCTTCATGTGATAAAAGCGCTCGGATATTTTGAAATGTGTTTAATGGTGCAGCGTCACCATTTGATGTTTCTTGAAACATTTTGCTGGAGTTTCTTAAGGTTGTCAACTGCATTCTGCATCAAATATTTTCATCCAGGTTTCGTTTTGGTTCATCGCTGCCTTTTTCGTGATTTTCTCTCTCGCGAAGTAAATTACTTCAAGTTTAAGGTAGCTCTGAAGTGCGACAAACATTGATTCAGAATACCATGATGCCGTAAAACAAAACCCTGAACAAGTTCTGGGCAGCGTTAAGTGCTATTCGCACACAATTCCAGTTTCTGTTGTATTTGTTCATTTTAGTGAAGTTGTTGTTCTGTTTTCAGGCTTGGCTCAAGAAAGCAGAGGATCAGGCCAGTGCTATTCTTCTCGATGCCAAAAATATCCAAAGAGCACAGGACAAACTTCTCATTCACAAGGTTTGTGTGTCCGGATGTAGAGAGATTTGGTTCATTGAACATGGCTTTCCATCAAGAATACGGAACAGTGAAATAATAAGCTTAACTTTTCATTTTCTTGAGGTTTGAGACTCATTGTCTATTCTTCATGACTGTAACCTTTAATCGTCACTTGTGAGTGACAGATAAGACTTTGTGCTCTCTTCATTCGCTTGAGTATGTCTCGCAACAATTTTCTTAGTCACACAACACCAGTAATACAATATGTATCGAAAAATAGGGGTTCCGATATTTTCCTTCCACCAAGCCTCGTGGAGCGGGTAAACGATCAAAGAAAGGACTCATTCATGCCTGTAGATTTTAATTAATGGATTAGGTGAGAAAGTTAGGTCACAACTAGTAGAGAGGCATTTCCGCATTACTACTTTCACTGACTATTAATGCGTAATAGGTCAGACAATCTTTGTTTTCATAAGAATTATTCTCAGAAAAGAATGGCCCACTTTAATGGAATTGCAAGATTTTTACGCGGATTCGGAGATTAACTCAAAAACTCAGTATAAATATTACATCCATTTTTCCGCTTCAAGATATTCCGCACAGAGATGCTTCCTTACGTCAAACATCTTACACGAAGAACCCTTCACTCGCCAAAATTTTCGCTTCCAGTAAAACTTGCGCAAAGAGAAACTCTTCTGCTCTTCTCCATTTTCCTCTTAATTTACGCTCAAAGCGACACTTGCCAATTTTAAACAAGGAATTTTTCCATCGTGCTTTTTTTTTTCTTGACATGATTATTTTTGTATCCGTTTTGGCGCATTTGACATTTTTAAAATGTAAATATTTACCAAAGTAAGCGGTCTTTGGACGAAGTAAAGGGATTAATTTGGGGTTTGTTTTCTTGTTTTCGTTTTATCCATGTTTGGTAATGGCGAAACTAAATTACAGTCAACAATAGGCTGACCTTGGAAAACGTTACTTGTATTCGCAATGCATTTATGTTTCTAAAAGTGCTTTCGTTTCGTAACAATTTAGCATTTTGTCGACGACGTGAAAGATCACGAACGTGACTTAAAGGAGGTGAACCAGAGTGGCGAGGACTTCCTACACGAAGCAAAGGTGACCATTTCTCTTTGTCTTTTGTAACAATCGTCTACAAGAAAGTGATTTTTGATCGCAGACCTGTGTGTAACAGTAACTCACCGGCCGATATGTTATGAGTGGAATTGACTTAGAAACCCAAAAATTTTAATTTGTGCATTATTTGATTTCTGTATTCATTTTTTAAGTTCTCAATAGTGGTGATAACCTTTTTATACGAGTGTTTTCAAGCTTTGCCACCAGTATTTGTTAGCCTACTTTTCTTTTCATGTACTGGGAACGGTGGTATGTTTTTTTTTTTTCTTAAAATGAATTGTGTCCAATGCACTTCCCATTTGATAATTACTGTTCATGACGTCAAGTCGGGACCGTCGAGTTAGAGCATTCGTGGAGCTAGAGGGATTCGTGGAGCACTCTACACTTTGTCAGTACTCTCTAACTTTTCAGTACCTATGTGAACGTTTGCAATCTCTTGGATGAGCACGGTTGACTAAATTTTTCCTATGGAAACCGACTAGGAATATATTTTGTAGGATAATGTATTTAAAGCAGCAATGAAAATGCTTACTTTTTCTTCTCATGCATTTGTATTTGTAAGAAATGTATAGGCCAGAACACAGTGGTTTAACTCTATTCATTTTTTAAGGTTTTCCACGCAGAGCTCGAGCGTTCTGTTGCCACATTAGAATCCGCAGACGTTACATCGCCCGCGCAAGTTAGTATAGCGGTCCCTAATGAAAAGTCCTGGGTACTAGAGAACAAGCTTGCCGATATTAACGAGCGCTACAGCAGGTAGAGAATAATTCCTTGACTTCTTTATTCTCAGTTTGTTTTGATAGCGTTTGTGATTTCTTTCTTTATTTTTTTTAAAAAACATTTCAGTTTACCCTTTATGAAGAAGGGAACGTTACAAATCGTACAACCTTTCAGAAATTTATGCAAATCAAATCTTGTTTACCGCTCAGACACTCCTGATTGTAAAATTTCGTTTGAGCCAAATTTCCTTCTACAATTTCCACGTGTTACATTTCATGTGGCACTTAACAGTTAGTGGAATCACTTTGCGGCGTACTTGTTGACATTTGACTCCGTATTGAGAGGTAAAAGTTGAGTCGGTCCTTTGTGTTGTGTCCTCCTCCTCCAAGGGAAACTTGAGAAATTGCAGAGATAACATTCGGTGCTCTAACACCCCATCTACCGAAGATGGAACTCCAAGGAGAACCTCCGAAAGTTAAGACCCACCAGCCTCAAAAGATTTACCCCTTTGCAACCCATCAGCAGGACGCATAATCTCCATACTGCTCTCTATACATTTCCTAGGGTGCTGACAAGGAGAATTTGTTTAACAATCAATCGGCTTTAGGTAGTGATCATGTCCTTAATTTTCGTGAACATGATGTTGGATTCAGGGGTAGTATTGTAATTAGAAATTAGATGCTAGCATTCTCAAGTGGTTAAAGGATAAATCTTGTGCGACTAAGTTATTTTTTTCCTTCTTGCAGGCTTCTTTTGCTGATTAGTGAACAAGGAACTATCTTAGACCGATCATGGCGGCAATTGCGTGAGTATGACAGTCAAGCCACACAAGTGATACCTTGGTTGAACAAAGCAGAGGACACATTAGCCCGGTACATGGCGCATCCTGTGAAGTCGGATCCAACAGCTATTAAACAGCAAATCACAGAACTTAAGGTACCCAGAAATGATCATAGAGTGCGTTTTGACTCATGTGGCCTTCAGAACAAAGATGGAATATCGAAGCGAGCTATTGAGAGCAAAATTAAGAAGCAAAGTGTCTAAAGCGCGGGATAACGCGAGTAACAAAGACATTACTCTTGTTGCGCTAAGCTTTAAACCTTTTGACCACGTAAATAACGAAGTGGGTGGGGTGGTCATACGGGCACATTTTAGCTGAAGAGCTAACACGCATCAGGGGTTGTTGTCCTCATCTTGATTTGTTTTCTCGGTAGGTTCTGCAGACAGAGGTCAATTTACATCAGGCGGAGATCGTAGCTGTAGGTGTACTCGGCCACAGTGTCCAAGGACTGATTCGAACGCCTGAGTTTGAACGAGGGAAGACGATAAGCCAACGATATGATGAGTTGTGTGCCAACATCAATGTCTACCAGGAAAAATTGCAGGCAGCGCTCACCACCTCACAGAACTTCAAGGATGGATTAGAGGTTGCGATCAAGGCTCTAACTGAACTTAAGAAACAACTTGACAAAGTTCCACCCGTGTCACGCAATTTGATTGAACTCAGGAACCAGGCTCAGCAGTTTAAGGTAACGGGACTAACATTACAAGTGCTTCAACTTAAAATGGTACTTTTGCTTGACGCTCTTTTCATTCTTTTAGAATTTTTGTGTTAGTCATGAAGCATCCAATCAGAAAAACAACTTTTACATGCCTATTCGAATCTGTCTCTTGGCCCGTGAACTCACAAGATAGGATAAGAAATTCTTGACTATGTCTGGTTTACACTGCCATAGTGATTCAGTCAGAAAATTTGGTGTGATTACACCCTCCAGCCGATGCGTACGTTTATTTTTGTCAATTCCTTGCTCGCTAGCCATCTTGCTTTCCAGATCTTATTAATAATTCTACTTACTGTCCTCTGTACAATTCTTATGATGTTAGTTCAGAGAATTTGGTATTGGATCAACTAACAATCCCCTAAGTGATATTTTTCTCTATTCTCATCTCTTGGTTGCTTTGATATCGTATTGATCTTGTTAGGAGAAATTCTGTCTTGGTCGCTTGGGAGTTGAAGGGTTAATGTTTTGAAATTTCCCAGATTCTTCAGGTAGAAGTCAACCGCAATGGAACATCTGTAGAAGCTCTGAACGACATGTTCAACTCACAAAAGAAGAAGCAGAAAGAATCCAAATTAAAACAGCTCAACAAGCTCTGGGTTGAAGTACTGGAAAGATCTGACAATCGAAAGGAAGAACTCAAGAGTGTGTTTATCATGATCGCAACAGACTTTGAACGCTGGGAACTGGGTATGATCAAGAGGCTTGACTCCGGCGAACTGGTGACCAGTGATATCCTGGTGTTTGAAGAAAAGTTACAGGTTAGAGACTTTGTTCAGGGTTCTAAAAGCTTTGCTGAACATATCCTGACAGTTTTAAGAAATTTTTGGTATGGTGCGGAGGGGCCTTCGGTCCTTAGTATCGCCTACTTTGTATAACAAATGAAGAAAGGGGCTAAGTTTCTAAAGAAACTTTGGCATTGCGTCGGTGGGGGTATTACAAGATAATTTATTCATTTGTATTACAAGATAATTTGATGTTATCAACTTGGTCAGTAGTATAAATTGGTCACCGTAAAGAGTCACCGTAAAGAGTTATCGCTGACGTTTCGAGCGATAACCTTTTTTTTGAGAGAAACGTCACCTCTATAAACTCTTTACAGTTTCAAATTTACACCATGAACTCAGTTGATAACATCAAGTTACTTTCTATCGCAATCTGATCGCTCAAAATCATATTGATAACCCTGATTAGTATGATTCTCATTGTCGCATGACCTTGTTTTACCTGTGAACATCTCCGATTTTCTAATGACGAAGTGATACACCAGAGGCTTCGTTAAAAGCGGGTTTCCGTCGGTCAACCGCTGTCTGTTAAGCCTGTGAGCAGGTTCTCGTGTTTGGGTTTCGCCTTACGGCCCCTTCTCCATGCACAGCCTCCTGTCACATCCTCGGCTGCCTCTTATGGGAAAAGTTGCTGAAACCTCCGGATACACCCTACGCTGATCTAATCGAAATTTTAATTAGTTTGGTAAATAAACTCTATATCTTAGATGTTCGAAATCTTATTTTTAATATACCCCAGTCAGTTCAAATTCCGGCTTAATAAGATGGCTTTGCTGCTTATCTTTCACTTCAGAAAAGAGGGTATCGGGACAATGAACCATTTTTTTTTATTTGCTTAGTAATAAATACTCAACCTGTATTTTTTTCCTTTTCAGCATTTCCAAGACGAAGTAGAAAAGATGCGCCCAGCCTTCCAATCCGTAAACCAAGGGGGTCACGAACTCATTAATCTGGAGAAGAACAAGCAACAGTCCATAATCCTTGAAACACTAGACCGTGTGAACAAGAACTGGCAGACTCTTGCGATTAAACTGCTCAATACCACGGCAAAGTTTGACGAGTTACAGGAACAGTCTGAAAAGTTTTACACTGTCTACAAAACTGTCACTGTATGGTTGGACAGAATGGAAATGAGGCTTGTCTCCATGCCTCCCGTGGGTCTGGACCCAGATGTACTCAGTGAGCAGATGAAAGAACAGAAGGTAGAAAAATAGAAAATTAAAATGTGAAATCCGTTGTAGTTTTGATGTCAACGTGGACATGGATAAGGCTTCAGGAGGCTAGAAATAGCTGTTCAGTTAGAAATTAGAATAAATGATCCCGCCGAAATTACTGAAGCAAATTTTCCTTTCACCTGTTCGCTGTATGGTTAAGTATAGAAAAAACCTGCCGGATGCGAAATTTCGTTCAACTCTCAGTGATCTTCTTGAGGAGTCTCTTTGCAAAGTTATGTTCTTCGCTAATGTCAGGGCTCGACACTAACTTTTCAACTTACTGGCCAAGTGGCGAGTGACATCTTTGATGTTTTTAGATGTTACGACAGTTTCAGTTTGTTTACTTGCCAAACTGGCTAGTGGAAATTGAAAACCACTAGCCAAAACTGAATTTCTACTAGTCTGTGGCTAGTGGGCTACCTTTGGTGTCGAGCCCTGAATAATGTGGTTCTTAACTCTTTACACCTCAGCATCAGTATCAATATTCTGTCTACATTTCTTTTTACATTTCCTTTGGTACTAATAAGGGGAATTTGTTAAGCAATCGAAGCTTCTTAGGTTGCCGTCTATTTCCTCAATTCTTTTGATCTTAATGGATAATTCAGCAATATTATTGTAAGTAAGACTATATGCTGGTCACTTTAAAGGGTTTAAAGAGTTAAAAATTTATTGAATCGCGTTTGAATTCATTTTGCAGGCATTGCAAAACGAAGCCGTGAATTACAAGGCTCAGATAGATCTTTTGGTGGGCCTGGGGAAAGTTATCATCAGTATTACATCTCATCACCCCGGTGAAACAGCTCAAACCCCGCTCGAGGGGGACTTGACGTCCGTGCGCACCCGTTACGATGACGTGTGGAAACAACTAGAAACAAGAAATGTCACGTTGGAGACGACTGTATTGCAGATGGAAAAATATAGGAGACTAGTGCGCAATATCACTATTTTCCTGGGAAGGACCGAAAAGAGGTTAGGGAAACTGGAACCAGTGGCGGGAGACACTGATACCATTGGACGTCAAATATCCGATCACAAGGTAAGATCCAAAGACACTTGTCGCGCCATGTGAGTGACATCAATATTGCGTGACTTTTTTTGGGCAGCTTGAAAGAAAACTAGAAGTAGAATTACTTTCCCTTTCTCACGCTTTTCTTGTCAATGTGCCAAAAGTTTGAACACATGTTGGAAACGTAGAACTTTTTTTCTCATGATTTTTACCTTGTCACATAATATGCTAACTGAGGTGATGAGAAGACTTGAAAGTTTTTTTGTAAGGAACAACACGCTCAGCAAATCGAAGAAAGTGAAAATATGTGTATCACAACGAACTCATCTTGACTCTTTATTTAACATTCTTGGCTCATACATTACTGCGATGGGGGCGAAAGTCATCTAGGATTGCGTTTGTTGTGCGTTAGAGAAATTGTCAATTGAGTGTAATAACTTTGGTTTTGGTTTTTCGAAACTCAACTGAGGTCTGAAATAAAATCTGATAAATCCTTATCAACCGATCACTTGGAGGGTAAAAGAATCTTCGCTTGGTCACTCGCATATTGCAGCGCTTGTAACCGGTTACTTAGGCTCTCTTAGAGTTCTTTTTTTCTCCTGTTGACCTTTGTTTTATGATAAGCTGAAGTGATCACTTTGGTATTACTTAACAATGGCCAATCGAAAAGCGTTGTAATACATGTTCATGATAGATTTACTTTGGATTTCTTTTCCAGACCCTACAAAAAGAGATTGCCCAGAACAAAGGAGATGTTGAATTGCTCTTGAAAGCCGGAAATGATTTATTAGAGGACCGAGAAGGTGCTGCTGGAAATGAAGAAATCCAGGTATAACTGAGCTGCGAAAGTTCTTTACTGCGGTTTCTAACCGTCTACTACTGCAACCGTAGGGTAAATGTGGGCGGGTAAATGTGGGCGGGTAAATTTTCAGCAACAAAACGAGCAAGCGTTACACTACGTGCAGGGAGCCATCAGTCATCCTCTTAAAGGAAATCGATATATGAATTATTTTATCCGCATCCTAAAAAATTCCCTTCCATTCCGATCCTGGGATCCCAAGGTTTGATTTTGATTCCGTAAAGCCTCGTTTTACTGCTTCGGATAAAAACGATTTATTATTACCTTTGACTCTTAGAGGCCGGTCACTATTTATCGCCTGGGTGTGGGTGATTGTGTCATGATAAAATTGACCTGATCCCTCCTCATTAGCTGTTAATAGGCAATCAGTTTTGTATATTCCCCCCCCCCTCCCTTTCTCCTCCGTTGGTGATGACTGAGCCTCCTCCTATTCTGCCTGAAAACCATGTGATCCCTTCAAAATCCTCCGAACTCCCCACCGGTCCTTTACAGGAAGATATTTGGATGTGTTACCGTGACTTACACTGCTTATTCCATTCGTTACAGGAAGAGATTGCCAGCGTAAGAAACCGCATGGAGTTCATCGTGGTAGCGTCAAATGAGCGACAAAAAGAGCTGGAAAGCACCTGGAGTACGGTCAAGAATCTGGACGAATCAGTCCAGTCTCTCACGGTTCAAATCAAACAGCGCCACTTGGAGATCGAGGCGCTCTTAAGAGAAGACGATCCCAAGAATCTTAGCAGGCGGGTCAAGGTAACTGCCGTTAGTGTTGTGCTTTCTTTTATTTGAGTTGTTCGTTGTCAAAATTCAAAAATTATGAAAAAGACAACAGTACAAAAAATGGACAAAAAAATAAGGGCTTGAAGGAGCAAGATCGACTTGGTTAGTCTTAGAACTATTTCCATTAAGAAAGTGAAAAAAACGTGGCAAACCATTAATTCCAGCGGAAACGTAGTTGAACTGTAAACAGTTTCGTAGCTATTGCTGTTACTTGTTTAAGAACTGATTAAGTGACGGGGGCTTTGGTTTTTAATTGGCAATCTACTCGTCATTGACTTGGTTCTTTTTCCCCATTTTCTACCGTCGGAAAACTCCGTGCACTTTGTCGTCGTGTTACTACTTTAGTAGATATTTTTGAAATTGTTTACATTTATTTTTTGTTTGTTTTAACAGGCCTTAAATCACGAAATATCCAGTTTGAAGTACCAGGTGGCCAACACTAATGAATCTGGGCAGGAAGTGATTAGATACCTGGAGGATACGAATCAGGATACAAGTAATGTCGTCCACAAGGTGACCGGGGTTAACAACCAGTGGGATCAACTCCAAACTCAGCTGCTGGAGCTTAGAAATCGTTTTGACGTCAAGGTAAGTCCGGAAAGAAAAGTTCCTTGCGCCTCGCTCTTCACGTTTTACGCGTCACGGTTAATGCATCATGATTCACGTATTACGGTTCACGCTATTCACGTTTTATGCTCGACGTCTCACACTTCACATTATCACCTTCATGTACCCTTGCTTCCCAAGCGAGAACAACCGCGCTAAGGTAAGTGCAGCAGCAATATAACCTCATAGTGGAGTGCAATGGCGCCCGAAAGGGGTGGACGTGATAGTCACGCTGGAAATGTCACACTTGATGCCTATTTGTGGAGCTGGGTATAGGTAAGCTTCCTTTCCAGGTAAATATGTAATTGTGTGTCCTATAGCAGAAAGTACTAGGGAGGAGTGTCTCAAGTGATTTGTCGCGTCAGCTGATCGGGTGAAATAAAAAAAAATTATATATTTATATCTCTAAAATCGAAAAGCAAGGGACATAGAGAGCGTACGTGCATGGAAAGGCTTGTGGTTGCTAAGTATTTTTCCGTGAAAGAGAAGGATCCAGATAATTCCTAGTTATTAGACTAGAAACTGCAGCTGGTGTTTTTTTTGGCGGTCATTGTTCTTAAGGGTGTCTCTAGAACGTGTGAAATGAATGCATAAATTTGTGTTACGATATCCTTTGAAGGTTATGCTAGGCCCATCAGCTACTTGTTCATTTGCTGTCTATTTCCTTCAACGGTTGTCTGAACATCGAGGAATATTTTTTTTGGTTCTTTTTTTAACCGCTGATCGCTTTGCGTCGGTAAACACTCGCTTCGCAATATTGTGCGGGAACAGTTCTGGTTGAACAATTTAGCACGGATCTCTTGGGATAATTATTCGTTATTGACAAACGTGACTGATCACCGAACCTCAGCATCATAGCACACAGTACAAATGAATCCTGTTGTGACAGCTGTTGGACGAGTTTTTGGCTTGTTTAGACGTCGCAGAAAAGATGTGAGTTGATCTCTAAACTTATTCTTAAAGAGACGGAGCTGTAAACACCCTGGACACGGATGATTTATCTTGGAATGTTTAGCATCTATGTTTTCAGTGACTTGACACAGCGACTAATCAAAATCATGGGGCTCTTTAGTGCTTCGCACTGTTTATGCCCAACAAGATATTGCGTAATTTGAAATCTTGATTAGTTTTCGAACGCGAGGGTTGATGAAATTTGTATGTGCATTTTTTAAAATCATGAAACCAAACAAATTATATAGGCGTAAATTATATTGCGGCGAGGATCAGGTGACGTCGTATTCAGGAAAAATCTACTAGTTTTTCTGTCTTTTAATTACCAGTGTTCTATTTATCAAGAATGGTTTTCAGTCATCTCCCCAGCTGCGGGTAGATTGTTCGAGTAAACTATATTGTTCGGTCTTTTAGAAGCGAATCTTGTCTGATAACTTCCAAATTTTTTCAATATGTTGATGGTGGTGATATTTCGTTGTGTAGTATTGATAGCTGAATAATTTCTGTACCTTTTCAAATCATTTCCCTCAGTATTTCCCATGAAAAACTGCAAAAAAAACTGTCGACTGTTATCAGTTCCATGTGTTTGATTCACGTCGCTTTGGCCCCGCGGCTGTAAGTCTAAGTGCTTGTAAGGACTGGTCTGAGATGTGCAGCATTTGAGGACAATTAAAACCCCCACCAGAGGCTTTGTTTAGAGCGTTATGCTTATTTTAGAAATCAACAGCTTATCCATTTATTTGGGTGACGTATTATTAAACTTTCCGACATTTCTCTGAGATTGTAGTGGGGCTATTTTATATACAGTTTTAGATGCAAATTAAATCTGAAAAGGCAACTTTATTTACATATTGGTCGGAAACAGAATAATTAAAGGATTTATGGGAAAAAGTGTAAAAACGTTGGATATAGAAGAGGCTTTTTACAATTTGGCGACTTTTTGCTCCCCGAGATAATCAGTGCGCCGCAAATCCTCCTGAAACTTTTGATACTTAGTCTAACAGTTAGGCAGTGAGAATAGACGCCATTGTCAATAGGGGAATCCTTGTTTACAATATTTGCCTCATTAGCATAAGCAATTCAGTTTCTGATGGAGCTAAAAATAAATCAGTTCTGAATATCGAAAGGCCAAAGTACGATTAACTCGGCCAATGAATACGAGCCTGATGCATTGAATAGTTTTTGTGCAACACGGGTTTAAAAACTCAAAATTTTACATAGAATGTATGAGCTCATTAGCGCTTTCGCCACCCAGAAATTTTGCAGTTTTTGATGAACTATTTCTCCTTGAATATTACACCCAAAGAGCTAAAAATTTCACCATGTACTAAGGTTTTCTAGCTCTTCAGCTGCCTGAAGTCAATTTGTATCTAACATACTTCCTTCTTTACGCAAAGCCGTATGCAAATGAGCAAAAATGTAAACAATGACGTCAGCATGAATCCGCCTAAAAAGATATTGTGTTTGGATGTGACCATCAGTTCATGACTTGCCGGTCAATAAAGAGATATCGCCATCGGTTGGGCGAAATGGCTCTTTTATCTTTGGAGTTAAGTGACCCGCATGGTATTTCATTGTATCTTTAGGATGACGAACCTCCAACAGACAGTGATTCTTCCAGTCCCTTTAAGGTCACCACAGTCAAAAAGAATCTACTTGAAGCATTTGAGGTTCCTAACTCCGGGAAAACGGAACCTACTACTGAAAGAACTGATGGACTGCTTCCATCCAGACCGTTTGAATTAGGAAAACCAGTTGCAAAAAGTTCTGATAATTCTCCCTTTGGAGTTACAGCCGTCGAAATGAGTACCGTTGAAAGTTTAAACTTTCAAGTCCCAAGTAAATCTAAAGCAGAGCCTAAACAGGAAGAATTTGAATGGGGAAGGCCGCTTCTGGGAGCTTCATCTGACGAAGAAGATTACGATGACAATGACAGGGAGACAGTCGTGTTTGAATCAGCAGAACCTGTTTTCTTGGAAGAGGAACCAGGCGAGGTAAGTATTCCTTTGCAGAGCTCGGTAGATAAAAGTGATAATCCTGATGAAGAAGTTATCGAGGAATACGTTGATCAAGACGGACGTCAGGTGAAGAGAATCGCCAAAGCAACGACCACCAAAACAATACTGCGAGTAGAACGTCAGGCGCCCGACTTGGAAATGGATGTCGATATCCCTCCTGAGCCAAAAGAAGAGGTACAAGAGTACGCAGACGAGCACGGTCAACGGATAACAAAAGTAGTGCGGAGTTCTCATACCACAACAATGAAAACAGTACTGCGAGATGGATCAATGAAGGTTGTCCTGAAAACTGATGATAGCGATGAACCCAAGCTTAGAGAAGAACCCGAGGAAGGAGAACAGATAGTGATGATCGCTTCCGATGCTGGTCGTCGCACACAGAAGCTCAGCAAATCAGTTTTCACGACTCAGTTGAAAGGAAGGTTACAACCCGTTACCGTTGCGTTCCCGTCGAGACAAGAATCCGATGTTTCGTCGCCCACACTACCCGCGGAGTCTGGAATGGAAGAAGGAGAGAAGAATGAAGGGGGCGAGCCCGAAGAAAGGCCAGAAGTCAAAGAAAACGTGTTTTCTGTGCATGTCGAGAAAAAAGTGATAATTCCTGAGTTGAGTGCATCGTTTGAGGAGATTCCACAATCCAATTTACTGCCAACAAAAACAAATGACCAATCACCAAAGGCGATGGATGAAATTAAAGATGACAGAGGGCCGAAAGTGTTTGAATCTGCGGCACCTGTTTATCTTGATTTGGACTCTCCGCCAGTTGGTAGAACGGAGGAGTCACCAGAAGAGTTTGAAGAATATCTTGATGAAAATGGTGTTCGTGTTAGGAGAACTGTGAGACGTGTTGTAACTACAACCAGTATTAAGAGACCAGGTCAGCAGATTGAACCAGAGAAGGTTGAGTTTTCTGTAGCGCAAGCAGGAGATGAATCACCAGAACAAGTCGAAGAATATATCGATGAAAATGGAGTTCTTGTAAGGAGAACCGTGAGGCGTGTTGTCACTACAACCAGTATAAAAAGAGAAGGCCAGAAGATTGAACCTGTAGAGGTTGGATTTACTTTACCGCAAACAGAAGATAGATCACCAGAAGACGTTGAAGAATACATTGATGAAAATGGTGTTCGTGTGAAACGAATTGTGAGACGCACCATTACAACCAGAAGTACAATACGTAAATCTGACGACGAAGAGAAAGACGATTTGAGTACAAAGGTATTTGAGTCGGCAGCACCTGTTTATACTGAGACAGAAGATGTTATACCAACAACGGTAGAACTGCCTGTATCCCACACAGACCATGACACTCCAGAAGAACTTGAAGAATACATTGACGAACATGGTGAACGAATCAGGAGAGTTGTGACAAGAACAATTACAAGAACTGTGCATCGGAGAAGTATGGAAGGGACCATAGGAATGCACAAGGCAGTAGAGGAAGTGGTTCCATCCGAAGAAACTGAAACTGTGGAGACAATCACACCTGAATCCGCTGTCTTTGATCAAGCTGAACTTGCATCTTCGCGGCGAGTGTCCATCCCATACCAAACAACCATCGTGCAACGTTACCTCGTGATTATTGAAACACTTTATCAATATGTGTTGGAGCACAAGTCGATGATCTTCATCTATAGCTCGAAACACATGCACTTTAATTTTGTCCTGGAGAATTTCTTGCAGTGGATGCTCATTACTTTGAAAAAGTTGAGCTGGATGAGCGCCGTTTCATGGAAAGTAGATGAAATCAAGACGCAATTCCAAGAAATCAAGGTATTCCTCTCGTGGAATATTTTTTGATTTGCCTGATGGAAATTGCATGAAAATTGCATGCCAAGTAATTTACATTGTGCATGTGAATGTCAGTCATGGGGCCATTTCTGGCTCGTTTCGTTCTACCTCTGCTTAACCTCTTTAAACAAGATTCGTTGTCGTTGCTTGCATGTGCAACGAGAAAGTCAACCCTGGAAAAACACGTGGTAAAGGAACTACAGATGCAACCTAAACGTGATAATCTGTAAACTTGATGGCCTGCGATAAAGATCTATTTATTGTTAATAAATAACACGTGCAGGGACATATTTGTAATAATGAGATTGACAAGAATTAGTTCGTAGCTTCATCTGAAGCACTCTTCTTTGCCTTTTGCACATCTCAACATGGCATTTGTTACGTCGTCTTTGCTGTCATTTTGTCGCTTGTTGTTGAGTTAATGCTCAGTTCATACTGAGGTATTTGCTCCGCGATTGGACTTTTCTCATTCCATTGATGATCAAATATTTTTTAATATATTTCATTTTGTGCATTTTTGTTAGCACCACATATCTAATCCCCGCGATGTTTTGTGTATAGGTAATACCTTTGTTGTTGCTTTTTTTTTTTCAGCATATGTCAGCGTGTAACGATTGTTTGCTTGTGAATCATACCTCCACTTTGCATTTCCAAGAGCACTTCCTCGTGCTTCTTACACGCGCACCTCTGGCCTATTCTAGCATTGTTCGTGTTTATCTTGCTGTCACACGTACTTTTAGTTCAGTTTTTCATTCCATGCATGCGCTTCGTGTATGTTCACTTTTGTCCTTGCACTCAATTATTTCCTTTGACTACTTACAGCTTGTGTTCGTGCAGCCTCCATCTCGTACTTTATTCTTTCCTCACAACATCACATTGCAGCTATCTCAATTACTGTTACATTTATTTGTCATGTTCATTTGTCAGGTTTCATTTTATCTACTAAGATTAATCTTCCATAAATGCTATAATCTTGGCTAATATCATTCATTTCTTGCTCTTCTTAATTTTGTCAACTTATACACTTGAAAACTTTGTAAATCTCGGTTGAAGTTTTGTCATTTTCATGAAACAATTTTTTCTAGTTTATTCGTCATACGTTTGCAATTGAATTAAATACAGTCGTTGTTAACGAGACACCTAATTGTTTAAATGACTGATACTAGTCTAATTTTTTTTATTAAGAAACGTGATTACGAGGATTACAAAGTGATAATGAAAGATAAAATTAAACTTTTCATTGAAGTTCTTGAATCGGAATTCCCTTTTCCACGCGAGTAACGATTGAATTATTAAATGCGAAGATTACATTCCTATATTTTCAATAGAAACAACGTGAAGACGAACAATACGAACAATGTCAGAACGCTTAGTAACTGATAATTTGATTATAATCTATTTGTAAAAATTATACGAGTTAACGTCTCGACTTGACTGAATCCTTAAAGCCCATACGCAAGAAATGATAACTATTCAGAAATACTTTCATTCGTTTTATGTGAGGGTGAGAAAAACACCAAGTTTATTGACAGAATCCTCCCTTTTTCCCGTAGGACATAGAAGACGAAATCGCTGATCGAGCACCAATCATTGAAAACTTCACCAAAGTCAGCGAGGTCCTGGTACAGACTGCGCAACCTGGTGACAAAGAAGAACTTTCAAGAGAGGTAAATCACGTGACCCAAGCCTTGAGCAGCATCGTTGACAGGGCCGCTGACCGGCGGAGAAGCTTGGAAAATATTGCGCCTCTGGCGGATGATTTCCATGATGCCTTACAAAACCTGTCAGAAGTGATTTCCAAAGTGGAAGACAAACTGAATATCCAGCGTGCATTCGGGGCGGAGCCTGAAAAAATCCAGGAGGAGATTGAGAAGATAAAGGTGAGGCTACCACTGATAGTTAGAAGTTTAAGGGAGCTATTTAAGTAAGATATTCTGGGACGATTTTAACGCCGTTTTAGTGGCTTTTAAAATATTTGTTCGGGGAGACAACAATACAGCGTGAAAGAACCAGGACGGCTCAGGGTGGCGAAGATTAAACGGATGGCACATGGAAAATGGCGAACGTGAAAAAAATAAAATGAATGAAATAAACCGTGATGTAGTGCCTTAAAAATGTTCTTTTACTGGCGGAAATGTTAGGCAGCTGCTTGCCAAGTATACAATTTTTCCTTTGACGTCAAGGAATGAAAATACAGTAGGTGCTATTCACTGGGAAGACCCCAGGGTTGGGGGACAAGTCATCGTTGCCGTTTGTCGCTGTTTGCATCCTGTTGAGTTGCAGGTTTGTGCGTTCTTATGCGTGCAGCTCAGGCGTTGCTGAGTAGAATTGGGTTTAAAGGATCAGAAGGAAATAAATCTATATTACCAATAATAAGTTAACTCTAACACAGTTAAATCCTCCCCATTTCCGAGTTGAAGTTGCAAGTTAGTTCTACCTTACTTAATACTATTATTATCATCATTATGATTATTATTATTAATATCATCATTATTATTATTATCATTATTATTATCATCATCATTACCCTTGTTAGATGTAATCTTTTTTTTTTTTTGGCTGATTTAAGTTAACTCATTCAGTCATTACTCGACGCGGGCAGAAATAAAGCCCCAAGTACCCAAATATTGATTTGACATCAATTTAATGTTGGCCTATCAGACATCAGTTGTTTACTTTGCTATTTTTCAATCTGCACGATTCCTTGAATTCCATTCTCTCCTTTTAGAGGGTCCAAAGACTTTTCCCATACCTTTGTCCGATCCGTTTCCAGGGTCCAATGTACGGATACTGAAAATATTCATACCAACATGGCTTGCAGCGATCTTTCTTTTGTTACCTTAAGTATTTTAGTGTTTTTAGAAACAAACTCTACCTCTACATAGTTGGCTTTGTCAAAGATACAATGTCAAAATATAAATTTGTTAAGAATAAAGGTATTTTCTCACCAGCTTGCGTTTGTGTCAAGGAAAAAAAAAACTGATGATACCTGGGCCTAATGCAGTGCCTTTCTGCGAATATACATATGACCCAAAGTCTGATAGAAACTGGACAAGGGAAAGATAACTCGAACAGCACGTACAGCGGTCTTACTTTGAGCACTTTGAAACAGAATTTGGGGTTTTCCTCTCATTATCAGTGATATCAATTTTTGTAAGAAAGTCTTGTACAACAAGCCAATTTGGTTTCCTGTATCTGTTGACGTGAAAGCAAAGAATCAAACTTGTTAGAATCTTTCGTGTTGAACCCAAAATTTCAGAGGTTAATTCCCACGGACCACTCAGCATGGTTTCCATCGAAGCGTTTATTTGTTTGATTATTTTTTGGCAAAAGAATTACATCGCTAATTATTTTATATTATTGGCATCAAAACACAAAGGTGGGACGGATAGATGTGAAAAGAGGTGTTAGCAAGCGAAGAAATAAAAGCGTTATTCTTTTGTTCGCGTTTTTTCGTGTAGGCCTCCTTAAAAGGAAATCTGCTTTACATATTTTCTTCCTTAAAACACATTGTTCTGAAAGTTCTTCGTCGCTTAAATTTATGCTGCCCCGCACAGTATCTTGAAATTTTTTTTTTTTCTGTACTTTTCTTGTTAATCCCTTCAGATGGAAAGAGATGAATACAGCAGGATTTCATCCTAAGTGTTCTTGTGTATTGAGAATCATTGTTTTCCGTTTCTATCATGAAGCGAAAATGTTACTTTCGTAGATTGGGTAATTACGTTTTTCACACAGAAATCAGAAACTTTCCAAACATGTGCTTTTCAAAACAATATTAAAATGGCATTTGCTGTACAATGTATTCTTAGAAACACGTCATCACTTGATTTTTTGGTATCCTCAAAATAATTTTTTTCTTTAAAAAATCGAAGTCGTTTTTTTAAAGTTTATTCGGGCAATGATATTAAATTTTCGCTGTTTCCTTTCTCAGTGGGAACACAGGATTAAGGCTTGTTTGTTGAGATCTTGTGTTTAACATAGTGCGCTGCGAGAAAGCGGCTGTTTCTTTGTTTAAACTAGCGACGGCCTCTGACAACAAAGACGGCGACCTTGTCTCAAATGTAAATTCGGTGTCGTGAATGTATAATTAAGTGGCAGTGTTTAGGATGGCAAATTTATGTATACGCAACGGTTCCTGGATTGTTTTGAAAAACCCGAGTCATCACCGACCGTCTAAACACCAAGCAAAAGATCTGTGTAAGAGGGAATGAAAAGGAAAATTTCAGGATTTGTTCATCATTGAAACCTATCCTAGATTATTCTGGATTTATCATGTCGGACAAGCGAATGAATGGAGGAAACTTGTTGATGAAATCATGCCTACGATAAATCCATCAGTTCATCCAAGAAACACGTAGATCTAAACTTACAACAACAATTATTGGCGTTCTAAAATGTACAAAGAGGAAAGTCGGAGTAATCTTCCAGAATGTGGTTGTCGAAGTTGCAAAATTAAGACGAATCGCCTTGGGCATTGTAATAACGTGAAATTTGATGAAGCCGCCGACATAGGCAGTTTGCGATTAAAACTCCGTACGAGACGATCGCTCGGAGAGTTCTCGTGCGACAGAAAAGAGGAGAATTCAGTCCACGCTCAGATGAATGGGGGAACGTATATCAGATTTACGGGGCCCACAACTAAAAGCACCGTAAATCCCGCTGCGAGAGTTATGATAAGCGATTCAAAAAGCCGATCAACTTGCGGATGTTTCTTGGAAAAATCTGTGGACGGCAAATCTCGTGCGTTCGATTTACAAGCTGACGATGTGTCTGGAAGTGCACAAGAAGAATATTTTCGCGCTGTAACTATTTGGCAGGGCTGTTTGAACAAACCTCTGAATGTCCGTGTGAGAAGATCGTCTGGCCAATCTTTACCGCGTGCAAATCGTATTTCGTCCGGATATTTTTATTGCAATGGCGAGTTGCAGACTGGGAAAAATAAATTTTATAGTAAGGCGAAGAATCATCTTCAACCAGAGGTAGGGAACCGGCCGAGATGTTAATCAAGTCTTGATAGCGCCATGCTTTTCCTTTCGAGGAATTTTCTAAATTTAGTACTGATGCAGTTTGAAGGCCTTGAAATATTGACGACAAAATTGGCAAGGTTTTATACATGGCTTTCCCTGCTGTGGTGATTTGACTTGGAAATACGTTGACTGGAATTTCAAAATTAAAATTCGAGTGAATGTGATTATCATTTTTCAAATGGCAATCGCTCTTGATCGTCATCAAACATTACACGGATTGGGACGATAAAGATAAACAAATGAAATGCAAATGACAGGCACTTAATTTATGTTGTTCTATATGAGCAGTAAAGTAAATAGTTTTTATGGAATTGTTCGCTCAAAGGAACGATTAATTTTACGATTTCGAGCTAAAAGAACAGTTTGTTTCGCCCGTTTTAGGCAGGTACCCGCTGTTAAATAAAAACAACTTTGTTGCACAAATTTTTCGACATCAAACATATCTTAACACTTTCGAAAGTAAACTTAACCCCGCAGATTCAATATTTGTCTTTTGATGTTTCATATTAAAATATGTAATAACTCTTTGTAAAAACTTTTTCCTTTTTTTATATAATTTTTTCAGGCCTTGAATCTTTGTTCGTCTCTACAGAACAAAGGGCAAGAATTAAAAATATTGGACTTTAAAGAGCTTGACCACAGCAATAGTAAGAGGAATTTTAATGTGAAGCAATCATTTTTTAAGTGTTTCTACGTCTTTCCTTCTAGAACTTACAATCGGAACTAAACAGCGAGGCGGAAAGAGCTCACGTTACTGGTGAAGCTCTCCTGAGTCTGCAAGATCCTTCCACAGACATGGCAGCGGTGCAAAGTCAAATGGATGCGCTGTCAAGTAGAGTAGATGCATTAAAGGGTAAAATGACCCGGTTTGAAGAACATTACGACGAGCACATGCGCAAAGCCAATGAATTTCAGTTGGCGGTGAAAAGACTTCTTGCAAGGCTCGACGGGAAAAATGAGGAACTGTTAGCAGTTGACATAGACACCACGGATGGCCAGGCCGTCCAGAAACGAATTGAAGAGCTGGAGGTAAACAATTTTAGTTTCTTAATTTCTCTTTATCCATGTTAATTGAAAGAAAAATATTTTACATTTAACTTTAGAATTAGAGTATTTCAGTTGTAATTTACATAAAATGGCGCATGATTTTACGATGCTGTGTTTAAAGTAAAGACATTCTCAAGTATCCTTTGACATTTGGTCATTCTTGATCGCCCGATGACGCCTCCAGTTGTAAGAAAAGTGACAAAGAAATTTTTTTTTTTGTTGCACTTTTTTCTGTTACACTGAATTAGCTTTAACCCGTAAACTCCTAGAAGTGATTAACTTGTAACTTCTCTCCATCATATCCACACGTTACCCAGCAAACAGGTAATGAGAATACTCAAACTTATCAGGTTGAAGTTGTTACCTCGTTTTAACGACAAATTCTCGTAACTAATTTACATGGAAATATGTAGCAGCTAGAGGAGAGAATTAAAAAATCAGATCTTGGGATTTGAAGGGTTAAAGACATAAATGGCCCATTTCCGAATTACCCTTGGCCTCATTTTCAAAACGAGTCCTGGTGCTCATCCTTTCATATGATAATAAGTTTTCATTCACATCCAAATTAAACTAATTTTCACAAGAATGGTTAAGCACCAGGCCTCGTTTTGAAAAAGAGGCCAAGGGTAATTCGGAAATTGGCTATTGACATACTTTGTACTTAAACCAACCCAGAGAGTATTTTAAAGCCGCTGATAACCGCCAAATCACTCGGAGACTAAAAAACTGTCCAAACGTTCCTGAAGGTAAAGCAGGGGATGGCATGTCTGTGAAAACACTTGCTGCTAGTAAATATTGTCTTGTAATCTTATTTAACGCTGCTTCCTTTTCCTATGCAGGCTATTCACGAAGAGATCAGTAAACACAAGCCACTGCTTACGACGGCAACTCTGACCGGTGATTGGCTCATTAGAAACGCGCAGAGGTCAAGCGCCGTGTAAGTAAAACCGAACATAACTTGCCTTAATTTGAAGTCACAGGAAGTCCACCTACTTTTTGTTAGTAACCTGTGAACCCTCCACCTGGTGCATTGACTTTTTTAACAAGATACCTTCCTAATGTAAACCATCTATTTGTGACATCGTAACTGACGGAACTGCTCGGGGACATTGAAAACATTCTCTACACATTCACCACAACTCTGTCGCGTGAAGAATTCTGTTGTCTAATTCCTATTATTAAAAACTGGGTCATTGGATAATGCAATTCAAGACTTTTTATTGGCTCAGCCATTATGGTATATGAGCCAATATACCATAATCTAATTTCTGTACATTGTTAAATCCGGTTTCTTCTCACAAAATAAAGTCGAGAAGATTTGTCTAATAGTTTGGGGGCGTTTTTTTAATAAAACAATTATTCCACTCGCGTTTGTTGGATATGAGATGATTATAGCCAACGAGGCGCGTAGCGCCTCGTTGGCTATCTATCATCTCATATCCAACGCGCGCTCGTGGAATAATTGTTAATAATCAGATGTAAAGATTGTTTTTAGTTTTAACTGTTTTCCATCCCCGTTTTCTTAACATTATTTTTCTTATTCGCGAAAGGTTACCAAATGGAGAACCCGAGAGTGAAGCAATCCCACGAGATGTCCAAGAAAAGCTAGACATGATCAAGGAGAATTTCCACGTCTTGGAGATAACAATCCGCGAACAAAGACTTTATTTGACTTCCCTGTCACGTCAGCAGGTAAATAGCAATAGTATAGCTCGATTATTGTAAGTCGATGGGTGGAGGGAAGTGTCATTACACACCCCCTCCTTCTTTCTCACCCTTCAAGGCATGGCGGGATAGCCGATTGTCAAGGACGCTGATCTTGTTATCCAATCGGTCGCATGTACAGGTAGAAATCGTCACAGCCACACTTCGCCTTCATGATTAAAATTTATATCATGGTACAAGTTTGCATTGATGTTTGGGTTGTTTGCGAGTCCTTCAAAAAGAAAATCGGAACTCTGCGTCGAAGGTCCGGAATTCACGTTCTTTGCCAGCCTGTCCTCTGTGAAGGTTAGACATCCGGTCTGGATATATTTTCTCAAACTGTCACCGATATGTTTTGGATTGCAGGAGCAGAGACTGTTCGCTCTCCCAGTCGACCATGCACCTGTAGAGGAAGCCCTGAATCATTTTATTTCTTGGCTTTCGCGTGCAGAGGAGGTGGCCTCAAAATATGAGCCTTTGAAACCTGATTTGGTCACACTCAAAGACGACGAGATAGCGATCACGGTAAGTTTTAGTAGTAAAGGGTTTGTAAGTTAAAAGTACATGTGGACGCACTAGTAGGGATTTTCTTGAAGGAGAAGACCATGTCAACACCTTAAATTAAAACTTCTAGTGTGTAAATCTCGCTCCATGCTTAGTTTACTTCGTCAGTGGCTGACGTTTTGGCGCAATCAGTAGCTGTCGAGAATCTGGAGGGTGTATATCAGATTCAATTCATTGCAGTGGTCTTTGTGGGGTGTTTTTCTTAGTTTTAGGATGTCCACTCTCCAATCAAAAATCTAACTGCGTTCCAAGGAGCTATCAGGGGAACCCGATGAGTGTTTAGTAACCTGGGGGCGGGAGAGTAGGTGATGGAAAGGAATCCCATCGATGAGTTAGAAACCGTACGACTAGTTTCTTCATGGTAACAAAATTCGGATAACCTCTGACGATGGGCTGCATTAATTTTTAACATTTAACTTAGCGATGTTATTTTTTCTTTTTGTCCAGGCCGACAGACGCGACGTCCTGATGCACGAACCGAGCTACAACAGCCTCGTACGAAAGGCCACTGAATTCATGCAGAAGTCAGGCCCAGGCCCAAAACAAGATGAGATCAGCACCAAGATGGAAGATGTGAAGAAGAGATGGGAAGCGCTTAAGAAAACAACCAACAAACGACATGCGCAAATTGCTGACGTGTTACCGCTGGCTCAAAAATACCACGACAATTCTCAGAACGTGAAGGATGTGGTGACACTTGCTGAAGCCGAGTTGGGATCATATCTGGGTGTGTCGCCTGACATTGAGACAGCAAAACAAGACTTACACAACATCAAGGTATGCAAGATGATACTCTTAGTACTCGGGCTGAGACCCGATTTTGCTGAAACGCGATTTCGCTGAAACGCGATTTCGCTGAAACCCGATTTTTCGCCAATGATGGGTTCACTGCGAGCGAAATCCCTCAGATAAGCTTTATTTACCGAGGCAGTTGACCTTAATTCATATCTCGAACAATTTGGCCTTGCGTTCGTTTAATCGGTAACTCCTCTGATTTCTTCAGGGTGTCCTGAAAGCTGTCGAAAGACGCGAACGTGACGTCAAGCGAATGAACGAGGTCGGTGCCGAGTTGGTTGAGAAGCTAGAAAAGTACCACGGAATGTCAAGCGAAGCGCGTCACGATCAGCAAACAACCAGTGAACGGTACGAACGGATTCGATTGGAGCTTCTTAACCGCGAGAAGCTGATTGAAGCGCAAGTCAACTCCTCGGATCAGTTCATGACTGCGCTGCAGGGGTTTGAAATGGACTTAACTGGCGTGGACACTGCCATCTTAGAGGAATCAGTCGGAAGTGACAGTGAAGTGCTAAAGCGACAGTTGGCTGAGCTTCAGGTGAGAATAATTATTATTGGAAACTGATCATTTAATCCTATAGAGGTAATGAATTTCTCAACTTTACACACCACTTTAGAGTTGCTTGCACTCAGCGTACGATTTTAGTCTTTCGTAAGCATTAGAAGCTATCCTAAGTATCATTATAAAAATAAAACCCAAATGTTAAGGCCCTGAAAAGTAGAAAAAGAACTTGATACTGTTTCTCTCCACGGTTGCCCTTTCTTAACCCTTTAACTCCCATTAGTGACCAAGACAGAATTTCTCAGTACAATATTAAGACCATCAAGCAGACAGATGATTGAGAATAAAGCAAAAAAAAACACTGAGGGACTTATTAGTGGACCAGATACCAAGCTCTCCGAACTAACATCGTAAGAATTTTATGGCGGACAGTAAGGAGAATTACTAATGAGATTTTGGGTGTGGCCTGAATTTCTTTTTGTTCGTTTGCTGTCTGTACCTTTGACAATCTTAACTGTTTCTCAATGTTTTCTTTTCCAGGCCTCCAAGGTCGCTTTAGCTCAACGACGCCCCAAATTAGCCTCGTTACAGTCGGATGGACTGGCACTGATGAAGGACAACAAAGAAAACGAAAAGTTCGTTGATGCAACCAAGTCCAAAGTTCAAAACGTTACAGATCTGTACTGCAGCATTGAGGACAGAATCAAAGATCGAATCGCGCAGGTACAAACTGCACTCTACCGTTGTCAAGGATTCAGCGAGGGGCTGGACGACTTTGAAAGATGGTTGTATGACACCGAGAGTCGATTCCAGGCCCTTGGCATGCTGTCAATCAAGCCAAGTGTAATCAAGAAGCAAGGTTCTGGACTGAAGGTAACTTGATGCTCAGTCAGTGTCTACAAGCCTCTATATTTTAACGACAAACCTTGAAAACGTTTCCTTTTCCCTAGGCGGATGACTGAGTTGTGTTTGAAGTTGTTTAGTCTTTTTGAGTTTGTTAGCTTCGCCATGGTGATAAGAACGAAGGCCTAAAAAGTTGTGAGGTGGCTTTCATTACAGATTGTTATGCTTTTTTATGAAGGTGACTCAAGCTATTTGATTTGTGAATGTAACTAGAATGTCTTACCATGAAGTGAAAGCAGTTCAGTTCTTCATTTCTCTGCTACTGTAAATGGCATAATCGGTTTGGATCATGATTTAGTCTTTGAAATAAATCTTTAAGTAGTAGGACATCCTTAGCCGAAATGCGCGACGCGAGAAGGTGCTCTGCAGGTCTTGTTATCAAAAGTAGTCTCCGCAATCTTCGCATAAACTCAAACCAGGTAGAATTTGTACAAGTAGTTGCAGGGACAATATACTCTCATAGAAAATATTTTCCATGTAATGCAAAGCAAGTTGCCGCCACGCTCAGTGTGTCCCAGTTTTTTAACCTTACTGGACCATATCTTGACCTCGGAATTGATAGCAAACTGTAATGCTGTGAATTTTTAAGGTCATCAAAGAAGACATCGAACTCCACGCTCCGCTGTACGAAGAACTCAGGCAAGGAGGTGTAGACATGCTAGCACGAGGAGACTCCATACCCGACAGAAGTAACATAGAGTTGAGACTTATGGATGTGAACAACCGCTGGAAAAGCTTAAGAGCAGGCATTGACGAGCGGAATAGGAGTCTTGGTAAACTGGTACCGAGCGTATTTGGCTACGTGGAAGTGCGAAAGGAGGTGATCACGTGGTTAAGTGAGAGCGAGAAGAAATTCGACGAACTGGCTTTGGGATTCGGTGATATGGGCGACCTCACAATCATGTCACAGAAACAAGAACAACTCAAGGTGATTTGCTCTTTTTTTTTTTTTACCTTTGTATGTTGTTTTTATTTTAGCGCAGGGTTTAGGCATCAGGTCAAGTAAGTTTCGTTAGTCGGATCAGATAAATTATGCTCGAAAATTTGAGCATAAGACTATTAAGCGTCTCGCTGGAAAACATGGCACTATGGCGATAGCGAGGCCACGAAGCCTCCCTGCCCGTCCCACCCACAGTCCTACCGTCAACAGGTAAAACTTGTGAAGTAAAAATGGCTTACCGAAGTTCAAAACTCAATAATTTACTAGATCAAATTCCTAAAGAGTCAGAAGAATAAGCTGGCTCTCTATTGACATCACTCAGGCTACAGAATTTATCTCTTATTGAAATGAAATTTTTAGAAGTTTAGTCATTATGCCGGCATTAGGCTCAATTTTTTGACTTCAGCATTATGCCCAAAATTTTGCCGGTATAACTTATCTGATCCTATTCGTCAGTGTATTTATGACACGAAAATTAAAGATTAAAAAATACGTCATTCTCGTTCGACAGGCTTTGCGTGAGGACATGGAAAACCACAGACCAGTGTATCATAACCTTTTGACCATGTCTGAGGCTTTGATTGGCGTGTGTCACGAGCTCTTAATCAATAACGACGTTGTCATGGTGATCGGTGAAGTGGAGGAAGTTAAGAGACGATGGGAAGCGTTGAATACGAAATTGCTCGGTGGAGAAAAAGAACTGAGAAATTCCAACAAAACCCTTGCGCTGGTTCGTAACAGCTTATGCAAAAAAATATATATACTTTTACTCTTGCAAGAGATTACCACGTCCACTAGCATTAATACATATCTTTGCCAAACTACTTTTTGATGTCAGTCAATCAGCCTTTCAGTCATTCATTCCGACAGACACTTAGTTGGTCTTTCAGGTAGTCTGTTACTCAGGGAGTGAGCAGACAGTCTAACAATTAAACAAACATGTAAACTATAAAACGTAAACTGTATTTTAACATTTGCCAAATAAACTTCCTCTTTTAAAAGGCCTATACTTAACTTTTTTTTGCTTTGAAATAACTAATGTTGTCTCGGCTTTTCAGGTGCAAGAAGCATTGCAACCAATGCAACAAGTTATGGCGGAAGCAGAGGGTATTCTAGGAACCGAGCCTAAAGTCGGTTTTAACATCGGACAAGCCAAGGAAGAACTCATCAAAGTTAATGTAAGTACAAAACAGTCGCCGTGTTTGCGAGGAATTTTTCGCTTTGTAGACAATTATTTGAAGCTTAACGATGTGTGTGGGTCTTTGGCAACAGAAATGCATCGACGTATTGGAAAAGACAGAAATAAAGTTACTGAGATTGTCCAAGCAAGTTACCAACAACGAGTACATCATCACGATCATCAAAGACAATAGAGTCATGCAGGTGAGTTAGACGGACAGCTACTCCGGCATAGTTTATCTTCCCTTTTTACTTTTGATACCCTAACTTCAGGATGCACATTCTCCATACTGTTCTCTATACATTTTCGAAGGTGCTGACCAAGAGAATTTGCATAGCAATCAAGAACTTCTTTAGTTGATGATCATTTCCTTTATTCTCGTGACCTCTACTTTTGATTCATGAGTTATATTGTAAGGAGAAATTAGAAGCCAGTCATTCTTTGATTAAAGAGTTAAAAATCCACCCGTGAATGTTTGTGGGCAGGTTGAAGCATGGTAATAAATTCAATAGTATACCAGTGCTGTGTAACTCACAACGTTTTTCTCGATAGATTCGCTTGAAAGAGAGAAAAGTCAAACTGGAGAAGTACATCCGGACCGTGGAAGTTTTCCAGGGAGCTGGGAATGAGATTGAAATGAAGGTGATGGGTATCATGAGTTTTGTGTCAGTTGAGGTCGTTGTGACAGACTTGGAGAACATCCGGGACCAGTTGCAACACGTACAGGTACATTAAAGAATTACTTGCCTCTATTCTCAAAGATTGCCCACCGATGTTGTCTGTTGACTGAATCACGCGCTTTTGCCCTTTTCCGAAAGGTTGATTTAGTATGAAATTTCTAAATTGCTCGTGTGTTCACTATATAATAGTCAATAGTGAGGAGTTAGAGTACGTTCATAAAGCTAAGATGTTAGCTGTCACCTTCTCCTTCGATCTCAAATGGAACGCACATGTAGATGAGATAGTAAAGAAAGTCAACAAGCGCCTTTACTTCTTACGCCAATTAAAGCGCGCCCAGGTTAAGTCTAAGGAGCTCGTTTTATTCTATCTTACATGTATTAGATCTGTTATGGAATACGCATGCGCGCTCTTTCATAGCAGCCTACCTCAATATTTATCAGTTGATTTAGAAAGATGCCAGAAGTGCGCATTACGTGTAATTTTCCCTGATAAAGAATATGACAGGCGCTATCGTTATCGTGCACTGGGCTTATCTTGCTGCATGAGCGGCGCGAGAATATTGCCAACAAGCTCTTTTCTAACCTTCTTGCACCAAATCACAAGCTGCATAAGCTCCTGCCGCCCAGGAATGTATCTAGGGTGGACTTAAGGAAAAAGCGGGCTTTTAATTTACCTGTGGTTCGTACGAACAGGTGCCATGATAGTTTTATCTTTCATCATTTACGCACGCTTTGTATAAGCTGACTCTATTTATGTAACCTAATTTTTAATATTTTAAAAGTATGTCAACATTTATATATATATATACTTAAATTTGTAAATGAATACGTAATTCAACCTTCGGTTGCAATGTTTTTCAATTAAACTGTCTATCTACATAACCTTTCACAGACCTGTATTCAGCAGTGATTTTAGTTGCGACGGCGATAAACTTTTTTGGGTCTTTCTTCGCCTACATTTTGCGGACGCTTTCTGTTAATTATTTCATTTATAAACACCACGTGGATTAAGTTCCTTTTTGTGAGCCTTGCCAGAACTGCTAGTTTCTTTGTAACGCATGGAAGAAGCGAAACTTGGACAAACGCGAAATGCAAAGGCAATGAGATAGAAAAAGGCGTAGACGAAATTTAGCCATCTTTTGAAAAGTTAAGTATTTTCTGTTCTGTTTTGCTAGAATCTCGAAGAGGAGGTTGTCATTCATCGGAGAAAAATTGACACCATGGAAGAGACTGGCGAGTGGATCATCAGAGAAAACGGCGGCGAACCCGAAGTCATAAGCGAAGTTCACTCGAGCATCAACCGAGCGAAATCGACCATTAACGAAGTGACGGTGAAACTGACGGATCGCCGCCGAAGACTCGAAACGGCGCTGACAGAGAAACAGCAAGTGTATGACACCTTTGATGACTTTGATAGAAGGGTTGTAAAGCTGGACAAGTCCCTGACCCGAGCTAAACCTGTATCAGCAGAGTTTATCGTCATTAAAGAACAGAGAACATCTCATGAGGTTAGTTATTGCGTGATGGAATGTCTATTCTCACTGGCGAACTAAATGCGAGTGATGTCTAACGAGCCTTACGGTCCTTTACCGCCCTGGCTTATCCCAGTATCCAGATCGTAGAGAGTGGCGTGGAATGCTGGAATACTAGTCCGTCGTTGAGTTTTCTCGCAGTTCCCTGGTACCCATGTATTCTCCTTGATGGGGGAAGGTATTAGAGTTAAGTGCCCTGCCTCAGAGCACAACTGAGGGACCCATTTTATGTCTTGTTTTTCCAGATCGTCGTTCGAGAAGTAGGCCGCCTTCGCCCTATCTCCGACTACCTCTTCCCAGCAGCAGAGAGTCTTCTTGGCAAAGCCGAGGAAGCCCCGGATAAGCAGCAGTTTGAAACCCGTGTGGTAGCCACTCGTACCCTGTGGGAGGGTGTGCGAGTCAGAAGCGACAACCGACACGTCGTCATTGAGAGAGTGTTCCCATTGGCCCATAACTACGAAGACGCTTACCGCGCGTTGAACATTTGGCTCAGAGAGACGGAACAGAAAGTCATCAACCTCACTCCAGTTCTCTGCAATTTCGAGAGCTTGAATTCCCAACGCAATAATTTAAGGGTGAGAACTTTGATTTCCGTGAGTATGGCTTGGGTTTTTTTCCATGAGACTTTTTCCGATTGATTTGAGTAAAAACAGCAATAACAACAAAAACATTTTTGTAGTACTTTCTGGCCCAAGATCTGAAGCTAAATCTTCTCCTGTGTTTCTTTCATTCTCCTTCTCACCTAGAATTCTCTTATAATGTCTGTTTTTTGGAAAGAAATCGATAAAATCACCGATGTAGTTTTTTTTATCACTGACTTGTGTTGGATCTTTCATATGGTTTCCAGGCCCTTCAAGAGGACGTTAGTAACCACGCGCCAGTGTTCGAGTTTTTCATGTCAGCGGCAACGGCCCTCAACAACGCTTGTGATGCAGCTAACATCACAGAAGGATTGGAACCTGTTAAAATGCTCAATAAAGAAGTAGCCAATCGCTGGCAAGTCATGACAGATGTCGTGGAGGCCACGAAGAATGAGATTGACAATGTCCAACAGCAACTGAAACAATACGAAGACGCCGCTGACAAAGTCAAACTCATGTTGAACCGCGCTGAAGCAGCCTTGGCTTCCCAGAGTGCATTAGGAGCAGATGTAAACAAAGTGAAGGCCAAAAGAGACACAGTAAAGGTGAGTCGGAATTCGATATCTCCGCGATTTTAATCTGTAGTCTTGTTTGTCAACGTTATTAACGCGTCTTTTTTGATTGATTTTGATTTCGTTTAGACCTTACTATCAGTGTTCGAGAATGGTAAAGATGATGTTGAGTCTCTCAATGAGGCTGGTGAGAAGCTCCTTCGCAATGTGGATCATCAACTGGTGAACTCTTCTCCCGTACAGGATCAGCTCGCTGCTTTGAATGCTTCCTACAAAGACCTGTATGACAAACTGGAAGCAGAGGAACTTAAACTTGAACAGGTGAAAGGGTTTTTAAGCTTTGTTTAGTTTGCTTCGACATCTGCAAGTATTTAGACATTTTAGTCTTCTCGGTTGAGGACAAAAAACTGTATGCCCCGTCCCTTGCATCTTCTCTGTACTGGTTAGCAGGGAACGTTAAAGAACCCACGCACTTTTTGGAAAGAGAAGGAAACGTTGCTCCCGTCGTTGTGGTCTGGCCTTGTTAACGGATATCTGCAAAGTTTCCCGCAAAGTAGTGTAAAGTGCCTAGAGCTCATGGCTAGTCACTAGCTATGGCAATAAAGAAATCCTTCGTAATCACTATTGTATTATTAGTTAGATAACACCTAGAAATAAGACTCTTGGTAAAAAAAAACAAAAACAAAAACAAAAACGAATGGTTTCGGAAATCAGTTGTGAAAAGAAATACCCTGCCCTGTTATTTTCCTAATAGCTTTTAGCTGACGATGAATTTATCATCCTTCTACTTAACTTGTAGGTGATTGAGAATGCTGAAGATTTCCAGACTGCTATTTTCGAATTTGAAGCCTGGCTACCCAAAGTATCAGCCGCAGTTCAGCAGTTCGAGCCTATTTCCTCAAATCTGGGTGGAATCAAAAAACAGCTGAAGGAAGCTGAGGCAAGACTTTCGATTTTGCTAGGCACTTATTGAAATGAAGTCTGTGACTTGTTTTGCATTGAAGATGTTCCGCGTTCCATATCCTTTTATCGGAAATTTCTCTGCTCGGTCATAACTTCTCTAAAGAATTTAGATCTCGGGCCTTATTTTTATGGTCTCTGGCTCCCAAGGCAGCCTTCCCCTTCGTGACAACTTTACGGAGCGTTTATATGGAGTTGTGAGTTTTAAGAGCTGTGCCCTTGCCAGTCTCTCCCGATAGCCAGGCAGGTCAAACGCCATTTTAACTTTTTACTCGTTTGAAACCGTTCGCATAGATAAACGAAAAATTGACCATCTGTTTTAAACTTTTCTTTCCTTCCAACAGGATTTACATGACACTTTAGAGGAAAACAAACCGCTTTTACTATCCGCCGAAGACTGCGGGCACCGACTAGTTGAGGTATGCCCCGAGGAGCAGACCATAGACGATGTGGTCGCCACCAAGCTGGACCCACTGCAGAAGGCTTACGAAATACTTTCCGCCGCGGTGGTGGAGAGAGTTGGCCAGCTTCAAGTGAGGCTTGTTCAGTCCCAAGAGCTGGACGCGTCGCTTGCTGACGTCATTCGTTGGTTGGTGGAAACGGAAAAGACACTTAATCGACAGGAACCCATCTCGGTGAAACCTGAGAAAGTCAACAGACAGAAACAAGATCAAGAGGTGCGGTATTATTGATTACTTTGTTAATACCTTTGTTCATGTCTAAAATCAGTTCATAGTATAAGGTGAGTATTGCGACGCTCCCACAGAATAAGGTTCCGTTTTACTTCCGGCAACTTTCCTAAGGCTTCTTTGACAAGGTGCCAATACTATTTATGCTCGTGGTGATTTGGTTTTATTAACTGAGTTGACAATGTACATTGGGCGAATGGGCTAAAGCTTGAAGCGTCAGCTTTGAAACTCTTTACGGTGTGCCAATTTAGTAACAACTCGATAAAACCACATTATCTTGTAATGCCCCTACTGATGTAACACCACAGTTTATTTAATAACTTAACTCCTTCATTTACACTCTTGGTTGGAAAAGAGCGATTTGAGAACACAAAAGTACTCAAACCACTCACTGGAATGTGTGGCACAAACCGTTGGAAAAGAAATGCTTGCAAGAAAGGCTTGGATTTTAATCCGATTAATGCTTTTTACCAATGCAGGTGTTATGTAAAGAGATTGCTAGCGAACAGCCAGTGATCCAGCAGGTTGATAGTAACGCTAGCCAATCAATGGCATCCATGCCGAACGGGCCAGAACGTGACGTACTCAAGTACAAGCTTGCAGACATCGACCGTCGCTTCGCAGCTGTGACGGAAAAATCCACCCAAAGAAAGCAAACTTTAGACTCACTCCAGCCTCTAGCAGAGCAATACAACGAGGTTTTGCAGGCGTTCACTCTTTATTTAGAAGGGACAGAAGAAAAAGTGGAGTCACTGAAGAAAGTACCTCGTGACGAAGAAAGTGCTGTTCGTCATAAAGCTGAAGCACAGGTAACCTACATTTGACGATATTCGTGCGGTGACGTGATGGAGTACGATTCCTTCGGTAGAGAGCGAGTTACTCTAGTTTTTCAGTTAGGGTTAGTCAACGTCGGTCATTGTTCAGTGAGTCAGTAAGTAATTTGGTCGTGCGGTGGGTCAGTGGGTTAGTCTTTCACTAAATGACTCAGTTCGTTAGTAGGTCGGTCGGTCTTTCTGGAGCAGTTGTGAGCTTTGATGCAGAAAAGGGCTCTATTCCCCACATTTTTTTTCTCAATTCAAACCGCGGGAAATTTATGTGGAGAAAAAGTGACTAAAGTCGACTTTGAAACTTGAAATTATTTGGAAAATATCGTTTTGAAGAACGACCGCAATTTCTTTTCTTTGTTCACTTCATTTGGATTCTAATGCTTCCCAAATTCATTTCAGGCCTTCTTAGAAGGAGTGGAGAGCCACAGGGGAGTTCATCAACTATTAAACATGGCTTCAAAGGCCCTTACTGATTTTTGTGAGAACAACTCTCTCAGTGTAGACACGTCACACATCACAGATGAACTGCAAATTGCTAATACGCGCTACGAGAAGCTCTGCAGGGCAAACTTTGATTTGGAAAAGCAAACCCGAGTGGCTGAACAGACTATTGAGCCATACCAGAAAGCTTTGGAGCCTGTTGAGTTGACTTTTGTCGCAGTTGACAGCTATCTTGAGTCTGAGCCCGCTATCGGGTTGGACGTGGAAAAGGGCAAGGAAGAATTAGTGAAAGTTGAGGTTCGTAAAATCTTGTGGCATACAACAAGTCCACTTAATTTAATCGTCAACATTGGTTTGGAAAGACATTTAGCTATTGTTGGAAGATAAAAACCAAGGTTAACACAAACTGAAAGCCAATGAGAACAAAGTAAATGCTATAAGGACGCAATCAGAACAAGAAGTGGACACAGTTAAACTGTCTGAAGCGTGGAAAACGCATGCGACCAACTGACAATTTGTTTAACCGTTTACACCCTTATATCAGTATGCATATTCTCCCTACTGTTTTCTACACATTTCCTAAGGTGCTGACAAGGAGAATTTGTTTAACAGTCAAAAGCTTGTTTAGTTGGTGATCATTTCCTTTGTTCTTGTAAGCTTAATGTGTGATTTAGGGGTGATATTGTCAGGGGAAATAAGATGCTTGTCGCTCTTAGAGGTAACAAGGTTAACAAACAACAACAACAACAACAAACAACATCAAACAACAACATCAAACAACATCAAACAACAACAAACAACAACAAACAACAACACAACAGCAAACATTAACAACAACAACAAACAACAACAACAACAAACTTTATTTAGTAATTCACAAATTATAATTTCATGTTAGCTTCCAGCCGCATATAGAAGAGCCTAATCGAGGCAGGGAAAGAGACAAGTTTATAGAGAGGAAAAGACGAAACATATTTTACAAACAGTACCAGCTGTCGCAAAAGGAAATTATGGTATCAGTTAAAAATATTATTAAGATACAAAAATGGCAACGTGAATTACACAGAAAATAAAAGTCAAGTCGTGTTTCAGAGCTATCTAAATTTTAGTCAATTGGCGCATAATTTCGGTGATATCAAGGTGGTCATCAAATTTCAATAAAACTTCAGAGAGTTTATTCCTTAACTTTTTCCGGAAGGTGGAATTGGCAATTTTCTCATATCTGAGGGTAGAGAATTCCAGATTTTTGGACCAATTCTTAGGAAAGAACTACTATTAACTATTTCTGATTGATTTAAAAGGTAGTAAAATTTTCTTCACCAATCACGGAGTGGGGTGAAGCAAAATCATTCCAACCCGGATTGTATTCGGCGTCAACTGAAAAACAGCTCTTTTCCTGACATGTAACTGATTTTCCACTCCCAGGAACTTCTAAGCACTCTTGAGGAACAGAAAGCTGATCTGGAGGTAGTCGAAATGTCAGGTCCTCCGCGAGTTGAGCAAGCTGTGGATTTAGCTGAAGAACTGGCCACTGTATCTCAGAAATACGAGATGAATGTCAATAAGCTGAAACGTCAAAAGGTTCCGCTTTAAAACACGTTTCTGTGTTGCTTTCTCACCTTTGTATGTTGTAGTTTATAGGTTATTATATTTGTCAATTGTAGACGCTTAAGGTTGTTGCAACTGTTAATGAACTTTTTATAAGAAGTGGATTCATGAATTACAATAAGTACAGTCTTGCGCCAAACTTTCTTAAAACATTAATTCGTCGTAATCATCGTCATTCGAAATCATATTTGTCGATTTTTGGGTTTTAACTTCTCTTCTAGTGTTCTGGATCAAGAAACCTATATCCAACTAAACTGTTTTTACAAATTGTTTTTATTGCTACAAATATATTTTGGCGTGATAACAAGAAAGACAAATCATAAATGGACATAACGTGTACTCTGAAGAACCAACAACATCCCATCATTATAGGGTCCAATCCTCTAACAGAAAACAAAAAAAAGCGTACTGTTTATTTTCTGTGTACAGGTTCGATTGACGAAGCACGTTGAGAAGCTGATTCTGTTCATGGAGGTGCATCGCGAAATCGAGGAGTGGCTAGAAGGAATGTCTGAAACGATCAGTGGACTGTCACCTATCAGCGAAGACAGCGATAAGGCCAAAGCACAACTGGCCAACACCAAGGTAACGCTCTTGCGACCTGGAAAGTGTCATCAGTGATCCTTCCTTTAAGGAGTTTTACGGGAGTGTTATTGCAGTCGGAATTACACCCATCACAATCTTTGTTTTCTGCCTGCAGGCCCTTAACGACGAATTCCAGAAGTACCGCGCAAAGCTTGACTTGCTCGAAGAAATTACTGATTATCTGATGGAAGCAGAAAAAGGTGATCCTACTCTTGTTGCCGAACTCAGGGAGAAGTTCAGCTCAGTGGAAGAGCCTTTTGAACGGCTACACTCTGTTGTGCTACAACGACAAGCCCGTCTACAAAACATTGTTATAAATAGTCAAGACTTTCAACTGTCGCTGAACGAAGCTCAAAACCAGCTGAATGAATTTGAAAGAAGCATGGCTCAGCTACAACCCATCAGTGCCATTTACGAGGTGGTTCAACAACAGAAAGAAGATCACGAGGTAATCAAAATTAAACATTTGAAATGAGGAACCAGGGCTCGTCACTAACTTTCCAACTTAATAGCCAAGTGGCTAGTGGCATCTTAGATGTTACGCCAATTTCAGTTTGTTTACTAGGCAAACTGCCGGGCTAGTTGTAATCGAAAACCACTGGCCAAAACTGAATTTCTACTGGTCTGTGGGTAGTGGGCTACCGTTAGTGTCGAGCCCTGGGAACGTCATTAGCACTCACCGATCTTTGTCTAGGTTGATAAGATTTCAAGATGCACGTATTGATACATTTCATTTTCATTTATCACACATTTCATCTTGCATTCAGAACATCCTCTTAATCTTCTATGTTTTTGTTGTTTCAAGGGTCTATATCTTGAAATCACCTTGAGAGAGGTTGTGTTCAACGAACTTCTCAAACTCGGTCGTGAGGTCCTAGAAAAGACCGCCCCAGGCCCCAACCGTGAAGCTCTTCAAAAGGACCTGGATGACGTCGAAAGCCGCTGGAGGGAAGTGTATTATAGCACAGCAGAAAGGCAGGAGAAACTCGAGGAAATTGTACCACTGTCTCAGAAATACTCTGAGTCAATCAGTGATTTACTTCCATGGCTTACAGAGACCGAGCAGATGGTTGCAGATTGTAACGCGATGATTGTTTGTGAAAAACATGCCCTGATAAGAGAGCAAACACTGATTAAGGTAAGTCGGAAATACCTCAAGAGGAATAGGTGAAAATACTGTAAACGTAAACTTTTCACTGTGAAGTGCTTACTACCCCAAATGTTTCCCCATGTATTCTAGGTACTTCAGCCAGCTGTTGAATTATTGCCCGAAAAGTAGCTTTAAGCATCAGAACCGAGTAGCACTTCGCCTTGATTTAAATTTCATGGTAGGGTATTGGTTTGATGCAGTGTACTGAGAACAACTCGTAATCTGACCTCACGTAATTGATTTCGAGTAAGACCAAAAAAACAAGTCAACATTGATTCAGACTCAACATTGACTCAGACAATCAAAGGGCTAATGAAGGAAAGGGGGTCATTTTGTAAAGAAAGTGTGGTGCAGCGTCGGTGGTAAGTATCATAAGATAATTTGGTTTTATAAACTGAGAGTTATTAGCCCTTCCTCAGAGCGAATGGCGAAGGGCTAACGCACGAAAGGTCAGCTTTAGAAACTCTTTACGGTGGTCATTTTACATTATCAACTCAGTTGTTAAAAGCAAATTATCTTGATTTAAAAAACTACACGACTACCTGTTTTCAGTTAGTGGCAGCTAAAGGGTTAATACATAGCATTGAAACTTCCCTTTCATTCGAACAGTACTTACAGCAGTTCCTACAGGAGGACATAGAAGGACATCGCCCGATCTACCGCTTTCTTGTGGACAGTTCAGATGACCTGCTTGAAAGCTGCGAAGATCTGTCTGTTACCGAAGGAGTGACGCAAATAAAGGATGACGTCAAAGGCATGATTGACAGGTGGACCCTGGTAAACCAGTTTTACTTGGAGAGACGGCGTCAAGTAGCGGAAGCTTCACAGTTGGTGAAAAATTACAGAGGCTTGTTGCTGCCAGTTGAAAACGAACTTAATAGAGTGGAAAGAAAAATGGCGGAGTGTGACTACGAAGGAATCAACGTTGACGTTGGCAAGAAAAAGCTTGAAACTGTTAAGGTACAGAATTCTGTTTATTAGTTTGGGAAATGGTATACGCGAGTAAAAATGCGCGGGCTTCTTATGCAGGTAACACAGCACTTGATAAACCCATGAAAACCAAGGGGTTTCTCATGGGCAGCACAAGAGGAGAACGTGGATAGCAGCTTGAAGTCGTTCGTGAATTAAACCATCCGTTCTGACCTTCACTGCCCCCCCACCCCTTCCCCCCTTCGTTGGTCGCTTGTTAGCCTTACAGACTAGAGAAACTATTAGCCAATTTTCCGTGATTGTCCCTTATGCATTGCTTTTCTCAGGCTATCCAAGGCGAAATCTCAAATTTGGGATCCCAGCTTGAATCATTGGGTGAACAACTTAAAGGGGAAGACAAAGCTCACTTGGATCTGACGCCTGTCAAACAACGAGTGTCTGCGCTCACTCAGCGGTACATCACTCTTCGAAGAGATGCTGATGAAAGGATGGTGAAACTCGAGAGAATTTTGAAGGACCTGACTACGTTTGTGACAGCCACTAGGGAGTTACGAGTTTACTTGGATGACGCATTCGAGAAACTTGATAGATTGGAACCTATTCATAACGATGCAGAGGTTATTGAAAACCAGCTGAAAGAAGTACAAGTAAGTTCGCTTAGAGGAAATTTCCATTCATTATCTTAAAATTGATATCCAAAGCAAGTATAGTGGGTTGGCTATAGGAAAATCCAAAAGACAATAAGCTTCAAAATAACCTTCCGTAACTCAAAGTTAAAACAAGTGAACTCCGTGAAGCGCTAAAAAATACGAGTGACAATAAGGTCTTACTTATCAGTCAAGACCGAAGTTAAGCAAAAGCAATGAAATGACGGGTTTTGCGATACGATATGCCGAGCTGCTTTACTCTCCAGTTGATCTTTTGTGTGATACCTTTAAGTAAGTTTTGGTAATATCAAAAGCGTAGTTCTCCTCAAAGCTTCTGGCAGTGGCTCATCAGTTATTGTTGTCGTTTTACAAGGGGCTTCAAGCCGAGGCCAACGCCCAGGTTGGTGTTTTATCATCAGCTGAGGTAGCTGCAACTACCATCTGCTCTGAAAAGAAAGACGACCTAAAGGCCTCTCATGACATCAACAAGTCACTAGCTGAAGTCCAAACACCCATGTTAGACCTACTTGAGAGACTTCAATCACGTGAACAGGACTTGAAGAGTGCCCAGGAACATCTAGAGGTTTACAAGGCACAGCTGGAGCCTGTTCAGGAGGTCTTCTTTCAGGTGGAGTCCTCCGTGGAGGCTCAGGCCCCGGTCGACTTAAACAAAGGCGAAGATGAACTCGGCAAAGTGGATGTAAGTGAGATATGACTGACACTCCAAAAGAAACGTTGTAGGTATTTAAGTTTCTTCAAGGTATACACGTTGACTTATTCAAAGTCGCGCTGGGCTCCGGGTTCAAAAGTCCAGGTTCAACACCTATTGGGCGAGACACTTGCCCAGGCCCTCACAGTGCCTCTCCTCGCCAAAGAGTAGTAGAGTGGGTTCTAGAAAAAATGTGGGGGAAACCTGACGAATTCCTGGGAGGGGGGGTCACCTTTACTGCGGTGGGGTCACCTTTACTACGGTGGGGTCCATGTCCCTGCTAGAGTAAAGCTTCGGTTAGCGTAGGAGAGGTGTAGAATTAAATGTCAGAGTCCTTGCTGTCTTTATTTTAAGTTTCTTTTGTGAAAGTACTCCACTCTGATTACGACCAAAGGTGTCGAAAACGTCTCGTAATTTCACCGATAATTTTTGCAATCTTTCCACTTCGTATTGTAATCGAACTTTTTTCCTCTTTACCTCGAATGCATAGACGATGATCAAAGAAATGGAAGAGAGCAATAAACAAGTGCGCCTGATGAGGAAGTCAAGCCAGCAACTCTTGCGAGTCATGGACATTCAGTCGGAGCCTGGTACTGAGGTACAGACGGAAGTAGCCAAAGTCACTCACAAGCAACGTGATCTCAGGTCCAGTCTCCGGCTTCGACGCTCTAGAGTTGAGAAGAGCCTGCAGTTGTATGGAGAATTTTTAGAACAGATTGAGAAGGTGGAGAAATGGCTCCCAGAGGGAACGGAACGGGCGAAGTCATTAGATCTTATTGGTGGTGACCCTGAGACGATAAGAAAAGAGTTGGATAAGCTACAGGTTTATCTTTTGTCTTTTTTTTGGTATTTTATCGTTTTTAACTTTCTTCATCGCTTCCTTAAGGGAATTGCGTTGTTGTTTTGCAACTTAAAAAGCCATAGAACTTCCTGCAGCGATTAGAAAGGCAATTCTCGCATTTTTGTTCAAACAAGTTACGTGGTACAAGGTACAAGATAGAAGGTATAAGGTACATGAAAATGTTTTGCAAACGTAGATTGCCTTGATATAAAAATAATCTCGCAAGATTGGCCAACCAAGAAATGTATGATTAAGGAAAGCTTTTAAATCTTTAGAGGGAAAGAACAGAACCGCAATGATCTGTGTCCGCGGCCAGGAAAACAAATTTAAGGAAAGCACGTGTAAGTAACGAACAGGAGCGGAAAACATTTCTTTATTTTGTGGTATTTACAGAATGTGAGAGATGAGGTGCAAGCGAATGTAACTTCGCTAGACAATGCTAAGGGCTTAGCGGACAAAATCAAAGAGCTTAGTGGTGAAGACCCTTCCATCAACAAAGATCTGGACGATCAGTTACAGAAAGTGGAGCCACCGATGAACGACCTTATTTCGCTCCTTAACGCACGACAGACTGAGTTTCAGACGGCGCTGCTGCAAAGTCAAGAACTTAAAGATTCCTTGGATGGGTTCGGCGGCTGGCTCTCGGCCGCTGAGAACCTTTTGAACCTTCAAGGACCAGTGTCAGCCAGACACAAAGTCATCGTCGACCAACAAGACAAGCTGCAGGTATGTAATTTGAGCTCATTCCTCTGTCATGCTTTGTCCATTGGTTTTTGTAGTTGTCTTAGTTACTCCACGGGGTCTTTACGCTTGTTTGTAAGCAAAAAAGAATGTTATTTTTCATTTCAAAGATAAGAGACAAAATGATAAAGCTTAATAAAAGTAACAGTAGCCCCCATGTTTCACGGGAGATTAACGTGCTCTGTTGTGTAACAGGTCTTATAGAAGCATGGATTCCTTTCCTTTTATCTCTTAAGGTGCTCGAAAAAGATGTCGAACAGCACAAGCCAGTTCACGAACACGTCATGGAAAAAGGAAGAGCAATGCTGGACAGTGTGAGACCTGGACGTGAGAAAGACAATTTGGAACAGAAGCTCCAAGATCTTGATACTCGCTGGAATCAACTCTCTGATAATATCAGCCAACGAAATATGAAGCTGGAGAACGTGGAACCTTCTGCGAGCAAATATGTGAACGTCTCTGAGCCCTTCACAAACTGGCTTGCAGAATCGGAGGAGCGTTTGAAAAGTTGCGAAAAGATCCCGGAAGATGAAGAGAGCACTACGCAACAAATTGAGCTGTTAGAGGCTAGTCTGTTTGTTTTTTTTTTTTTAACTGAATACTTCAAGCTACTTAACGCTGTGATCGACATGTTTGTTCTTCTTAAAATTTTATTTATCTGCAACGTACTTAAAGATGTAATGATTTTAGACTAACTTATCAAAGGGGTTTTGTTTTTCGAAGCATTGCCCGATTTTCTGAAGCACATTTCTAGGAAATGTATAGCAGCTAGAAAGGAGATTTGTGTGCCAGATCTTGGAATCTGATTGTTCAATACACAGCTGTTGTTTTTTTATTCAATGGGGGATTATTTGCTGTGATATCCATGATTTCGCACGTTAACATCGCCGAGTGTTTTCGGCTTAATAGGGTTTTCACTTATCTTATTTCTATCAAAATATTTGAGGTCAAGTAATGATACAGGCGACATAATCGTTGAACTTTCAATCTACTGTTGAAGTAAGTTTGAACGAGAATGTTTTATGCGTTACTACACCTCATCTGTTAAAGTGCCTGTGACATGAATTTTTTTTCTCGGTTCTTCTTGGCTTGATGCATATAAAAAACGATTCTAACCTTCAATCCGGCGGAGACGTTTTCAAACCTGAATTTTTGCGCTCTAAAAGTACTATACTGTAGTAAAAATCGTCTCGGGGTCTGGGACCTAGTTCACGGCCTTCGTGACGTAATTTTGTGTACACAAAACACCAAGTTGCGGAACGTGTGGAGGTGAGAGGCGAGTCAGTTATTCATTTGAGCGATTGTCACTCTGCTGATTCTATAGATTATAGAATCACTCTTTTTGCCGCACTGTCATCCATGTTGGTTTCGATGGCTGTACACAACTTGGCGTCACGAAAGAAAATCACGTGACATTTTGGCCGCGCGGAAGAGGGGACAATTTCGTTCGCAGATAGCGTATGTTTTGAACTAAAAAGAAGGGGTTTGAAGACATTTCCACTCGGATTAAAGGTTAAATTCGTTTTTTTTTTATATACATCGAGCTAAGAAAAACAGAGAAAAAAAAATTCATGTCATAGGCACTTTAAGTGTTTCTTATTTTTATGTATACCAGAAGAAATTAACTTTATTCAGCAGACTGGAGATTAAACACACTTATCAGACTAAATGTTGGGCTGGTATGGTCCTTGATTTGAGTTTCATGCACAAGTCATTCAGAACTTCCATTTGATTTGTACATATGTTTCATTTTCGACAGACTTTACAACATGAAATTCTGCTACACAAGCCAGAACATCAGACATTCACAGAAACGTCCACTTGCCACACAGACATCTGTAGTGACAAGGAGGTGACAGCTGATTTGTCTGTTTTGGAAGAGGAGATCGCGTTCGTCGATAAGCGATGGAATGAATTGGGCGCCACTGTTAGCAAACGCCTCCAGACTTTAGAGAACGTGCAAGAAGATGTCCATCGATATCAGCTGGTGCTACATGTCTTGGAGAAGACCCGCATAGAGGTCGAGCAGATTGTGGTTGTTAAGTATGTCATGGTCTTGGATCATAATAGAGCTAAGCAAGACCTCGTAGAAGTTAAGGTAAGAAATAAGATAGTGGATCTTCAGGTGGAATATTTTGTTAGTTTCAGACAGATTCCTTCCTAGCAAAGTTTGAAAAATCTGCACCGTAGATTCAGAGCTACCTTAATTGCGCGATGATCTAAAGTGGCTCTGAAACTCTCCTATAGATTCTTCGATGCTTACCAAAAAGTTAAATCTTTGCATGCGGCTTGCGTAATAATCCTTTGGTAGAAAACCGCGGTTACCGAACTAGCATTTGACCCGACAGGCAAAAGATGCTTAAGAGGCCATAGTATTGTCATTTTAAACTGAGAAAGATCACAGCTTGTTGATCAACAATTTGGGATTTGACGGATACCATTTTAAAGGAATAGATAAAACGCTGAGGGTAGTATTGATTCATCAAAGAATTGGTGTTCGAAATCTCTCGTGAACTTAGTATCTCTGCCACGCCACTTGAACAGTGTGGAAAACTCTCTAAAAGGTATTCCTTCTCCCCTTGCACGGAATAACGCGACGTTGTTTGTAATACCTAACCTGTCAACTGTACCCAGCTACAGCCGTTGAAAGAGAGTTACTCTGAATTTTGAAGAAGGCAATACAGTGTCAGTGGTCAGGGCTTAAGTGTCAGCCATAAGCCCGGCAATTTTTTGCGTCAATGAAAAGTGAAATTTTATACAAGAGTTCCTTGCTGCTTCAAATCGATGCGAGTTTCTGTTCATGTAGAATGACTGATAAGCTAACAATAGACGTTATTTTCTGACCACCTCTGGGTTAAGTGTTTGACTCTTTTTGTATGTTTTGGTTCTAGAAATCTATAGTGCTCCTGAACAACAGACGACCAGATTTGAAAGATCTTGAAAAGTACGGAAAAGCTCTGACAGAAAAGACTGGCTCACCCGAATGGCAGGAAAACGTGGCGGTCGTGCGTCAAAAGTACAACACCCTTGAAACCAAGTTACGCGAACGGGAAGACTTAATGGAGAGAGTTGGACATTATATTGCTATCTACGTGACAAACACTAAACATGCTGAAAGGTTCATTCCGAAGGTTAAAGAAGAGGTTGCCAACCTGCCACCCGTTAGCAGCGAACCAGAGGTGGTCCAAGAGCAACTTGAACGATCTGAGCAGCTACAGACTTCTCTTGTTGACGAGCGGGTCTCACTCGACAGCGCTCAGGAAGCCGCTGATAGGCTGGCTGGAAATTGTAACCTAGAACCTGTGGCGGAGGAGGAAATGAAAGCCAGAGTGAGAGTTTCTAAAGAAGCGATAGACGAGCTCGTGGCTGTTAATAACGAAAGGCAAAATGCTTTGAAGTGCGCGCTAATGCAATCCAAGGAGTTCAAGGCTGCTTCGAATGACTTCCTCATCTGGCTTAATAGTGTGGAAGACAGGCTTGCGTCTCAACCTCCCGTGACGTCAGACACAGACTCCATCCGGGAACTGAAAAAGGATCACGTGGTAAGATTTTGAGCCTTAGCCAACTCAAAATGTAATTCATAGTTGATCGACTGCTTTATACTTTCGCTATCATCTTTGTTGTAATGGAACTGAAGATCAATTTAGCACGTTATATTCCTCATATAGAGAGCTGGTAGATCCCTGCTCCTTTCAGCGCTGATATTTGCTCTAGGATCTGAGCATCTGGGTCCGTCCAAGGACGAAAAAGGAGTAGACTTGACTCACGATTCAAAACCATCTGATGTGTCTGGTTGATTTTACGTTACTTAACATGGTATTGTTTGTCTTTTATAACAGCCTGTCAATGAAGACGTACTGCAACATGAGCCTGTTTTGGCCGCTATAAGGAAGTCTGCAGATGATGTCCTTCAAGCGACGGAACCTGGTAAAGAGCGTGACAGAGTAGAGCAAAGAATAGCGCAGATTCAAAGCAGATGGGACAATGTTCAAAAGAACAGCACTGACCGTAAGACTCTGTTAGATCGGATAGATCCTGCGGCGCAGGATTATGGAGAGACCTTGCAGAGCTTCTTGTCCTGGTTGGTTACTGCTGAAAAGAATACAGCTCTGCTGAGGTATGTTCCATGCGATAGAAAGGGTCCGCAAAAGTACGAAGAGTTGCTTAAAGAGATGGAGAGCGATCTTCAAGAAAAAGAGAGCTCTCTCGGCGAATTAGATCATATCGCGCGCTCGTTATTGGAATTCGACCCAGCAGACGCCACCATCGTGAATGCACAAGTGCAAGACGTACGAAATCGGTATGCTGCGCTTCAAGGCACCCTCAGAGAGAAATCGAATAATCTGGAGAAGATCAAACAACTCTTAGAAAATTTCAACTTCCATAGACACGCTGTGGAGGAGCTAGTTGTGCAGGGTGTGGTTGTTTCGGCCTACAAAACACCTTTAATGGACGCCGACAAAATTGCCGAGGAACTAGCCTTGATACAGGAGTTACTAGATGCTTTCGCTGATCAAGAGGAAGAGCTGGAAATGGTTCAAAGTGTAGGAATGGAGCTGTTAGACCACTTGGAAGATGATGCTCCAGATGCAGCCATCATCAGAAACCAAGTAGATACTTTGTACACACGATTCAATGTAACAAGAGATCATTTGCGGCGAAGACGGGCGCAGCTGGAGAAGCACAATCAGCACCTTGTGTCTTTCAAGGAAAACATCAAACAGCTAGAAAAGTGGTTTGAGACCTTCAGTGTGACCGTTGAAGAACTAGAACCAGTCAGCACCGAACCGGAGAAACTGAAAAAGCAGTTGCCTGAAGCGGAGACACTGCAGCGCGAATTACAAGACAAGACCTATCTCCTGAAGAGTGCGCAAACAGAAGGAGAGTGGATGATGGAACATAGTAAAGAAGACGAAGACATGGTAATTGATGTGGTGACCATTCTAAGCGGATGCCAAGCCAAGATGGATCGCCTCAACGCTCATATTGATCAGAGACATTCTCGCCTGCAGAGCGCAGTCATCGCGAGTCAAAGTGTTGAGGTAACCTTCGCTGAGTTTGTCGACGATTTGGGTAGGATTGAAGAGCAGCTCGCTGGTATGAGACCAATCTCTGTGGTTCGTGATACACTGAAGGAGCAAGAACGCCAGTTTGAGGTACAGATCGGGCAAATTCTCTCTACTTCCATAGTCGGAATAAATGTGTGCTACAAAAACATAAAATAAGCTTTACATTAAAGCGATGTTGATCACTAGCATACCATTTATAAATCTAACCATTGTTAAGATTTCCCAGCACACGATGCCACAAAATATACTTGTTCCCCTTTCCCAATCTGGTTAGCTTTCTTCTATATCATAGCACATTTGAGTTCCTTGACCTCGAATGAAATTTAAATTAGGTTTTGCGGTGTTACTATTAGCAAAAAATTCAAATATGTGAGCGTGAAGGAAGGCAAGGATGAAAACATTGTTAGGAAGTGAAACTTTTATTCTTTGAACTTCCAAGTTCTGATAGTCAATTCTTTCTTCAAGCCTCTACCCATTACCTTGTAAATTAGTTACGAGAATTTGGTGTTAGATCAAGATAACAATTTTTACCAGATAATTTTCAGTATTTATCGTTACATTTTTGTTAGTATTTAATGGACATTATAGTGAGAGCGTGAACGTTAATCACTTCTGGGAATTAAAGGGTTAAGGCCTTGTTACTTATCGACAGTTTTATTTGAAGTTAGTTGTTTAAAGTGAATTTCTTTTACAGATCATGAAAGATGACGTCAAAGATTTAGATGAGCTCGCTAACGAGCTAATTTACCGCGTGGAAAATGTGTTGGAGAATGCCGAGCCCAGCCCAGACCGCGATGCATTACAAACAAGATTCGAGGATATGAAGGCTAAGTGGGGTGACGTCAAAGATAAAGTCAGTGATAGAGAAACAGAAATTGAAGAGCGTGCCCCAATTCTGCATGAATACCACGATAACATGGAGGACTTTGTCGCGTGGCTGAAAGACCTTGATGGCAAGATCTCATCACAGAGCCCTGTTTCGTGTGACTCGAAGATGATAGCTAAACAGCTCGAACAGGTAGAAGCTCTAAACAAAGATTTTGAATTGCACAAGCCAGAATTTGAGGTCGTAAAAGAGATTTCCACAGATGTGATCAAACGCCAGCCAGATGATGTGTATGTTGTCGAGGCGCAATTGCAGTACGTAATCAAGATGTGGGAAAGCGCTTCTTTCCGCCTTAAGGATAGGTTAGATCAAATCACCAATGTCAAGGACATTGCAGCGGAGTATCAGAAGGCCCAGAGACCCGTGCGAGCTCTCTACGCATGGGCAGAAGAAGCTATTGTACCGGCGGAGGCAATTGGGTCGAACACCGAAAGAGCTAAACAAGAACTCAACAACACGAAGGTAAGTTTTTGTTTTTCAAAATAAAAAATTAAAGGGATTTCCGTGTCTCGTGGACGATTAGTTAAGTGGACGTTATCTACTCTTTTTGGAAAACATTACAGAGTGCGCTAAACCACTCGTCTTTTACAAGCCTGTGAAATTCGCAGCTCGTAGCACTGAGGCTTGAGGATCGGAATTACAGCCTGATAGCTTGACGTGTGATCTTCAGCGTGATTCAAACAACCGGCATGTACCATTCTACCCATGTTAAAATCGGTTAAGTTCTGAAAGTGTGTCTGGATGAACTTTTGATTTGTGATCAACGATTGATAGGCGTGGAAATCTCGTGCCACTTTTTTTATCTATCAGCTGCAGGGCATTAGATTTGGATCTAATACATCTAACTACGTTAAGTTTTCATAGGTTCTTTTCTTTTGTGTTCCCTTATCGGTTGGTCGTTGTAATGATTTTTAATTTGGTCTTATGACCAAACTGTTTACAGGCTTTGCTTAACTTGATGGCCACTCGTGAAGCTGACATGAAACAGGCACAGAAAGTCGGCCAGAATCTGGTTCTTAACGCAGATTCTGCCTCTCCAGAGGTCTCAACGCTGAAACAGGAAGTTAGAGAAATCCCAGAGAGGTACGCTGACCTCAAGAAACAGCTTACAGAACAACAGGCGCAGCTGGAGAGAATCATCCAGGATAGTTCAGTATTCCAACAGCAAATCAGAGAGCTGGAGCTGTGGGTCACGGAAGTCTCGAAGAGCACAGCCATGCAAGAGCCAATTAGTACCAATCCGAAGGTTGTGCACAAACGACTGGAACAGACTGAGGTAAGTGGTAAAAGGAGTGTTTTTAGAATAAGGCAATGGACTGAACGCCATGTACTCTGTGATTAGACAGAGATTTAGTAATCAGGGGACATAGAATAACTTGGTACTAACTTGAGGGTCGGTCATTTAAACAAGGTTTAGCCGTTTAACAAAACTGCGTTCAAAGCCATCTTCAGTTAAGCCGAACCTTTTTTCTGAACGTTTATTTTGTTATAACAGAGTTTGCAAAACGAGATAGCCAAGCAACGTGCCGCATTGGATCGTACAAATGACCTCGGTAAGGTGATTATAGACAACAGTGGTGACAATCCTTTGGTTGTAGCTGATGTACAAGGGAAACTAACTAAGGTTCGTGTTCAGTTGGATCGCTTGGATGCCAGGATCGAACAACGCCATGCTATTTTACAGAACATCCTGCTTCAGATTCAGGTCTATGATGTGATGTTGGATGAGTTCGTTACCAAACTTGAAGAGATGGAAGATGAAGTGAGCAAGTTCAGGCCAATTTCTGCCATCCTGGAAATCGTGAGCCAACAAAAAGAACACATCCAGCGAAGTGTCAGCGACAACATCATGAGGAAGCAACCTGTGTTCGATAAAATCTTGGAAGATGGGCATGGCATGTTGGAAAGAATGGAAGCAGGTGAAGAGAAGAACGCACAGAAAGAAAAACTCGAGCAGATGGAAACGCGGTGGAACGAGGTCAAGGAGAAAACAGCTGACATGCAGAAGCGTGTTCAGGTGGTTCATGAAGCTTCTCAGAAGTATGACCAAAGGGCGACGACCTTCAGGGATTGGCTTCAGGATGCGGAGAAGAAAGTAAGCAAGATCCATCCTGTATCATGTGACGAGAACGAATTGGATGAAAGCCTTGCACAACTTGATGGACTTTCTTCTGAAATAGAGTCGCATAAGTTCGACTTCGATGAGTTGAACGAGTCCGCTAGCTCTCTTACGAATGTGTGTCAAGCGGATGGTGATGTAATCAAAGCAGATTTCAACGAGCTTAAGAGCCGCTGGGATACATTACAGACGACGGTACTGGAGAAAAAAGTCAAGGTTGAAGAAGCTAAAGAGGCGTTTGAGAAGTACCAGAGTGCCTTGCAACCTGTACAAGAGGCTTTTACGCAAGCAGAAGATGCTTTGGCTTCCCATGAGCCTGCGGGAACTGACGCTGACAAAATCCGACAAGAACTGGAGCAGATAAAGGCCCTGGTATCTACTCTAGATGAAAGGAAAGGAGACATCAAACAGCTGAATCAGTCTGGTCAGCACCTTCTCCAACAAGCTGAAGACGACGCACCATCCACACTGAGTGTAAAGGAACAACTTGTAAGCACTAACGGCAAATCAAAAGACTTGCCTGCCAGACTCCGCGAAAGACAAAAGGAACTGGAGAAAGCGCTTGAGGATACAATGCGGTTCAATTCAACACTAGCAGAAATAGAACAGTGGCTGCCAGAAACTATTGAAACTGTTGAAGCCCTAGAACCAGTAAGTTCAGAACCGGAAAATCTCAAGGAGCAAATCAGAGAGACCGAAGCCCTGCATGAAGAGGTGAAGAGATATCTGGTGCGCCTTTGCGTTGTTGAAGAGACGGGTCAGCGGTTGATCGAGGACAGCATGCAGAATCCTGACGCTGTTGCAGACATTCAAAACAACATGGAAAAAGCTCGCCAACCACTCGATAAACTCAATGCCAAGGTAGAACAGAGAAGTCTTCGTTTGCACGATGCCATGATGCAATCTCAAGAATTCCAAGAAGTATACGACGATTTTATTGCTCGTTTAGGGACCCTCGACGACATCCTTCAAAGCCAAGAGCCAATTTCTCCGGATTATCCAACAACAAGACGCCAAAAGGACGAAACGGAAGAGTTCAGTGACACCATTGCTCAGATGCAGCCAGTTTTGGATAAACTTTTAGCTGTCGGGGATAAGGTTTTAGAGACTTCGGATCCTGGAAAGGACCGAGACGCTGTGCGGAAGAAGTTGGACGATCTGAAAGAGAAATGGAAAGATGCTAAAAGCAAAGCCACGAAACGTGAGGAAGAGATTTCTTCTGTGATTCCCGATGCGAAGTCGTTCCACAGCGGAGCTCAAGCGTTTGACTCTTGGCTTTCTGAGACGGAGAGGAAACTTGCTGCGGTCAACACCGACTCAGTAAGTCCAGAACAACTGAGTCAACAACAAAAAGCGTTTGAGGATCTTAAAGAAGCTGTAGAGAGTCATCGAGCAGACCACCAATTACTAAATAACACTGCTGACTCACTAAAGGACAAATGTAAAGATAACAGCTATTTTGTAGAGGTGCAAATTAAGGACTTGAATCGACGCTGGGAGGAACTTTTCAAAGACATAGAGACGAAGGAAACTGACCTAGAAACCGCCAAGGATACTGTGGATAAATATCGCGATGCCTTGGGAGCTGTTGAAGAAGTTGTGCAAAAGGCTGAAACATCGCTTGAAAGCCAGCCACCGACCGATCTTGATGTCAGTAGGAGCAAGGAAGAACTGGCAAAAATTCAACAAGTCGTGGATGATTTGGAACAGTATGAACCCCGTCACAAAGAGATGCAAGAACTTGGAGAGAAGTTACTTCAAGGAATGAATCCTGATTCCGTCGATGCCGTGATGTTGAAGCAGCAGTTAAGTAAGGTAGGAGACTGGTACACAACAGCTCTGGTTCGAGGCAGAGAACGCAAAACACAGCTAGAGAAGATCATTGTGTTGATAATAGAGTTTACGGAAAAATATGAAGTTTTGATAACTTGGACTGAAGAGAAAACCATCGTGATCGAGACCATCCATGTTACAAGAACTAATCCGACTGTTGTGAAGAGCCAGTTGGGTGAAATTGAGAAAATTCAGGAAGACATTGTGAAGCAGAAGTACGTCCTCGAGTCCGCGGATGATGCTGGGCAGCGCTTGGTGGAATGCTGTGAAAATGAACCGGCAATTGTAATGGAAGTCAATAGCAGAGTGTATAAAGCAAAAACCACGCTAGACCTGCTCTCGGCCAAAGTTGATGATCAACAAAAGAAACTGCAAGAGGCCGTTTTACAGTCGCAAGAATTCCAAGAAACAATGGATGATTTTGCTGAAAAGCTGGCAAAGTTGGAAGATGATGAGGCCAAAATGGGACCCGTGTCTTCTCAGTATGACGTGTTACGCGAGCAGAGTGAAGATATTGAACACGCTGTTGCCGATGTAAGACAGCTTGAGCCTGTGTACGAAAGAATTTCTAGAAATGGTGAAGACGTTTTGGCGAGTCTTGAGCCGGGAGAAGAGAAAGATGAACTCAAGGAGAAATTGAATGATCTTTCCTCTCGCTGGAATGCTGTGAAAGGGAAGGTTGATGATCGGAAATCAAAAATTGATGAAGTCATAGTTGTAGCAAAATCTTATTATGACTCACTGCAATCGGTTCTTCCCTGGATGAGTGCTTCTGAAACCTGGGTCGATTCTCTTGAGCCGGTTTCCTGCGACGAGAAGAGTATCGCCAAAGAGAGGAAGACCCTGGCTACTCTGGTACAGCAACTCGAGGAACACAATCCTGAGGTCGACGCTGTTAACGATTCCGCTCGCGAGCTGGGAGACCTGTGCGATGACATTCAGGTTGTCCATGCAGAATGCAAGGATGCCAACAAGAGATGGCAGGTGTTAACAGCGAATCTGACAGTTCGACAACAGCATTTGGATAGCGTGGCTAGCTTGCTTGAACAACTGACCAATCAGCTTCAGCCGATTGAGGAGAGACTGGACGAGGCAGAAGCATTAGTTGATGCGCCGCTTGCCAACCTCACTGACGCTGAGAAAGGAGAAGAAGAGCTCAGGAAAATTGAGGTAAATGAGGCTTGATTCGTTAAACATTCATAGTATCCATCTGTGAAACATGGGCTAAAATCTCTCTGAATCCTATTATAGTTGTGAATTGAACCTCGCGAAATTGTCAATTATTCGGCAGTTTACATTTTGAGGGTTATTTCAAACTTGATTACCATTTTTAATCAGTCCCAGAATGTTTGATGAATTGATAACTTTACTTTACAAGCGTTGATATATTTTGACTTTTCTTCTTAATTCGCCATATCTTATTTATTTCTCCTTCTACCTAGTACACATTTCCTTGTAACTCCGTTAACAATATTTAGCTTCCTATCTAGTTACCCCTACACTCCTCCCATTTAACTACTGTTATATTCACTCTTCACCTGACCAAGTGAAAGATCAGGCAATTGAGAAAGAAATTTCTCTTCTGAAAGATATTTTTCTGTTTGTAAAAAGCAACCAAGGCTTTGTTCAATAGATTTCTCTTTCGGCTCTTTGTCGAGAGACAGAAAACAGAGAAAGCGTCTGCTCAGGAAGAATTCTGCGAACTGAATTGGATTTATTTGTCCTTCGGTCTTCAGGCTTTGCTTTCAGCCCTTGAAGAGCAGGAGCCTGAACTCAATGAAGTGAATGACAACCTGTCACTCTTGATGCAGCAAGTTGACGAAAAGACGCCTCACGCAGCTCAAGTAAAGGCTGAAGTGTCACAGGCGGACCAGAAACAGAAAGAACTTATCGAAAAGCTGAACGCGCGCAAAATTAACCTCGAGGAGGACGTGAAACACGCGCGCGTCTTCCAGGGATCACTCGCCGACATAGAAGCCTGGTTACCTGAAGCAGAGGAGCGTGTTTCTGCTCAACAACCAATCAGCACAGATCCTGAGACGGTTAGAAAACAGCTGGAGGAAGCACAGGTTGGTTGAAATATTTTAAGGGGGTGGGGGGTTGTTAAGACGTCTGGACTGAGTGTTCATTTGTTGTCAAAGTATGAAGTACCGCTACAAACATTTGGTCATTAAACCTCCGTAACTCTTCTCTTGAGATTAGTTACACGTTATTCGCTTTTTAATAGTCGGCAGAAAGTATTATCAATGTATCCGTAGCTCTGAGTGCCTAGACTTGTTGGTGGTGTGCTAAAAAGATGTTCTCACTCTTGAGGTTTGGGTATGTTCAAATTAAGCCTTTATTCTTAAGAAAATGAAAATGAAGTAAAACTAATGTTTGCAGTCTTCGATTAGCCTTATGGTTGTAAACATTTTGTTAAAAGGGATAAGTGATGAGCTTGTTACTCAGACGCTCCACAGGAGGCCCAAGGGGTTCGGGCTTGGTGTTCACTCATAAATCGCCGTCATGGCTCTAAAGCGCATGCTCGAGTCCAAGTTTCTCATAAACTAGACTAAAAACTCCGGAAAACACTGTATGGAATAGATGAAATTTTTCACATGCCTTTCATATGGCAAATTCTACTTACATATGCTTTTAGCACGTGAATTAAGTGTGAAAATCATATGACTGCATCTCGAATTTACTATTACGGGTGTCAGAGTACGTTCAGATTTGTGTCTAGTTTGTTAAATTAAGTCTTCGTTAAAATGTCTTGGGAGTCCATGCGTCATGCAAATTACGAACATTGTTGATGAGTCATTTCAGCGTGTAATTAGATATCTCAACCCTCTCTCGATCTTTATCAGACAAAAATGTTTTCATGATTGGTTCTCGAACAGTCACGGTGTTTCGCACCGGAGAATATTATTCACAACACAAGTGGCGTTACGAAACTTCGGTGCGGTCTTATTTTCACGACACACTGGATTAATGTTCCTCGTTGTATGCTTGATATCGTCAACATCCTTTGAGACTTAATTCCCTTTGGCACCGGTAACAATTTAATACCGTGACAGGTATTTCATTGTTTTTTTCACCCGACATAAAAAGACGTCGAGGGACTGCATCACATTAATAATTTAAACCGCTAACAATTGGAAGGGTTGTTGCGCTTCAACCGAAGCGAATTCGTGCCAAATAGATTCATAACGATCTTGTTGAGCGCTCAAAGGCACAGGGCTCAAATATGAAGGAAAGCGGCTTAAGACAACAGAAATCCAACGGAAGGAGATCGAGAAGGGTTTGTGGAGAAGTTCTTGTCCTTCCTTCGAATATCGTCCCTGGTCTTGGATCAATACATGAAGACTTTATTTTGGTAATTATCACTTGATCAATTCGTTCAGGTTGAGGATAAGAGCGATCGAACCTATCTATTCGCCAATCGCCTAAATCGTTACCTTTTCGCTGAGTTTATCCTAGCTAATCGACAGTGGGTGCTATAGATATTGTAGGTTCACGTGTCGGAATGTGATCAGTAAAAGCGCGCTATGCGAAGTGTATTCATCTGTGAAGCTTTTTCATTTCCCGCCATAAACACTTCGAAATGTCAAAACCTCTTTTGTGGCTGCGATGTTTCGGGCATATTTAACTTGGCGTCTTGCGTGTTTCACACTGATGCCTTGCGTTACGTTTTCGTCAGTTTTTTTTTTTTTTTTTTACACACCGTCACATTTATCGTAATAGAAAAATCCGAGCCCCAGATTTTTCTATTACACTAAAAATTGTTTCATCTTTACATGTCACATTTATCGTTCTTTTAAACCAGAAATTGCTCCCACAGCTCTTTTATTAATATACCTGGGTTGATAATCTCAAAACATGCTCCACTGTTTGTTTATGAAACGGTTGAGTTATGTTTTGTTGGTGAGATGAAGGACGTTGAAACGTGGAGAAAAAACTGATCCGGAAGTCAGCGTTAATATTTTTGCCGCTTGATTCCGGAAACATCTTTGAGTGTGTGTTTAATTGCGTAAGAAGACGTGAAACGTGAGCAGAAATTTGGTATCGGCTTTCTGATTTTATTCCGCAGTTCATGACGTTTCAGAATAGCACACTTACCGACTTGGGCCCATTTTCGATTTTCAAAATGATTTCAGAAAATTAATTAGTCTTTTGTTTAAGTTGCTTCCAACTTAATTGATTTGTTTTCAGCTCGGTGACCAATCTCGTGATCGAGTCCGAGTTTTCTTTTGACAAAATACGGCTTAGTGTCATTAGGAGGTCGAATATCGAATATAAGCAGAGCTTAACCCTTTCAGCCGGCAAAGGGCTAAATGACTGAACTAGTTACTGCTATTTGTTTCGTTGTTTGGACAATATTTTCCAAGTTTCGTGTACTGAGAATCGAAATGAGCAAAAAAACTCCATGGCATGACTCCATGGCATGACCTTTCTAGCTGGCGAGTTGTAAAGCGGTTGCACAATCTGGTTGCTGCTATTTGTCTTGTTGTAAAAGCTAGCTCAGTACTTGGTATATCAGAGCGTCAGATACTCACCGTTTCAGAATCTTTAACTTTTGCAAGTTAAAGATTCTGAATTTTCGAGAGTAATCTGGGATTACTTTGTTTTTGCTTTACTCGCTTTGGTTGGTCCAGAAAACTTGCGCCACTTTCAGAATCAATCAAGTGCAAAAATAAACCAATCACGACTTGATCGCTCGAGTTTTCCCGCGCTTTAGGCAGTTTGGTCGGTTTAACTTTGAGTTCTCATTGGCTCTCAGTGGTATTTTCCTTTCTTCTGATTGGTCGTTGGGATTTCGTTGGCTTTGTTTTTTACGATACTCTATCGAAAAGCGCTCATACAAAGACAAATAAACTCACAAAAATATATACGAGTCCTTTGAACAAGTTCTAAACTTGTTTCTTTTTTGGTTTAGATTCTGAAAGACGACATCGCTAAACACAGAGCACTCTTTCAGACAGCGGAGAACGCTGGACAGAAACTAATCGAACGGAGCCAAGAGGATCCAGCAGTTGTCGCCGACGTTTACAGCAAACTTTACAAAGTGCGCACTGCATTGGACAAGCTGTCAGCTCGAGCTGATCAGCGCCTTGGTCGGCTGCAACACGTTCTTCTGCAAAGTCAGGAGTTTCACGTTTCTTTCGCCGAGTTCTTGGAGAAACTGAGTCGAGTTGAAGAACAGATTGCTCTCCAGGCCCCCGTGTCTGGAGTGTACGGCACGGTTAAAGACCAGAACCAACAGCAAAAGGTGAGCTAAGAAACAGTGTCTACTTTTCTACCTCCTCGTAACATTCTACGCTTTAACCCATCAGGAAGTTTTAGAACGAAAAACTGTCGGCTATAAGCATCAGATAAGGAAGATTAAAACTTTCTCTTGTCAGGAAAATAATGGAGAAGCACAATTTCCCCAATTTCAGCGATTTCTTAGGTGAAAAATCCTTCACAAATCTATTACAGCTGTACATCAGCATATTTCGTCCTTGACACTTGATCCTCCTCATGCGTCCCTGTTCAATAGGTTTGCAAGTCAGAAATTGGTTTGCCAGTTTGTTTTTCCTTCTACACCTAGGTATTATGTTTTAGCGTGATAGTGTGAATGCTCCTTTTTAGAGAGGCCAGAATTGCGCTCACCTAGTATTTTTTGGGTATCCTTCTTTACTTAGTGCGCTATAGCGTATCGTTATTGTAACCCGAGGAAGTTGCGACCGAGAGTCAAAAGCTCGATAGAATAACATCTTGCTTTTTCTGACATGATTTTTATAGACCGTTAATGACACCATTCAGCAACAAGAGCCGCTGTTTGAGCAGCTTGTGCGGGCTGGAAAAAATATCCTAGAGACATCTGAGCCCGGGCCAGACCGGGACGCTTTGGAGGATAAATTGAATGAACTGACACAACGTCAGGATTCAGTCAAAAGACAAACTGCTGATCGGCAGCAACAGCTTGATCAAGTGCTGCCGCTTGCAAAGGACTTTCAAGGTGAGATTCACGACATAAAACCATGGCTGAGCGATGCTGAAAAACGACTTCAGGCCATTGATAGAGATGCTTGTGATGAGAGATCAATCGACAAACAACTGCAGGCGCTAACTGATTTGACCAAGGAGATTGCTGAGCATCAACCGATTGTCGAGGCAATGGAAGACACTTCTTCATCTTTGTCCAATAGTTGCAGTGCGGATAAGTTCGTGATTGAGGGAGAGGAACAAGATGTGCGAAAACGCTTCGATAATCTGTCTTCTGAGGTGCCCAGAATAGAAGACAGTTTGACAAAATTGAAGGAAGCGTTAGTCAAATACAGCCAGGTTTTAACACCTGTCGAAGAACTCTTGGAGAGCACCGAGAAGTCGCTTGCATCGCGTGATTCCACAGGTGTAAATGTAGACAAAGGTAAAGACCAACTAAAGGCTGTGGAGGATCTCTTATCGTCGCTTCGAGCGCACGAACCCGACGTCAACGATTTGAAGGAGGCGGGAGACAAATTTACATCAGCTATGGATCCTAAATCGTCTGAAGTTCCACGTGTTAACCATGAAGTTGAAGCAGTTTGTCAGAGATACAAGGACCTACTGGAGAGTTTGAACAATGAAAAAGAACAAGTCGAGAAAGAAACTGAGAAGGCCTTGAAGTTCCAGGATGCTCTGCGCAACTTAGAGGAGTGGTTACCCAAGGTGGAGGAAGCCGTTGGAGCTCAGGAACCAATCAGTAGCGATCCGGAAGTGGTCAAGCAACAGCTTCAACAGGCAGAGGTCGGTGGTGTTTTTCTTGTTATGTTGTGTGATTTGTGTGAAAGATGTTTGGTTTTTTTCAACTGTTTTTTTAGGAGGATTGATTGGAGAAATGTTTTAGCCGTCTCGATTTTGATTTAATTCTCATCTATTCTCTAGTAAGGAGATCGAAGATGATGATCCATGGCTCATTTTATTACCGATTCATTTTTCTCATTACGCCATCGAACACACCACACCGCGCAGACGTTATTTTTAATTGATTCTTGGAGAGTATCCAAGCCGATTTTATGTAATGTTGATTATGATATAAGGTTTTGCTTCGAGTCTTCGTTTTAAGATCTCTTCGTGGGTTGACCTAGGTACCCAATAATTAATCTTTCACCTACTCTTTGTAGGCGTTGAGGGATGACATAGCGAAAAATAAAGCTCTTCTGGACGCTTTGGAAGACACAGGGAAAGAAATTATCGCAGACAACAACGAAGATCCCCAAGTGGTTCGCGATGTTCGGGGTGAACTGAACAAAATCGTTTCTCCTTTTGACTTGATTCTTCGTAAACTCGCTGAACGTCAAGTCAAACTACAGAATGCTTTGCTTCGATCTCAAGAATTCCAGGTATTTAGTTAGACACCTGCATGTTAAAAGAAAGGAATGTCTTAATCGACAGGCTTTCGTAAATCGGTGTGCTGTCAGTTAAGTTGGTGAATTGTTCATAATTTGATGATGGTGCGAGGCACTTCTTATCTTTCGTATCGTTAAGAGAGAAGTGTGCCTTTGTGATATAAAAGCGATGAATTATATTTAGGAAAGAGTGAGAGGGTTTTCACTGGTTAACAGAGTTTTTTTTTTTTCTTTCCGATTTCCTTGCATTATAGGTGTCTTTCGATGAATTCATGGCTAAGTTGGACACATTTGAAGACGAACTAGCGAAGCAAGAACAGATTTCTGCCCTACATGAACCTGTTCAAATGCAGCGGCAAGAAAATGAAGCCTTACAAAAAGAATTAGCTCTTCAAGATCCTGTGTTTGAAAAACTTGTTCAGAACGGACAAGGTGTCGTTGACGCGCTGGAAGATGCGCCGGAGAGGGAAGTTATGGAGAAGAAGATGGAGGAACTGAAGTCAAGATGGCAGAATCTGAAAGAAAAAGTTGATGACCGTCAAAATAAGCTGGTTAAGGTCGAACCGGAGGCACAGAAATTCCGTCAGGATGCAGATTCCTTGGCTGTGCTGCTAGCAGATGCCGAAAAACAGGTTGATGAGTTTGAACCTCTTACTGTAGACATTGACAACATTGCTAAACAAAAAGAACTTGTGAAGCAGATTCAGAGAATGGCAGACAAACTAAAGTCAGATGTTCGAGAGGTTGGAGGAAGCGCTGAAGAACTAAAGGAACAGGCTGAGAAAGATGTCCCTGTCCTGGAAGCTGAGGTGGAAGACTACGTTGCGCGGATCGAGAAGTTGTCAGCTTCCCTTGATGAGAAAGACGATCAGCTTTCAGCGATGGAAGCAGCGTCACATGACTATCACGTGACAGTTAAGAAAGTGGAGGACGTGTTCTGCGAGGCCTGTGACATCGTCGATGCACCCGTGGTGTGTGGAACGGACACGGAGTCAGCTGCACAACAGCTTGCCAAGATTATGGTAAACTGTTCACGTTTGTTCCGTTTTAATAGGGCGATTGACAGAATTGTGCTAGTTGCAATATCTCTGGAGTTTGACCGCGTTTTGTTCGGTTTTGGTTACTTTCATGGTTAACGTGAATCTCTGAGTTCCTGTGTGTTTCTTGTAAAAACAAGACTCGTGCAATTAAACCTGCTGTGAAGGGCAATTTCTGGGCTTTTAACCAAAATGAAAATTTGTACCATAATGAGGTTTTTTCAGTCAAGGGAAGTGCACATGAATTTTATATTTACGTTCGTGGATTTTTTACGTCTCCAGGAACTAAGTTCTGTTCTCGATGGCCACGCCCCGGAGGTACAAAATGTCGGTCACAAGGGTAAGACTCTTCTCCAACAAGTTCATGACTCGTCACCAGATCACGCAGTCGTTACCAGTAAAGTAGCACACGTCTCACAGAAGTTTGGAGAACTTCAGCAGAAGCTTAAGGCTCAGGAAGAGGCTCTCACCAGTAAGATCAGAGATACAGACGATTTCAATACCAAGGTGGAAGAACTGGACGGGTGCATACAAGACATTCGTGAGAAGCTCGCGGCAGTTGGCCCTGTCAGCACTCACCCAACTGCGGTAGAAAAACAGCTGGAGCTTGTTCGAGTGAGTACGAAACGCAAGCGATCGTTATCAAAATTCAAGAGAAATTACTTTGATAAATCACTTGGAAGAACCCTTTCCACCCTTTTAACTCCCAAGATCCAATTATTAATTTTCTCGAAAGACTGCCATACATATGCTTGTAAATTAGACAGTAGAACGTGGTGTTTTCTTTATACAACGCCCTCGAGCTGATTAGTTCGTCTGTTCTGTTCTTCTAACCTCTACGGTTTATGGTTTATGGTTTATCCAATACCTTAATAGCAGCATGGGCTGAATTGCCAAGGTTTACAATGTATTTGAGGTTGAGATCGGACGTCAGCATTATCAGGCGCCACTGGTTGCCGCTTCTGTCCACGTAACGATCTCACCTACCCACCCATCCCACCCCAAGATAACATTGAAATTACTAGGAGAAGTTACAAATTAATCTCTTCGGGGAGATGAAGGTTAAAACGTTCTTGTAAATGGTCACATACCGATTTTTATCTCTAATCTGAAAAGATTCGGATCGTCACTCTTTACATGTGAAGAGGGCCACAAGACAAGTTCGGCTCAATACTGTTCACTTGACTCGTCACACTCTAGGTTACTAGACATTGTGTTTCCAATTACCTTTCCCTCAAGTCGAAGTTCCAGATGAATTCACATTCATGGAAAATACTCAGAGCCGTGCAAGTCAGGGGCTGGACAGATTTTTCAAGGACTCACTGGCGTCGACCCTTCCAGCCCTACACACATTCAGCTTCTCTCAGTTTTCTAAAGGATTGCGCGAGCGGGGCCAAACGGGTCCTAGGATGAATTAAGTTATGATCTCAAGAAAGGTCTTTTCCTTATTACCCTTGTCAAAATACATCAATATTGTCTATTTTCTTAAAGTACGGAGACAGCAAATTGGTGGGCTTTTGTGTTCTTGTTTGCGAGTTGTTCTTTAACTAGTGGTAATGGTAATGGTTTATTAGATATGAATTCGGCACTAAAATGAAATACTTCATATTTACAAGAAATTACAAAAAATGTTTACAAATTAAATGAGACTGTATAAATAAAAATTTTGCCGGGGGACTGGGTTACCGGCTCACAAGATTCTATTAACAAATTGTTACAAATGTGATATAAGTCTATTGCGATAATTCATTAAACTTTGACGTCATTGCGGGGAAAAAAACTTATTTGAAATCGTTTTGTCCTACATTTAAAAAGAGTCAAGTTATTGCTGGAGCGCAGCTGACGGCCGTGTGCGTCTAGTCTTTTCTGTGGAATTAATGATGACAACTGTGAGCTTTTAATTTTCTTGAACTGTTCGAGGCAAAGACGTTCCCTATTTTCTTCCAGTGTGGGGTAATTCAAAACATTACATACAGTTCTGTAAGAAATTAGTGGTTCGATTATCCTGAAAGCTCTTCTTTGTATCTGTTCTAAATAGTACCGTTTGTTTTTCGTTTTCCAGGATTCGAAAGCGAAACTGGAGGAGAAGAAACCAACTCTTGAAGATGCCCAGGGTTTATGTGAGAAGTTGACCGACCAGAACAAAGATGAACCGCTAATCGTAGCAGCCATTAAAGACAAACTTGACAAAGTCGAGTCGCCATTTGAAGACCTCAATGCTAAACTCACTGACCTGGAAGGCAGACTCCAGGCAGCACAGATTCGCTCTCAAGAATTCAACGTGTCTTTCAGTGAGTTTAAAGACAAGCTACAAGATATGGAAGAACTTGCCGCCAATCTGAAGCCTGTGTCCGCCATATATGACAGGCTGAAAGAACAGAAAAACGATGACGAGGTATAAACGTAGCTGTAAGCTTTACATTTTTGTTTGCGATTTAGGTCTTCTTGAACAGACATTTTGCCAAACTTTGTCAGATACTCAGTTCTTACAAACTTTGTAATACCGTACCACTCTGATTTTATTCCCAGAGATGATTTTACTTCAGTGTTTTATTAGTCTTTTCCTAAATATCCCATCTTTTCCTATTATTAGTCTTTTCCTTAATATCCCATCTTTTCCTAAATTCTATTCAAGAGAAATATAACTTTACGCGCTTTTAAGTCGTGATTTACTAAATGTAAGAATGGAGTAATTTTCCAAAGAAGTGACCTTGTAAAAAAGTGTTTGGAATGCTTACTGTAAGTTGTTTATCACAGGAACTGCAAGATAAGATCCAACAACAAAAACCTGTTTTTGAACAACTCTTGAAAAATGGCAAAAATCTTCTGGAAAGTGCAGAACCTGGTGCCGAGAAAGACGAACTCGAAGCGAAACTTGCTGACACGGAGAGGCGCTGGAATGAAACCGAACAAATCGCGTCTGAACACTCAGCTCGTGTCGATACAGCTCTTCCTGAAGCGGAAACGTACCGCGAGAGTGCGAGCAGTCTTGAGCCGTGGTTGGCGGATACGGAGAGAAAATTGACATTGTTGGAGCCAATTGTGGCGAGTCAAGACTTGGTGGAGAAACTCAGTGATGAAGTAGCTTTGCTTCGTGAAGATATCGACAAACACCGACCAGAGAGAGACTCCGTAAGTGAGAAATCGAAAGCTGTGGTAGAATTGACGGATGCCGATGGGGACGTTGTAGGGAATGAAGCTCAAGAAACTGTAGATCGATATGACGCATTGGATGCAGCTCTGGCTGCCAAAGAGAAAGATCTACAGGACGTGAAGCAGATGTTGGATAAGTATCACGTTCTGGTGCAGCCTGTAGAAGATACACTGGAAACTGTCGGCGCAGAGCTCGCGTCACAAGGACCAGTTAGTGCTGACGTAAAAAAGAACGAAGAGGATCTGGCAAGGACTAAGGCAAGTACTTTAAATTACTCCACTTGAGTTAAAGTTGAGCTCTTCTTACTTCAAAGGAAGAAAAGGAGTTTAGTCGCAAGTAAAGCGTAATTATCAATACAAATGAATTTCAGATATCTCACTTTTTTAACTCGTGAGGAACATCGATGTTTAGCAAGCCTCGATTGCAGGTGGTGTCGCCCCCTTGAATTGCAGGTGGTGTCGCCCCCTTGAATGGTGGTCCCAAGTTCTGTCGTCCCCATTGTCGCAAATTTGTTTTGAATTTTACGTCGTTACAGTGTTTACAAAAGGAAGAAGAGTTTTAAAGCGCTGTTCTGATCACTTGACACGTTAACTTTAGTAAGAGAGAGTAAAATTTTGTGTTCAACTGTACATCGTGTTGAGTTCAGTGTTCCGTTCCTTGCAAATTTTCATCTGTTTGATGTTTTACCATTTTTCCTTTCCTTGATCAAACAGGCACTGATCCGTCGATTAAAGGACATGAGAGACAACCTTGACAGTGCAGAGACAAGTGGTAAGGAAACAGCTGAGGCCATCACAGCCTTGGACGGCGATCCCACTCTTGTCCAAGAGGAACTCAAAGCGGTTGGTGCCAATTACGATTCTCTTCTAGCTCAACTGAAAGATAAACAGTCGCAGCTGGAACAGGCGATAGGTCAAGGTCTGGAGCTACAAGAAAAATTGGATGAAATTGAAGCTTGGACTGTAAACAGTGCTGAGAAGGTAGACGTCTGGGAACCAATCAGTACAGATGCTGTCACAGCTAAGAAACAGTTGGAGGAGTTACAGGTACGAAGATTCGTTCTGATTTGTAACTCTCACTTTTAGTTGTCATACATTTCCTTGCAAATTAGGTAGAGAATTTAGTGCTACATCAGGATACCATTTTCCGACTGATGAGGTCGATTCTCATTTCTTAATGAGTGCATCATTTATATAAATGTTAAGTAAAGTTAAGTTAAGAATGAGTCACCTTTTATAGTTCAAGGGTGAAAGAAGAAAGCAACACGATTCCCCGATAATATCTGGATTTCGGTAGAACTTATAGCTATTCAATTAACTTCAACAGAAGCTTTTGACAACTTTCTTGGAGAGTGTGTTAGTCGTACTTTTAATGTAGAAAATATCGTCCCTAACAATTCGGCAGGTTTCAAGCTGAAGCTTTTATTTCATTCGCAGGCGATGAAGGATGAACTTGAAAAACATCAAGCTAGTCTTAAAGACTCTCAAGCCTTAGCAGAGAAGCTGCTGTCCGACAGCGAAGATCCAGTCACTGCTGCTGAACTTGAGAGCCGTTTGTCCAGAGCTGACCTCGAGCTAAAACAACTCTCAGATAAGATCGAAGCGCGGGAAAATCAGCTGCAGGCAGCGCTTGCACAGTGCGATCAGTTCGAGGCTGATTCGGATGATTTCTTACGCTGGCTTACTAAGACTGAGAGAACTCTCGCCAAGCTCAGGCCTATTTCAGCTGATGTGGGTACAGTTCAAGAACAAAAAGATAGTTATCAGGTTGGTATGAGTTTCGGCCTTAACTCTTCTGCTCTTCTTTACTTCTACAGTTGCACTAGCTCGCAAAGAGGCTTTAAAGAATCATTTTCTCAGGATATACCAGAGTTGGTTTGCTCAAAAAATTAGTCATCAGTCTAAGCTAGAAAATTCCAGGCTAGGAAAAGAAACACTTATCATTTTTTGCCATCTATGCTGCCAAAAAAAAACTTGTTAAGGGAAGTTTAGCTAAGAATGACGTTTCGAGTTTGGATAATGGTTTGGCTCGGGCACGCTACTCTCCCAACGAATCTGTAAAAAATAGCAAAAAATGTAAAGTTTTACGATATTAAGTACTAGCGTCAACGTGATAGAGCTCAGTTTTCCAGCTAATATGTTTGAAACTTTGCAGCCCATCCACCAGGAGATAAAAGAAAAAGAACCAACTTACACGGCCCTGACGGCTGCCGGAGAACAACTGAAGGAAACAAGTCAGTTGCCCGCTGACCAAGAAAACTTACAGGAAAAACTCGATAACATGAGCCAGCGATGGAGTGAGCTAAACACTTTGTCCGGTGCGCGTTCCACTAACCTAGACAAAGCAGTAAAACTGACTACTGAGCACCAGGAGCAGCGCAACCACTTTGTACCGTGGCTAGATTCAGCGGAAAGAAGATTGGACGCTATTCACTTGACTTGTGATCCAGAAGTTCTGGAGACTAGTAAGCAACACGTCGAGGTACTCAGACACACTTCAATTAGCCATTTATTCGTTAGGTGTTGTTCATTTTGTTTATTTTCGTTTTCTTCATTTTTCTTAGTGATAGTTTGTTTCTCAATTTTGTTAACCATTTGACCCCTTAAGAGTGACTTGCATGGAATTTAACTTCGCAATATCACTCCTGAAAAAAACATTAAGGTCATGAGCATGGAGGAAATGATCACCAACTCAATAAGTTCATGATTATTAAACAGGAACTCCAGCAAGATGTAACAAACCACTCTGATCCGCATAGTGAACTTGACAACACAGCTGAGGGGATCTCTCGTGTCTGCGTGGAGGAAGTCAGCTCTGTCGAAGACGACATTCAAAATCTGGACAAGCGATGGGCCGACTTGAACAAAAACCTTCAAAACAAACTTGTAGATATCGAGACCTTGCAAGGCCAGTTGAAGGAGTATAAAGACACTGTTAACGGTGTTGATGAGAAAATTTCTGGGGTTGAGAGTGAATTGAACTTGGAAAGGGCCCCCGTATCAGATGTAGAAGAGATGAAGAGGCATATTCAAGACCTTGAGGCGCTAAAAGAGCAGGTTGAGGAGCTTAAACCGGACGTTCAGTCCGCTGTAGAAGCTGGGAACGGTATTCAAAAGGGCAACCCAAGCGCTGACACTACTGCTGTTGAATCAGATAACAACAACCTACAAGAACATTATGCTGCACTTGAAGATAAGCTTTCTTCCGCAATTGAAAAGAATAAGAAGATTCTTGAGGATTTAGTGGAGTACTGGGAACAACAGGGTAAGTTCGAGGAACAGGTTAAGGAGACTGGGGATAAATTGGAAGAAAACAAACCCGCAGTGATGGATGTTAGGAAACTGAAAGAGCAGTTGGAGAAGGCAAAGGTATAAAACTCCTTTAAACTTACATTTATCTATTTACTTGCCGACGCAGCTTGAAAGCTATTTAAGACTACATTGTCATAAATGAACTCTAAAACTGACCATTGGTGAAGTCACAAACTGAGTGTAGGATATTTACTGTGGAATCCCCGATCGTTGAGTATTTGGAGAGAGAATTGTTACTGTATATGGTTTAATAGTCAGTGATGTCGATTTTGACATCGGAATTGTAAATTCGTTTATAACATCTTTTTAGACAAGAGACCCAAGTTGCGTTTGGTACAAGTTTTGCATCTGATTGGCTTGAAGGGTGGCGCCTGACTTCTAAACCAATCAAGGAGTTTTTAAAATTTGAACTAATGCATTCCTTAATTACTTACTATACACATTGAAAACAACTTTCTTGATTTTTGTTATCCAGCTGTTGAAAGCAGGAGTAGAAGATCTGAAGGCGGATGTAGACACAGTTAACAAACAAGCTCAGGATCTGATCACTGCTGGTCTGGGATTAGATTCTGTGGTAGTAAAACAAATGTCTGACACCGACAAGCAGTGGAATGACGCCAAGGATGCTGTAGCCATGCAGCAAGCTGAGATCGAAAAGGCTCTGCAAGAAGTTGAAGAGCTACAGGAAGCTTTGCAGAAAGCAGATCAAGCAATGACTGAATCAGAGCAGAAAGTCGAACAGTTACCACCTGTTGGATCAGATGTTGACACGATTAACCAACAACTGGAGGACATAAAGGTATCAGCTTGAATATTCTCCACGCTATTTTTCCTGTATTTCCTATGATGGCCGTGGGAAGAATTTGTTAAATGATGAAGGAATCTTCCACTTGCTGATCATTTCCTTTATTCTCATAATATATTTGTTTGACTGTGTAGCGTTGGTTAAGAGGAAGGAAGACACTGATCACTCCGAGGGTTAAGCTTAAGTTGCTATATTCCAGAGAAATCGCTTAACTGAAATGTATGAGCGACTAAGATGAATTTATCTGAACAGCAAATTTATGTGGTGGTTCTGTTTTTGCAAAAAAAAAAAATTAAGTATGTGGAAGATATCTTGCTGTAATCCAGAGTCTTTCAAAGCTTCGGAACAATGTTATTTTGCAACCGTGTTATGTTTTTTGTTTGCTTTTTCTTTGATCATATCAGTACAATTTCTTGGTTTGAGTGTGGCAAAAGGTCTAGTAAGCTGTGCGACATGAAAGTTGCGTTCAAGAGCTAATCATTTCACTTCCTAAGACCCAAAGTAAAGGTGCATCCATGTACCTCACAATTTAATCCATCTTTTTCAGTCAAATGGACAGTTTTAAATGAAAGTGCTGCCTCGTTGTCACTCTTTGAACGGTACTACATGAGTGCCTTGTGCTAATTTTCAACCGGAGTATTGAGTAAAATTGTTGACGAGGTCATTGGTTTTTTCATATTTTGAGGTAGTACCGTTAGTATATGGTACTCCTTCGTTAAATTGTATCGTATTTTTGTAATTCAGGATTTACAGAAGGAAATTGATGGAATTCAAGATCAACTCGCAGCAATTAATGACCTGAAATCCGAGATGGCGGCAGCCTACCCAGACGCAAACACAAGTGACATTGATAAGGCCATAAGCGAACTGAACCAACGACTTGTAGCATTAAATCAAGATCTTGGAAACAGACAGACTAAGCTGGAAAGTGCGCTGCTGGCCTGTGGAAAGTTCCAGGATGCTTTGCAGTCGTTGCTAGACTGGCTGGCAGAGACTCGTGAACTGATAGAGAATCAAGGCCCTATTGCAGCCGCTGACCCAAATGTGATGAAGGCTCAAATGCAAGAACAGAAGGTAATTCTAACATGGCCAAAACTTAACTCATAATTTCGTTTCGCCAGCAAGGTTTGCAAATTGTCTGCCGCACATTTCTGTCACTCAGTTGGAGAATTTGTTATTATAGTTATACAAAAAACATTCCCAGGTTGGTTTATTTCTTTGTAAATATATGTATAGAGAAACTACTTACTGTTCTCTTGAAAGTGAAAGTACCCAGGTAAGCACTCCTTTATTCTTTTCCACAGCTATTTACCCGAATGATCGCCGATCGCGCGCCTGCCGTGAAGTCCTTAAAGGAGACTGGGGAGGAGGTTCTAAAAACTGCCGACGAAGAAACTAAGGCACGAATCGAGGAAGGACTCGAAAACGTAACACGCCAGTGGGAGGAGCTCAATAATATGACGGACGCAAGGAAGAACGCACTGGACGCAGCCATGGAGGCGGCTGTCAATTTTGACGGTCTGTTTGGTGACGCTAACAAGAAGATAGCCACCGCTGAAGAGGAGCTACACGCTCAAAAACTTGGTCAGAAGGCGGAACCTGAATCCATATTAGAGGAGGCCGAACAACTGCAGGTCAGAACATAGAATCGACTGCTTTCTGAATTAGGATATCTCATATGTTGAAATCTTTTGCTAGTGGGGAATTTAAGGGCATGTTTAAGGATGGCTTTGTAAGTTATGAAAGCCTAAATTCAGAAGAAAGGATTCATTTTGCTGCAGAGTTTGAATTTTTTTTGTCCCCTAACCCTTCCCCACAATTCTTTGGCAACCCTCCCCCCCAGATACAAGCACTCATTCTCGAGTTTGTCAGGTATCTGAGCCAAGTACTTGAGCATATCTTCGCTTAAAGCAGCTTATAAAACTTTTATTTTTTGTATTGACATAATGCTCTTTTATTTATTTTTAAGGCCCTGTGCGAACAAATCGACAGTTTGGAGTCCCCCGTTCAAGAAGCTTCTCAAGCAGGCGAGGAACTCGTGTCACACTGCACAGATGACGATAAGAACCTGGTACGCGACAAAACAAACAAGCTTTCACAGCGTTACCAGACATTGCGTAACCAGGCAGATGGAAAGAGGATAGAGACTGAGGACGCAGCCAAACTTTCAAAGGATTTCTTCAACGCTAAAGATCAGTTGATTGCATGGTGTGAGGAGACTGCAAGAAAGCTGCAAGATGCAAAAGGGGAGAGTGAAAATGTTCAACAGGAGAAACTTCAGGTTTGTTTTGGTGGACCTTTCACTGCCATTTCTGCTATAGGGTTTTCGTAGAAAAAGTGTACAGCAACGTGGTTTTCTCTACAAAAAGGCGACGATTTCGTCACTGTGTGAGAAGTTTATGACAGGAGTTTGTGCATAGTAACTCTTCAACTCGCAAGATTTGATTAGAAGTTCGCCCTGACAGCAAACATGTCCTTGTTAATAGAGCACTTTTCGATTAAGTATCGTAAAAGCAAAACCAAAGTAATCAAAACGGCCAATCAAATGAGAGAGTGTGAGAGTGGCGCGAGTTTTCTGAACCAATCACAGAGCGAAGTAAAGCGAAACCAATGTAATCTCAGATTACTGTCGACAATCAATTGAAAATTGCTCTGAGTCCTACATCAAGATAACGGAATCCATTAGATATGACTGTCTCATAAGGCTATTTTCTTTACCTGTTTCCTTAGTGGAAGCTACATAATTATCTCTTCCAGAAGTAAAAGGGTTCAGCCTCATGAGCACAGCTTGAGTTACAAAATTTAGTATTAAGACTAAAGAGGAAAAAAACTGGTTAATTCCCATTCCTCTTTTTAAAGGAAATCCAGCAGGCTTTATCGTCCAAGGAACCAGATCTTTCTTCCTGTAAAGAACTTGGTGACGACCTGAAAAAATATCTCATTCAAGAAGAAAAACCGAAAGTGGACCAAGCACAGAGCGAAGTGGACGAAAAATGGCGCTCTTTGCACGCCGATGTGGACGAACTGGCCAAGAAATTGTTTTCATCACAAGCGCGTGTAGACAGTCACCAGCTTGAAGTGAATGAGATGAAGGCGTGGCTAACTGATACCGAAGGAAAGCTGGCCAATGTGGAGCCTGTGGGTGTCGAGCCAGAGCAGGTTAAACAACAGTTGGGAACACAGGCGGTGAGTAACTGGCTGAGCAGTAGAGACTGTGTCAATCTGGTTTGCGTTCATTGGCAGATCTTATCATGATTACGTAGATCCCAGCAGGCGCCTGGCGCGATTATTTACAATTTTGATGAAGTTGGGGGTGGTTATTTGAAGGGAACGCCTCTTTAACTTTTCTTAGCTTTAGGCTAGATGTGATCCTTGTTTTATGATAACCTGTCCGCGTGAATAAATGTATGGTATTTTTAAGAAATACAAACAACAAGTGAAAATACTAGGCAATGCTTCACACTAAAACGTCTAACGAGTTATTTATTATCCAACTGCTTTATTTATACTCATTTCTCATAAGGCGGGAAAAGCGAAGCAGTTAGATAAGGGTAGCGCGCAGCCAACCGGTTAAACAAGTTTCTAACAATACAAAATAACAAAGAGAATAAGATAAATTGGCCACCGTAACGATTACAAAAGCTGATGTTTCGAGCGTTAGCCCTTCGTCGGAGCGAAGTGAGCGTCGGTTAGCTCCGACGAAGTGCTAACGCTCGAAACGTCAGCTTTTGTAATCGTTACGGTGGCCAATTTACCATTTCAACTTTGTTGATATATCCAAATTATTTCGTTAAAAAACAGTTTCTTTCGAAACTATCAGCCTTTAAAGAGAATAAGAGATTGGGGAAAAATCATCAACCACGAGATGATGAAATAGAAGAGATTGTACGTACTCATCGCCTTTGGTGGTGTAAGGTTTCGTGGTCTTTTGTAAAAATTTATTTTTCGTTGTCTGTTGCTAGGCCCTTAATGCAGACGTTACAGCCCATGAGAAACCCGTTAAATCTGTGTGCGAGAACGGCGAGGTACTGATGCCAGTACTTAAGGATGAGGAACAACAAGCCGTCAAAGACGATCTCGAAAGCATTAAGACTCGCTACCAGAATGTCAAGAATGACACCTCTGCTCGACAGGCAGCCTTAGTGGAGGCTCTGTTGCTGTCTCAGCAGTTCAGAGACATTTACAAAGAGGTGGTCACCTGGCTGGATCGCTGCGAGGAGAACTTCCGTAAGCTGGACGACGAATCGGTCGCGGAACTTCAACAGGAGAGAATCAAGGTAATTTTTTTTTTTTTTTTTTTTTTTTGATTTCGGAGATATTTCCATTGTACAAGAGACCTTGAGATTCTAGTGAGGCACGATCACGAGTTCGGATGTTCCTGTAGTGAAACCGGCATGGGGGGGGGGCACGTGCGAACCAGCGACATTTCAAGATTCCCGAACAGTATACACTGGTAGATATTCAAGCTCCTGAAGGGAGGAGAGGCAGGTCAATGTCACTATCTGGTCAACTGCGCACCAACCCCTCCCCTGACCCAAAGTTAACTCTAACTTAATATCAGTACCTGAGTAACTGCGCACCTACCCCTCCCCTGACCCAAAGTTAACCCTAACTTAATGTCAGTACCTGAGTGACTGCGCACCCACCCCTTCCCTAACCAAACAACAGTCAACTGATAGGGTTAACGTTGGGTTAGGGGAGGGGTATAGGTGCGCAGTTACTCAGATACTGACATCGATCAGAAGAGGCCCAGAGAGAGGTAAGCGCCTTACCTAAGGGCGTAACACCAGCGCGTCAACCATTGTGTAAACATGTCTTCCCAGTTTTCAATTTAACTCCAATTAAAATGACTTTTTTTGGTTTCTTTTGCAGTCAATCCAAGAAGGCATCACTGCCCTTAAAGTTTTAATTGGTAATTTGGAAGAGACTGGAAGCGACCTGGTCAAGTTGAGTGGCCCAGGTGAGGGATCCAGTACAATTGAAGAGAAGGTGGCAGCTTGTGTTGAGCGCTATGAACGACTTCAGCTACAGACAGAGGAACGAGGAATTAAGATCGGAATGACCTTAGCACAAGAAGAAGAACTGCAGAACAGACTGGACGAGTTACAGGCACTGTTAGAAAGGAGAAAAGAAGACTTTGGCAATCTGAAGCCGATCAGTGTCAGACCAAACGTTATTCGTGCACAGATTGAAGAGCTGAAGGTAATTTGGCATCATTCGATAATCAATCATGTGAAACGTCATATTTAAAAAAAGAGAACATCGCTTGTTTGTTGCGCGGGCAGAAATCTGAGAGCGCATTTTGATTGGCTGTCGTGTAAAAGAAGGGCCAATCGGAGCTTGTAAAGAAAGCAAGGAGAGCTCGAGGAAAATTCATGAAGCGCGAGAAAATGGAAGTAACCAAGTCGCCATCTGATTGGTTGACAGGGTGCTTTGAGTCTTCTACACCAATCACAGGAAGTAGTTAAAAATGGGGTCAGCTTGTTTATGATGTCGCTTAAGTTTTTCTGAAATTGACGTCATTCATCTCTTCGTTACTTATGGAGTGAGCATTACAGGTTTAATGGTAGGAACTTGCGTAATTTTCTTATATTTTATTTTTCAGGGACTTCAAAATGAATTCGATCCAGAGAAGGAAATGGTGGAAGAAATCAGACCGCTGGCGACTGCTGTGGTAAATGCCAACCCAGATTCCAAAACATCATTGCTCATGAAAGACAAGATGAACAAAGTGTCCACGCTTGCATCCGATACGCAGACTATGTATGACGACAGGCTCAAGGCTCTAGAACTGGCCCTCGATGCTGGGGACAAATTTTGGACAGGCTTAGATGAGATAAAGAACATCCTCAAGGACGCGCAGGATAATCTGGACTCGGAAGAACCCCCGGCCGCTGACCTTGAGGTGCTGGAGGAGCAGATTCACGATCATCAGGTATGGATCTTTTACTTTTCGCTGTTTTGAACTCTCTCACCATTACTATCAGCAGGTAACACAGTCACACCAACCATGTCAAGTCTGTGACATTCCAGTTTGGGTAGTCCCTGGTTTCTCTAACAGTTGGCTTTTACGGTTTGGTGTAGTACAAGTAATAACTCTTTGGTCTGAAGTCTTATTCATTACCTGCTCAGCATGTTCCTGCCAGTAATACTAGAATACAGACGTTATTAGACTACAAGCACTTCCTCCTTTTCGGCGAAGTCTTCTACGTGAGGCAGAGAAAATCGCTTAACAGAAAATTGATGTTAGCGCGCCGCGCGGACCCAACTTTTCTTGCGCTTCATTCCCAGAGTTACGCGCGCTCCCAGAGTTATGCAGTGATTTTTTTTTTAATTACGCGACGGACTTATCAACTACCCTGCCTCGTGGCCTCCATATCAGTGACCCTTGCTGCATCCTTTCTAAATATTTTTGGTTGTTTTGTCTTTCTTTTATTCAGGAGCTTCGAACAGAGCTGGATGCCCACAGTGAAGCAGTGAATGTGTTGTGTGAAGCAAGTCCTGTTCTCGTAGCGCACTGTAGTACAGGCGACAAGGTGCTGGTACAAACAGAACTCTCCAAGGTCAGCAAACAGTGGGCAGATATCGAGAAGGCCTGGAACAAGAGAGAAGCTGACATGCAAGAAGTGAAGGAAACAGCTACTCAGTATCACAATACCCATGATCCCTTGCTGGCTAAGTTGACAGATTTAGACCAAAGGCTAGCCAAGCAGCCGCCCGTGGGGACTGAGTTGAGTATCGTCAAAGAACAACTAAAAGAGCAGAAGGTAACTTGTTTTTACGGAGTTAACTGAGACCCTCTTATGATTTGTTTTTACCATCATCACCATCTACCCGAGAACAATTGAAATTTGGCAGTTTTCAGGCAAGTTTAATGAAGAATCTTTTCTCAAACGCAAAATGAATATCGACGGTCTTTCGGGTGTGTTTTAAAAGGTTCAATCGCTCATTTGTTGTATTTACAGGACTTCCATAAAGAACTGACACCATTGCAAATCGATGTGACAGCTGTCAACCAGAAGGGTACAATTCTAAGTGAACAGTGTCGTCCGGAGGATGCAGATCTGATTGCAGCACAGCTAGAGGATTTGAATACTCGATGGGATGACTTGTGTCTTCATTCCGGTGAAAGGCAACAGACAATTGAAGGTGCTCTGTTACAACTAGGACAGTTCCAACTGGCCTTAGAAGAGCTTCTGGTTTGGGTCAAACAGACCAATGCCACTTTGGATGAGCAGCTGGCAAGGGATGTTCAGGGAGATGTTAAGTTTATCGAGGTTGAAAAAGCCAAACACAAGGTGAAAATCGTTACTTTTCACCAAATGACGCATAGCAATCGTCAAATGCTGCCATTCTTGTTGTTGTTGTTTGTTTTTTAATATAAAGAGTTATTGTAACACATGCACGAGACGGCCTTACGTCCTCAGAAATGGGAAGCAAGCGATCTCTCCTCTGTGCCCTTTTGGTTAAAACGAATAAACCGTAGGCTCCGTCTCCTGCAAGGTTAGGGGTAGGAGACGTTAATTTCCCACGCACAAGACTACTGTGTGGTGGATGTCCTCCCCTGGGGTGGGATGGGTGGGTGTTGGCCCTGAAAAGCCCCTATGGGGAGTGGTCAATTAGCCAATGTATGTATGTATGTATGTATAACTCTTAGGAAACGCAGCGAGATATTTACTTCAGCAATTTTCGTCTTCAGATTCTAGACAATGACATCTTGGCCCACGAACCATCTGTGGAATCCGTGACGCGCGCGGCCTCCTCCCTGCTGATGGAAAATGGAGACAGCAAGTTGGATAGTGGTTCCCTGCAGATGAAGATGACGGAACTACAGGACGGCTGGCAGGAGGTGTTAGACAAGGCAGCCCGCCTGGACGCCCACCTCGCAGCTGCCCTTAGCGCATCTCATGACGTCATGGACCAGATGAAGGAACTGAGAACTTGGCTTAAGGAGGGACGTGACTTCCTTGACTCCAGGAGACAAATAGGAGGACGACCTGAGAGTGCTCGCAACCAATTGACCAAATATAAGGTTTGTTTGAGCAAATAAGTCTCTCACTTACTCGAACGATATTTTGATTCATTGCGGTGGTGAGAAAACTTTAGATGATTTTAAAAAATCCTTAAAAAGACATTTTGTTGGGGTGGTGAAAACATCTCTGGTGTGGGAATAAACCAGTTGCTAATGACTTAAAAATTTCAAGATATATTGCTGTAGTTCAAGAAACCTTGAACGGTTTGCACTCGGATAACGCAGGCTAGTCCAAGTTTTGACGATGTTAATAATCCTTCACTTCTACAGGACTTCTTAGACGTACTTGAAAAACGTAAGGAAACCTACCAACGTATCACCGAAGCCGTCCAAGCCATGATAAAGAACAGCGACCCTACTACGGCAGCCCCGCTTCAAAGGCAGTCGGATGAATTGACAGAAGCTTGGGAACAAGTGAGCACTAAGGCTGACGAGGAAGGCCGTAAGTTGGATGACGCGCTCAAGAATGCAGTGGAATTAGAGAAAGAAATCACAGATATGGACTCTTGGCTCACGCGGGTTCATGATCAAATAGTGTCATTTGATAATGTCAGCTGTATTCTGGACGTTTTGGAAAAGCAACGACAGGAATACAAGGTATGAAGAAGAAATGAGAGGGTGAAACGTTACCTCGGTGATATTTGAAACTCTTTACCTCCCAGGATCTGATTATGAATTCTCCGCTCTAGCTGCTACTTATTTCCTTGTTAGTTAATTACAAGAATTTGGTGATAGACGAAGATAACAACTTCTTTGAGTGTTCTCATTACCTGTTTGCTGGAAAATGTATGGATAATATAGGGAGAATTTACATGTTCATCACTTCAGGGATTTAAAGGGTTAAAAGATGATGAAAACACGGCAGCGAACCGTATGGAAACATCATGACATCTTAATGGAACCGTTGGCCTTCGAATGAAACGCTTCCTTTTTCTCTAAATCTCCTCTTCATTTCTTTGCCAAAAACATGTTTCCCATTAGTTTCATACAGTTGATAGAAACCGACTTCGGAAACTTTTTCTTTGTTTTACGAAGGTCGGTGAAGAATAGTGTTTCGACAAAATTCCCAACAAACGTCCTCCTAACTTTGAGAAAGTTACCTTCTTTCCTATGGAAAAACTAAGTATTGTCCTCTCGCAAAAACGTTTGCATGCCATATATAACCCTTTACACCCTAACATCCGTTTGCATATTCTCCATACTGTTCTCTATACATTTCCGAAGGTACTGACAAGGAGAATTTGTGAAACAATCGAGAGCTTCTTTAGTTGGTGATCATTTCATTTTTACTCGTGAGCTTAATTTGTCGTTCAAGGGGGGTGGGGGGTGAGATTGCAAGGAGATGCTAGTTCACTATTAGGAGTCAAGGGGTAAAATGGTCTTTCTTCCCTCACAGGATCTCAAAGAAGATATTGACGCCCACCGTGATCCGTTCAAACAACTCAAGGTATTAGCGTTTAAGATCACAGATGTGTGCATCCAGGAGGACGTGACTTACATCGATAATACGATCCGTGTCTTGGACGCTCGCTGGAAAGAACTGACTGATCTGTCTTCGGGCAGAAGGAAAGATCTCGACGAAAATTATAAGCTGTCACAGAAGTTCTTCAGAGGTGCTGAGGAATTACTGAAGATGTTAGACGAAGCTGAGAAGAGCCTCAAAGACGAGGAGGCTATTGGAGTGGATCCCGCCCACCTCAGGACCCAACTCAAAAAGCACAAGGTTTGTGAATGCCTTTTTTTTCCTTTTTGTCTCCTTTTTGTGCCAAAATAGCTGCTTTGTCATATTTTGGGTCATTTTTAACGTTGTAGAGTATTTTGTTCAACAGAATAAAACGTGGAAATAGTCATTCATTAACCCTCTACTCCCCGACAATCAGTATGCTAGATCTCCATACCGTTTTCCATTCATTTCCCATAGTACTTTCAAAGAGAACTTGTCTCACAATCAAGACCTTCTTTTGCTCGCGGTCGTCATTTATTCTCGTGACCTTTATGTTTGATATAAGAGTGACGGTGTTGGCAGAAGGTAGACGTTTCTTACTTTTAGGGACGAAAGGGTTATGGCGGACAAGGACAAAAAAAAAAAAAAGAAAAAGGGCTAAAGGGAACAAAAATATAAATCGATAGCAACAATTTTCACTGATCGCATATGTCAGAGAATGAAGCAGCTCTTTGATAATGTTGTTACTTATCCCTCAGGAGTTCCAATCCATGCTCGGTGCCAACCAAACATCAATGGATGGAATCATTAAGACGGGTAAAGTGTTGATGGAGAAGAGTCCCGAAGATGACGCCATTATCATCGAAGGAAAGATAGCTGACCTCAAGGCACGATGGGACGCCATCTGTGCACTATCAGTGGAAAGGTTAGTTACGTCTAACACTTATTATGCTTCTCTGGTCGTTATTTTATTTGAGCTTTACGGAGCTTTAACGCTCTACAGCAAAACAATTAGCTCTACGTTTTTATTGATGCTTTATTGATGCTTGTGGTTGCTTCACTCTCTGTGCAGACAACAAAAACTAGAAGAAGCTCTCCTCTTCACTGGCATGTTCCAGGATGCCTTGCAGTCGTTGCTTGACTGGCTCGGTGCAGTGGAGCCCAGTCTTTCCACTGAAACTGCCGTCATGGGTGACCCTGAAACTGTACAGATTTTAATTGACAATCACACGGTGAGGGATGCAACATGGGATTCGAGTATACTTAGCTGAGTTAGAACGTTTAAGACAATTTGCAAAGCAGAGAATATTTACTCACGGATTTCTTTTACCAAGAACGCATGCTGCTGACCTTGATATAAATGAACAGTGTATTTATTTCAATCTCTCGCAGACCTTCCATCGTGAGCTCGGACGCCGCCAAGCAAATTACGACTCGGTAATGAATGCAGGAAGGACAATGATCAATGAGAATAAAGTGGAAGACCCGAAAAAACTGGAAGAGAGGCTCGATGACTTGCGCATGCGTTGGGAAGCCATCAGCGCCCTAGCTAACACTAAACAAGACAGGTAAGGCTTTTGAGTCGACTCAAAATAAGCAAATTTTGACATTTTTACCTTTTTAACAAAATTGCATACTGTTTGCAATAATTCCCTACAGCTAACAAACTTCTTCGTTTAATTCACCTTCTAGACTCGACAACGCTCTCGTTTTGGCGAAGGAGTTTGACACTGCCGTCAAGACGGAGTTACGCATATTGAAAGACTTCGAGGAGACGCTGAGGGAACTGGGTCCCATTGCCGACGACTTAGAGACTATTGCCGATCAACTGAGCGAACACAAGGTACGTGTGAAGTAACATGACACCTGACTCAGTCTTACCCACTATAACTTTTGCTAGAGTTAAGAAACTTTCAATTTTTAAAAGTTATCATACGATTAAATGCTCCAAATAAAAAAATTGTTTTTTCAACATTTGCCTTAGCTCTTTTTCCGATTGCGAAGCCTGCCTCTAATTATATAAAGATTTAGTCTAGGTCCGTTTATCTTGCTACGTTAACAATTCATTGAATTGGTTCCCACGGCAGGTTTTCCACGAAGAACTTATGGCAGAAGAAGTGAACGTTCAATCAGCCATCAAGAAGGGCCAAGTGATTGCACGATTCTGTCATCCAAGCGCGCTGCCAATCATACAGCAATGGATTGCAAGATTAAAGAAACGATGGGATGAGGTGACTTACTGAATTTGTACATTTGAAAACGGGCTTTAAGACAGAGCTATTTGCTATGAAACGGTCGTCAACAACATACTCCATGACTATGACTTCAGAAGGGCTTCCTTCATTAAACACGTTTTCCCTGTATATGTTGTAGTTCAATTTTATCCTTGGTTCAAATTTTATTTTCCTTTGTTTCAAACTCATTATCATACATTAACATGACCGAGAAACCTTTTAATGTACAATGTCAGTGGCAGGTGTCGTTGTCTTGTGAAGTCATCTACGCTGACAAATTTTGACCTTGACAAGTTTTTCCTTTTCAAGTCCCCTTTTTCAAAAACTAGCAAGTTAGGTTTTCAACAAAGTGATTTGACAAGGAAAATCTTGTCATATTGTTCAACCTTTGCTGCTAAGGAAATTTGTGTCTTTAGGCCAATTTGTTAAGGGAAACTTGTTAGTGTAAGTTGACTGTAACTTTTGCCTTAAGATGGGCAATAAACAGTTGTCTGGTTTTTTTTTCAGGTTCGCAAATGGTCAGTTCAAAGATTGACCCGCCTGGAGGAAGAACAATCCAAGCTGGCAGAGGAACAGAGCATGATGGAAGAACTGCTGCAGTGGATCGGAGAGAAGGAAGAAATCCTGATCGAAAAGGAAAATGAGCCTATCCCTGACGATGACTACGAGCAAGTCATGAAACTTCTGGAAGACCACAAAGGTTTCCAGGAAGAAATGGCGAAAAAACAACCAACCTACGACAGACTAACCAAGTCGGTCAAACGACGCGGTTCTGGAACGCCTGCCGCTGTTTCTGGTACCCCAGTTCAAACCCAGGCCACTCCGGACAAGCAAGGTCGGCGTGGAAGCAGAATCCCCAAACTAACCTCCAGTCCTTCTTCGTCCTTCACACGCGAACGGTCGCGTGAGAAGTTAACGCTGGTCACCAGCCCGGGTTCCTCGTTTACTCGGTCTGGTTCCACTACACTCGATAAAAATCATCCAGCTTTACTGCACTTGTCCAAACGATGGCAGCATTTGTGGCTTCTTTCGATGGAGAGGCTGCGACGTCTTCAGGAGAAGTTGGAACGAATTGCCATCGTAAGTGATTATTCAACGGTAGAACGTGACGAGTTACTCACGCATCACTCAGTTCACTTCCCCGCGAATAACGTTCATTCAGAGAAGTCTTTCCTGTCAACGGATTGCAACATTTACCCGCTTTCTTTTTCTTTTAACTGGCTGTTGGGACAGTGTGGGTCTCAGTGTGTCTGATTAAGTGGGTTGAAAATTTTCAATAGTATATATCTATATATAAATATGTTTTAATATTCAATTTCTTTCCTTCTGCAGAGACAAGCCTCGGCGAAGTTTGACTTCAACGAGTGGAAGAGTAGGGTAAGTTTAACAAAAAGAATATGAGCAATCTGGTGTTGTGATGTCTTCTTTTCCAAGATAAGCGCGTGTAACATTCCATTTATTTCGCGCCTTATTATTGTGATGATTCTCTTCTTCTTTTTGCGCACAGTTTAACAAGTGGCTGCGTGATAGCAAGTCACGCGTGCTCGACATCTTTCGCCGCATGGATCAAGATCGAGATGGCAAGCTGACCAGAGAGCAGTTTATCTCAGGAGTACTTAGCACAAGTAAGTGTTGCATGTTGTTCCACCTTAACCTGTTGACGTACTTATCCAGCTGGGCGTGACATACTGTGTTACGTAAGCGAGACACGTGTGGAGTAACGCACCTTTTGTCTTTGTTTTATAGGTTTCCCAACAGAAAGATGGGAGATGGAAATAGTCGCCAGTAAATTTGAACGTGATGGACTAATCGACTACAAAGAATTCGTGGACTCGCTTAAGGATAAAAAACCAGTACGTACCACTTCCTTTCAGTTCAGCTAATGAAATTTAAATAAAAGGGAGGTTGTGGTAATTACCACTTCCATCTTCTCCTTCCATTGGGAGGCGCGGGATTTGAGGTCAGCGGGCGTGCTCTCTAAATAGAAAGTTCTCGCTTAGACCCCTGGATGGCTTATCGTGTTATGTTCTTGAAGAATACACTTTACCCGTAGACTTTATTTCTCCACCCAGTAATATAGAGGGGTGCGGGGATGCGCAGAGATGAGAGCGCTCGCCTTCCGCCACTCTGGCCCCGGTTCGATTCCTGGACCTGGTGTCACATGTGGGTTGAGTTTGTTTTTAGTTCTCGTCCTGGCTCCAAGGGTTTTTCTCAGGGTCCTCTGGTTTTCCTCCCTCCACTCAAATCGAAATTCTAAATTCTAATTCGACCTGGACTTGGTGGACATAAGAGCCATTTAATTCAACTAGCCCTTCGCCTTGAGCCACTGAAGCTAGGAAATGTTCTTGGAGGAAGGTTCTATTTCATTCAGCAGAAGTGTGTAGTAATAATTATTGGTGTAACACTTATTCTTGTTAGACTAAAAAGCCAGAGAAGCCCAAGACTGAAGCACAACAGATTCTGTCTGAAGTTGAGCGCCTGTGTCGCAAGTGCGGCGTGGCATTTGTCAAAGTGGCCGAGAACAAGTACAGGGTAAGGGCGCCCTTAAATGATTAAAAGATAATTTTCCAACCTCACAATTTCCTCACCATTCTTTCGATTTATTTTTGTGCTCAATTCGTCACAATGTCGCACCAAACTTCCCCTTCAGCATTGGACAGTTTGCTTAATACTACTACGGGCATTAATACAATTATGCGCAATCTGATTAGTCGTTTGCTCGTTTCGCATCGGATAGTACAATAGCGAAGTGGCGTGTAACATGATTTTGTAGATTTATATGATATTGTAAAGATGAAACAATTTTTAGTGTAATAGAAAAATCCGAGCCCCAGATGGGACTTGAACATATGATATTAAGAAGTAAATACGTATCTTTCTTTAATTACAACTTATTCAAGCGATTTAAGCGCAGCACCTCGTTAAGGAGAATTTTCCTCAAGACTGTGTTTATACACGAGTCATGTACGTTTGGCAACTTGATCCAACTTAACGCATAACTTGTCCTGTGACTGCGTTATGAGTAGTTTTCTATGCCCACTCCTGGAACTTGCCGCACATCGAAAATGAATTACCAATCACCTCTGCATGGTTGGTTTAAACTGCCTGTTTTTGTCATCTCTTACAGTTCGGTGACTCCCAGAAGTTGCGTCTTGTTCGTATCCTCCGCAGCACTGTCATGGTGCGAGTCGGAGGAGGTTGGGAGACACTGGAAGAATTCCTTCAAAAGAACGAACCCAGCAAAGGTAATTAAAAGCACTTTGACAAAAGGCGGAGAAACTTTTAACCTACCACAAATAAATACAGTTGTCACCGACAACAGACTTTTAAAGCATAACATCAGTTTCTCTATTCTCCATACTCTTCTCTTTACAATTTCTATAGTACTGAAAAGAAGAATCTGTTTGATAAATAGGGAGATGTTACATGTTAACCCCTTTCTGTCATATTTTCCCCTCAGCTGCTGGTCGAACAAATGTAGAACTTAGAGAACAATTGTCAAGACCTGAAGGCGTCACACAGACCATGGGAGCCTTCACAAGCAAACGACACTCGGAACACAAGTCAACGGTGGTCACGGATAAACCGCCCACGGGTCTCGGTCGAAAACCTAGGCTTGACGTTCCAAGTAGTGGTTATGGCATCCGTCGGGAGAAATCCGGCGAACTTCGGCCTCGTCGTGAAAAGTCGGGAGAACTTCGACCACCAAGTGGTCCGACCAAACAGAGAAGCGGAACAAATCTGAAGGGAACGGCCGAAAAGCCCCCCTCTGCGAAGAGACCTAGTGGCACATCAAGGGTTAGGAAAACTGATAGTCAAACATCGCTTGGCAGTACGGGATCGCTTGAGGATTCTTCGGAGGGCACTTCACCTCGGGTATCCTCGGGAATCCCATCAAGCCCAAGCAGCACCTCGTCCCGCGGGTCTCCGGATCGTCCAGGTTCGGCTGCGTCGAAGTCGGCCACTAGATCGACTGGAATGGCAAGAACCGGTAGTCGGGAAAATGTGCGAGGTAGCAGGGAGAGTCTTCATAAACCCATAGAAGGAACGCCGAAAAGTTCTGGGGTTTCTAAAAGTACAACAAGAAGCCCTGGAGCAACCAAGTTAAAGAACGGGGAAGAGAAGAAAGGTCCGAAGAAGTAAAGGGTAGTTAAAAAAAAAAACTTTTTTCAAATCATTTTTGTTTTTGGAGTGAAACGAAGCGAATTTGAATAGATAGAGCGAATTAATAGGTAGTCTTAAAATTAAAGTTTTTTTTGTCTTCATTAAGCTAGGAAATTATTTAATATAATGCTCTTAAGAGAGTCAAAGTTAATTATGTGGTATGATAATAGTTTCATTTAATTCGTTTATATGAAAAGCTAGCAACCACCACAGACATGCAATCGTTCTATCTCTTAAACATCATTTTTTCTAATTTTGCTAAAAAAAACCGTCATTTTTGTATTGGGAACTTTTTTATAAAACACTTCCATTTGCTCGCAGGCAATAAAAGCTTTTCATTGAGTGCATTACAATGCTCAGGTCATTTCGCCTGTAATATAGTTCTTTAGGAATGTGCGTGTAAACTAAGTTAAACATGTTTAGGACGATAATATTTCTTGAATAAGTGTAGAGTTTGTTTGTGAATCTTCAAGAAACTATTTAAGTAGAGATTAATATTGTCGATTTGCATATTTGCCATGAACTGTTACCATTTGAAGCCATTTAATACAGAGAGTACAGCTTCCAAACTCTCTCGATACAGTGGCTTGTATGTTTTTGTGAATGCTAAGTAAAAGCTGTGAACATTTTGTAAGAATTAAATTAAAGGTAATTTTCTGACTTTCGAATTTTATTTTTTTAGATAGCTTAGTCCAGAAATCAATTAATTGGGTCCCACTGACACGAGCAACTTTATCATGCACCTGTCAAAACAATGTTCTTAGTATACATATATGAAAGAATTCCTACTGTTTAATGGAATGCTACCAGAAGGCAAAGCAATTTCCACAACAGAACGAAACTAATGTGGCCCAGTTATCGAAAAGTCCCCCACAGCTCGGTAGATTGAGTAAACCGAGAGAAGGAGAAAACAAAAAACAAGCCGGGGCTCTTATCAATAAAGGGTCTTAGTTCATAAAGAAACTGTGGGGCTGAGTCGGTTGGGGGGGGGGGTATTACTAGAAATTAGGTTTTATCAACTGAGTTGATGATTTAAACTACCCACCGTAAAGCTGGCGTTTCGACCGTTAGATTGTCGTCAGAGTTATCTCTTAACCCCGTGGTTCAGCTGACACAAGCGCGCAATAGGTATTTGAGAGGCACTGAAGCCTCAGCAGAAAATGGAAGCTTTTTTTGTCGAAATTTTACCGTCAATTGAGTGACATTCTAAATTTCATAAGGATAAAGATAAACAAGTTTAGATTTCTCCCCGCTTTTCCTCTCGGCACGAATGAATAAAGAACGAAAAATTTGCAAATTGCACATTGGTCCTTGAGTAAAGCAGGGGGGAACAGGAAATTAACCATTTAACTCCCGCGATCTGATTGTTAATTCTCCCCTTTGGCAGCTACACACTTCCTTGTAAATTGGTTGCGAGAATTTGATGTTAAAGCAAGATAACTTCCACCTGATAAGTTTGAGTATTCTCATCACCTGTTTGCTGGATACTGTATGGATATTATAGGGAGAAGTTACATATTAATCACTTCTGGGAGTTGAAGGATTAAGATCGACCCTAATACTTATAAGGAAGAGGATTGGGGAAAAGGGAATAAACGCAAAGGAAAAGTGCTCCAGGACACGCAAAGATCCAAACAAAATAAGGGCCACGTGAACGACGATCAAAAGCTGCTTGGAGCTACCTTATGGTACTATTCGACTAGGGGACCAGTCCTTACATACTACCTTGGAGGGGTGGGGGATTTTTTTCTTTTATGGGGGGGGGGGATCATTTGGAATTAGGGGGAATGAAAGGGAATCAGTCGTCGCCTACAGAATATCAAAGGAGGACTACGGAAAATTTACTGCCATGACAATTAATTGCAATTAGTATAATTGCTCTGGTGATCATGGGTAAAGATGCGCGCGCTCTGATTGGTTGAGGATTGCGTCGTAAGAAATTTTTCTGATTGAATTAAATGAACCTATCACATTCTAGTGGAAACTGGCTCTTTATCTCAATACCTGTAATCAAAACAATGGAGATAGAATGGTTTCAACATCAAAACGAATATTTACAACAGAATTCGCAAGAACCCTAGCAATTATACTTAAACAATTATTTACTTCAGGCTCAGTGAAAATTGTTGAATAATCCCCGCGACTTCGTCTCGGAATTATTTAACAACATTTACTTCACCTTCGACGAAAAATTGTTAAATGTTAGAGGCGGACCATAGGAATATTGCGGGGGCCTTATAAGGGGATCAGGTAAGTTTTACCGTGATACAGCCAAAGTTCTCCAACCCCCCTCACCCCTCATAAAAACCGATCCCTACACGGTGTCCTTCTCCTCCTTTCCAACGAAGAGGTGTCCGACTTGGAATGTGTTTTTGTTAAAACGTACGTCATGAAAATGGTACATGAGGAGTTGTCATTAATTACTTTTGAGTAGTTATCCAACTTAAACCCACGAGTGTTCAGGTAGTATTTCCTTTTATGAGGACTAAAATCAACGAATTTTTTCTGAATTTTTAACTTCTCTTCGCCTTTCATTTCGAAAACGGAGCGTCTGAGTTTTTATAGGTTTACAACCATGCTGCCGGTCCGACGCGCAAAGTTCCATCGTGCATGGCACATCATCATCTCCGGCCATCGCAGTTAAGCAAGGAGTAGGGAAAACACTCTGACTACGTCTCGTGTTTCCCCTACACTTCTTTCATGGTGCTTTACAACAGAGCAATGCATAGTTCTTTGTTTGTGAAGTAATAAGTCTTAATATGCTAGATGTGGCTCCCTGACCTCTACGTGGTGCTATGCTATGGAACACAAGCAGAAGAAAGCGCACGAGGCGGACACCTGCAGGTGAAGGGTTTTCTTTCACGCTCCTACACTTGTGCAAGTCCCGCCTCTCGCGATTTCCTCGACTCGTCTGAACAACACAAAAATGGGTAAATGTTCCACGGGTAGATGTGCCATAATTCGCCACCCTTGACAAGCCAACTGGGTGAATTAATTCTTCATATACCATGGTGATATAAAGATGGCACTCTAACAAAACACTTCGGCCGAACAAAGACCAAACGAAATTCAAAATTGAAATTGTTTTATGAGTTTGTTTGATTTTTCGTATTTTGTTCACGCCAAAAATCGCATTGCTGAACACCATCGACTAACGCTTTCGTCAAAGACTAACTCTGAAAAGCTAGTTTACCAACTGAAGACTACTCACAACAGATGACACCAAACATCGGCACGTTACACACCACTTAAAAAAACCAACGCAGTCGCCAACGGACTAAAAAATAACAAACTAACTAGTCAAAACTGACAAATCAACCGACGAACGATATTTGAGTATGACAGCCACTTTACTGCCAAACTGACCTATCACTTTTTACAAACCAAAGTTGTAACGTTCGACTTACAAAGTAAGTTTCTTTTTTTTTTTTTCATACACGAAGCAAGAATTAGTACAGTGCCATCTTAACTTATATCCCTTCAATACTTTGTTTCATCAGCTGAGTTCTGTTACCGTTTGGAAGCAATATATTTTAAGACTTTTTAAAATGCCTGGTCACTAGCTCTTTCGAGAAACTGATTGATAAGTTGAAATTTAAACTTATTAATAAGCCAGTTAAAATTGACTCCGCATGACGAAGAATGATAGAACTTTCACAATTCAAAGAAGGGTTTACTTGGTAGAAACTAAGATATGAATTGTTTCGAAAATCGTTGAAAAACGTTTACACATTGGTGTTGAATAGTAAACAATAAACAGTTATACCGTCTCCAGAGTCAAGTTCGAGTGGAATTAAATTTCTCGGTTTTTTTTTTATTTCTTTTGTTTTGATTTCTGTGACAAAATGATGTACCTGTGATATAATAACACCTAAAAGAATTAAAGTCTGAAAAAAAATTAAGAGATTGACGTTTTGAGTCAGGATTTCTTTTGAAAGAAACGAAACTTATAAGACTGTTTTATTTTTTTTAAGAGTGAAAGAGAAATTGGCAATTATTATTTAATTCTTTTTGCGCGAGATGCTGTTTGAATAATCTTTTGGCGGGAATTTTTATAGGAAGGCTTGTTAAAAATTTTGCCGAAATGTTCGCCAGGGAAAACTCTGTGCAAATTGATCCAAATTTTCCCGCCAAAAGTCTTAGTAAATGTATACGAAAATTTTTTTGTTAACACCTTTTTCTTACATTTATCAAAAATTACTTAATTAACTTGTGATTAAAGAGAATTTAAAACAATTAAAATACTTTGAACAAGAAACTTTTGTGGCTTATTGAGTTTACATTGAAAGACAATAAAAGATGAGACAAAAGATTGATCACTTGATCGATTTGTTTATTAATAGTTGATGATAACGATACATGAGAACAACAAGTAAATAAATATTCAGTTTATTAGCGATGTTGCTTATATTTGAAAAAAAAAAGATTGGCGCATGCGTATTTTGGGCGCCGTATTTTTTTCTTAGTCTTTTGGAGGGAAATTTCGCCACATTTGAACAGATGTTACTGACAGATTTCTTTAAAAAAAACGGCGCATGCGCCTTATAAGCGCCTGTAGTTTTTGGCGGAAAATTTTTTTATCTCAAAAAAACCCTTAACGCAGATTGAACCGACAAAAAAAATCACGAGATAGCAACTTTTTAGTCATTGGAATCTTAGTTCCGACTAGAAATAGAATTGAAAGAAATTCCCTCCGTTTGATTTGTACCTCTCAATAAATCTGTCTTTCTCTTGGATTAGTCTATCTCAAGGGCGTAGCCAGGGGGGTCCTGGGGTGCCCGTGACCCCCCCTTGGTAAGCCTTCTTTTGAGCAAGCAACCTACAATATTCAGGTGGTGAAAACGCCATGACAATATCTTGGCCTGCCCACTATACTCTCACTGCTCATCCCAAAACTATAACATGAAGTAAAACATGCACGGCGTGGAGGTCGACACAACAATCTGGTGAGTAGCCTCTGTAACCCCCCCCCCCTCCTTTGAAAAATCCTGGCTACGCCCCTATATCTAATTTGACTCGTGCTTGAAGTATCAGGGATATTCACCAGTCAGTCTGCAAAGAAATAAAGACAAATCTTAAATTAACAAATGCTCTAGAATTCAAACCTCTCTTTCTGAATTGATAATAGTAAAAGTAAAGTGTTGGTCTGTCGCAGAAACAACTATTCAGTTGTAATGTTAGAGGAGTCAATTTCAGTATTTAAATCTTTAAGCCGTCATGAAGGTAACCTGGATTTAACGACAAATTCAAAAAGAATCACTGAGGAATATTCTCATAAATTCAAGAAATTTTGTTGTAGCTGTTGTCGTCAAAACGACTTCAAGTTGGATTTTAGATTTTCGCCTGCCTGTTTTCAGGTATTAAACCGCATTTCATTTTGAGCCGAGAGTTTTAAATTTCATTCAAGCAACAACAAGAAATTAAGCTATGCTCGCCAGCAATTCCTCTGAGATCACGAAGGAGTCCTCGTGCAATAATTACATAATTTAGTTTCTGCTCGCTTGAATTGTATCTCAAAATGAAATCATTCGCGAAATCTCCTAAACACGCTGAGAATACTCAGGTCTACACTGTGCTGTAGGCATTATGCTCATTCTTCTTTCATTTAACTCTGTAAATTCCTTTTAACCGCCTCCCGGTTAGCTCAATGGATAGAGCGTTGGACTGTTGTGCGGGAGGTCGAGGGTTTAGGCCCCGGCTGGACCAACACTCAAGGTCTTAAAATAATTGAGAAGAATATGCTACCTTTCGATAACACCAAAAATGGTTAAATATTCTAGTCCTCTCGGATAGGGACGAATAAATGGAAGTCCCGTCTCCTACAGGGTTAGGGGTAGGAGACGTTCATTTCCCACGCACGAGATCACTGTGTGATGGATGTCCTCCCCTGGGGTGGGATGGGTGGGATTTATAAGGTGGACTACTCGCATGGTTCGCATAGGTTCCGTTCTGGTCCTACCCTACCCTACTGCGCTAATGCAGTGAAAAATGGTTAGAAAACAAGGGTCACAACGAGAAAGATGAACACTGTATTTCTATTCAAATGATGCATCTTTCCGTAGATTGTTTACCTGAGGAAATGTGGTGACAGAATTGAAAAACATGAATCCTCCACGTTGTACCTCTACTTTATCCAGGATAAGAAACACTCGCCGACCTGGACAGAACAGACAATATCCAAGGTAATAGGTTCAGAATTACTTGTTTCTTGACTCCATAGAAGTTAAGAAGACGCTCAAATTTCCTGTAGTTCGTAAGCTCTTTCCACGAGCAAGACTGAGCGAAAATATGAATAACAATTTGAAAAATTATTTGTAATTCAAATGAGTTTTCGAACTTCAGAAGGTGAGTTCAAAAAAATCGACGCTTAGTTGTTCAGTCTGATCCGACGAAGTAGGTAATGATGCCACGCTTTAAACAGATTTCCAACTCAAGGAAAGACTGTTCAACAGAGAGCTGCAAATAGCGTTGCGTGGTTGATCCGCCGTTCGGAGAACTCTCATTCCAGAGGCCGCTCAGCTGTGCTGTTCACAAATTATAAATTTTTAAGAAATTCACTTTTAAACACAGGTAATTAAACGATGATGAACAATTACCACTAGCATCCTGGTTTAAAATGGCATATAAGGTTACAACAAAGCTATACATAGGTATTTTTCACCTAATAGCGCCCGTGCACTTATTAAAAATTTCGGCGCTTGATCGAGGGGGGCGCCTATTATTCTCTTGTACTGATTCCACTATAGTTAACACTTAAAAAGTCATAAATAAAATGGCAATAGAAACAAGTTTTCCTTGTATCCTTATTATTAAAGAGAGCGAGGGAAGGATGGGGGGGAGGAAGTTTATTCGAAAGGAGTGGTTGTTTAACATTATGTCCTTAGGGGTGGGCGTACTTCTCAGAGCGCGGACGCTTATTAGAGGAAATACGATATGTACAAAAAGGGTACAGGAAAAGTAAAATTTGGCGAGAAAAGACGTAACCAAACTTAGAACTTAATATTGGGGAGTTCGATAGCAATCGATCTCGTTTTATAAATGGGTGCGCGCATTTCTTTTTCTGAGTAATTTGTAGGCTATGATCTGAAAAGTCCCTAGTACGCAGTATGATGACAGAGAATTCCCAGAATTCATACGAAAAATTAGCCGATTTGTTAACCGTACGAGAGATCCTTCAGATTCTTTTAAATACTAGGTAACGAAGTGTCACCTAAAAATCCTTCCAATAAGCAACCCTCAACAAACCTTTCTTATCCTACGACTGCTTGGAAACGTGCAGCACATATTATCGCGTCAGATTTGCGTACAAGACAGTTAGGGTCGATAATATTTAGCCGGATTTCGCAAGAAAAGACACATTTTTGTGCTCACTTTTCGTCTTTATGTTTACGTTACATGCTTGCTCGAAATTCTTCGGATAGACGCGCCGATTAATGAGAAATTAAAATTTTCTTTTTTTGTTTTGCGTCATGCAACATTGAACGAGTCCTCATGGCGTATCAACGGGCCTGCACTCTCTTTCTACATAAACTGTTCAAAGTTAATCCAATAACAGAAACAAGTAACGTCGAGTTACAGTCAACTAACTTTTCCTTAGAGTAGTGGTGAGGGCCTTTAAAGAGCATTTGAATGTTCTGCAAGTTTCGTAAGAAAATGCAATACAGGAAGGCTCTGGAAAGCGTATCTGATCAAACAACTATCTATTGTTGGAACTGCTGTTATCGTCGCTTTCAGACTTAGAAGCCCTTTCCTTTCCAGTTGAGTTTCTTACGGAAGTTTCCTCTTCGTTTGTAGTTTGATCAAGGATGGAGCCAAAGGAAGTTTAAAACCACCTTCGTGACTTTATCGTTCAGCCTGACACAACAAACGCTATTTTGAATTATGTTGATCTCTCCGTGTCCTTAAGAAAAAATTGCCGCCTTTGTCCCGGGGTCTGAGTGAAAATCAGGATCCCTTATTGGATGTCAAAACAAAATTTTCTACAGTCAACGGTGTTGGTTTAGTTACATTTTATTTGTAATTGCCATTTACTCAATAAGTGGCAACACAGCAACAGGCTCATAATAAACCAGAACAAATCAAGTTGTATAAGCACTTTCAATAATGAGTTGAAATAATGTGTCATTCTTGGGAATGAAGTCTACCAACAGGTTAAGTACCAAGGTGGGAAGCTTTACATAACTACTATTTATTCCCTGGGGGTGTCCACTAACTTCCTCCAGGGTTTCTGTCCCTTTTCTTTTTCTTTGGGTTTGCCACCCATCGGCCACGTTTGAGGTTTTGGGTTTGAGTCTGCTTATCAAGTTTTGCCGGAAAGTTCGCTGATCTCCCAGTAGAGGTGTGTTACTGCAACCACAGCTATTTAGTATCTTATAGAGGAATCCTGCGTCCACGATGCCTTTAACCTCCATAATTATCTTGCAGTTTTTGTTCCGGGCAGCGAATCTATTGATAACAATGACGCTAGGATTAGTCTTAAGAGGAGACTTGAGAACTTTCAACATTTCCCACGAAGTCACCCCTGGAAGATCTACGAGAGTGAGACAATTTCCTGTACCAAGAGGTTCTTGAAGATATCAGCTACTGTTATGGGGGATGGACACTTGGGTCTAGCCAGGACATAAAATACGACTTAGCTTGCTTAAAGCGTTATACAGATAAAGTTATTAGAAGACCTGGAGGACCCCCTCTTTCAAACGAGGCAAGGCCCCCTTGACTAAATTTTGAATATTTTGACTCTATCACTTGCATTTTGAGGTCTATTCCAACTTCTATCGCTTTTCTTGCTAACATTCAACCAATTTGAAGAGAATTACACATAACTGCATGTGTGGAGTAAAATGACGTTTGTAGAACGGCTTCAAGAGCTTAGCCAGCGCAGCACAAGCGGGTAGATCTACCTGCCACCCTGCTGCTTTTGAAATCCCTGAATATGAATTACAATTAAAATCATTTTATTACTTGTTGCAAATTAAGTAATTCTCATCAACACTACAACACAACGCATCCATCTAAAAGCCTTGAGTTCATGCACATAGGTTCAGAAAATGACAAAAATCAACACAATCTTTAACCTAAAAATCCATGAATTCTTCCCTTGAACATGTCTTCTTCCTGTACTCTGTATTCGTTTCTCTTTGGATATAACTCGTGTTCATCGCTTAGAAATCACCTTTATACGTTTCACTATGCAAAAAAAGAATCACAAAAAATTACAATCGTGTGATCATTAGGCAATTCTACTTATATTCTTCCAATACTGGAGGTGGCAAATCTAAATCTTGAAGCAACAGGAAGGCCCCCTGGGGGATCGGAGGGGGGGACTGGCACCGTTCTACATTCCCAGCACTTTAAACCATGACCACTTCAAAATATAATTGTTCATTTCCACATGAACACAGTTTGTTATCGTTTAGTTGACACAACTTAAACCCGATTTTATTTCATCAACTCCATTTTACTCTTATTCACAATAATTAATTGAAGCAATTAACCTTAATTTAAGGTTCACTTTAGAATTTCCAAGCCTAAACAACAAATTTTCTGGTACATGAAATTGCCAGAGCCAACCAGATTTATCACTCTGACTGAATTTGTTTAAGTTTGATTTTACTCTTACAATAATTATAATGATCATGTATCACTGCGCTGAACCCTTTAAACCCGCACATCAGTTTGCATTTATTCTCCACACTGTTCCATCCATCTCCTATGGAACTGACAAAGAGAATTTAACAGTAAAGAGCTTCTTTAGATGGTAATTTCCTTTATTCTCATGACCTTAATGTGTGATTTGGCAGTGATACTGAGAAGGAAAAATTAGATGCTAGTCATTCTTCAAGGTCCAAGAGTTAAAAATAGTTCAAGCTCCATTAACATAACTTTGACAGCAGTGATAGCTATAAGGAGGACAAAATGGGGAAATCAGTCATTCCAATCATCTATTAATGGTAAAAGGGGATTCATCTGCACTTCAAAGTTAACTGAATTTATTTTGTTGTTACATTAACCCAAGAGTAAATAAATAAAATAGTAAAGTTACCTTTCAGATTATTACCCAGCATCAAAGAAGTCTTCCTCAAGCGTCATTGCTTTCTCAAAAGCTTACTGTTGAGTCCATATTTATCTTGATTTCTTCTAATTACTGTGAAGTGTTTAAGTTGCCCTGCTTGTTTTTAAGGATTTTTGCGGTTTTCTTTTTTGCTTGGCAGTTAGAAGCCATAAATTAAATATTATTTCAATAGTTTCTTACTGGTTATTGTTTGCACCCCTCTTGGAATTGCATTAAGGTATGAATTCCAAGTGCAAAGACAAGCACTGTGGTCTCCTGCTTAGACGTTTTAACTAAAATCATTTACAAGGTAAAATTGATGGTATCATGATACCAAACGAATATCATCTGGTTATTTCTGAAAAGTTGGAAAACAACAGTCAATGTACGGTTCATGACCATGGTCAATCAAACAAACAACATGGGTGTTTGTGTTTCTTTTACAGTTTAAATCTCACTTTTACTATCACGTGCATGAAAACAGAAACCAAATACAGCTAGATGAAGAAAAAAAGTGTTGAAACAACAGAAATGCCCTGTTCCAAGGTAGTAAGCTTATCGAACTATCCCATACTTTTGACACTTCCACACAGAATCACTTCACATAACAATTCTAGGTACACAGACAAAATTTAAAGTAAGGCATTAGAGAGTTCAGTTGATTACAAAACCAACATTTTATTGATAGATAAAACAAAAAATAAACTAGAAAACTTATCTTCAAAAGCAGATTTTTGTGGACACAGGTTACATGAAAAGCAGTTACAAAACACATGCAATGTACTGTATGTATAAAAATAGCTGTAAAAGCATCATTTATGTGAAAATAAAGTCAAACATTTTGGGTGTAGATAGTTCATCAAAAAATATTCACATTATTAGGATGCCTTCTTCAGATACACTGTTGAACATTTAAACCATGTTTTACATGTCAATTCATAAATGTTCTAATGCAGTGTTAAAATTTAGGAACCCGACATTCACATTATTTTAGAAAATATTTAAGGAACAAGTCACAAATTAATGAAGCAGTTACTTCTAAAAGGAAGGAAGTTGGCAGTGCTTATAAAACAACAACAAAAAATACAAACATCTCAATGTTTAAAAGATAACAATAAAGACAAAACTCTAAAAATACTTACATTCAAAGGTGTTTATCACACTTTGGTAATTTCTCTATTTTGAAAGTTAAATGTTTACAGCAACAGATCACATCACAAAGTTAATTCTTCTGCAAGTTTAGATATGTGCGGGAAATGTTTATGGGATATGAGCCTCTTGTTTTGTTTAAGCAAAGTTGTGAAAACATTATCAAGTTCAGGATTACCAGTAAGCACTGTTCTTTACACTTATTACAATCCACTAAGTCTCAATTTATTGATTTTTGACTGTTATAGGCAATTACACTGGAAAAAAAAAAAACAAAACAAACTGTTTAGCAATGTTTATCACTTTATTGAGTTCATCAATGACAACTAGATTAAACTGTTTAGATTTAACATACATAGCTAAAAAGAAAAAGGAATACCTCATATTTAACCCTTTAAAGTGGTTAACCATGCTTTGCAGTTTCAGATGTTTGTAAACTTATCCCCACAATGGACAGGTGTTTAGTACTATTTTAAACATTACAAATACGTCCCTGAAATTGACAGTCATAAATTTAGGGGCTATGTTTAATTTAGGTTTATGGGGAAATTTTACCATGAGCATTACTGGAATACATACATGTTCTGGTTAGATTCAATAATAAACAAATTTGGAATGTTATTACAGCTTTGGGTAACTAAACAAAAAGGTAACTTGGTTACGATGAATATATGAAAGTTCATATATTCTTGGTTAGTTAGTAACTTGGTTAGTCTTTATCAAAAGATTTGTTTTAAAGTTTTTTTTTTAATTAACGCTTAGAATACTGCTTGTATGCTTTTGTATTCCTGGGAATTTGATTTATCTGAAGGCTCCATACAAAAATTTTTCCTCTTGATCTTAGGGAAAATTAAAATTATTTATAACAGTTAACAAGAAACTTATCAAAATATCTGCACCAAAAGAAAGTGAAATAATGAACACCAGTTTCTTGTAATAAGAAATCAGGTGAACATACATAATGGTTTCCGAGAAATTTATCAAAACAGTATCAGTAAGCTTCACTCTTCAAATCAGAAGCTATTGAAAATAAGTATAATTTGTTAACTACTTTAATAAGGGAATGTGGCTTCACGAACAATTTTCTTCACAGTACGAGCTGGTGGTGCCTTGAAAGTTGCAGGTGAGTTTGCAGGAACTCTTGTTGGAGCTAAAATAAGAATTTATGTAAGTTTAACATTAACAACTTAAAAAGTTAATTAAGAAACTGGAATTAACCTAAGAATAGCTGTAAATGAAATTTATTACAAATAGGGAAAGTAAAGAGTTACACTTTAAGGCACTAACAAAGACTAATTCATCATTGCTTTAACCTTTGAAAATATTACCACCGTCAAAATAAACTTCCTTTCAATGGACCAGTGTAACTCTTCAGATTTTAAACTCTTTAGTATGTAAAAGTTAACTTACAAAATAAAAAGCAGGCAAACTTTTTTATTGGAAATAATATTCTGATCTTATTGTGCACACAGAAACAATTTCAGGAAATCTTGCATCAAAGAAATCACAGTACTCAGGTTTACAAAAAATATAAGTATGAATTAATATTTAATCTCACTATGACAAAGAGCTAGTTTAGCAAAACAAATTCCAAAACAATCTACACACAAGATGCTTAATGGTTAGACTTTCTTTTCATTTTTAAAGGGAAAAAGGACCCTTTAAACAAGTAATATTTTTTTTTTTACAATTTCACTAACTAAACTGTAATTTTTGCAATAAAGCTTTTAAGGTAGTCAGTTTTTATGACCATAAATCCAGTTTTTGCTTGTTTTCAAAAGTATTTTTTTTATCCATAAATGGGGCTTGACAGAGGAAACAAATATTGACAGGATGTAGCACTTACCTGCAAAAGTTGCATCAAAGACTTCTCCTGGCTGGCCATATTCATAATATACTGCCTCACTGTTGATTCATACAATGTACAGGTGTGCTTAACCCAAAGCCCATAAAAACCAGGGGCCCATTCCTCGAAAGTCGCAGTAACTTAATAGGCCCTAAGCCTTGTTTTAAAATCAAAATTTAAAGGATAGGAGAGCAGGTTCTGGCTCCCAAACCAGTCCTTTTCGTTTCTTTAGGTGGTAGTTTTATAGCATCATTTTCAAAACTTTTGAAATCCTTATCATGAATGAAAACAGAACAGCTTTACGAGCCCGTTAAGTTACCAGGACTCTCAAGAAACGGGCCCCTGGCATGGGTTGTTCCGAGGATTGATACCACTCTCTACCAGATAACTCGCTTTTTAGTGGAAAGTGCAATACATTTTAACTCTTATCCTTTGAATAGGGTTATCCACTCTTTGAACACCTTTGGCATAATGCTGAGAAAACAGCTCTTTGCAAATAGTTCGGTGTCTTCCTTTGAAATTAACTTGATCACTATCACTGATCCCATACATCTCGAAGGAGCATACCTCTATAATTATTATGTGATTTTAAGCTTATAAAAACCTTTGGTTCCAAAGAAGAGATTGCAAAATGACTGACAGCTATCGTGTTTTTAGTTAACCTAATGGTTCATTTGTGGGCAAATGGCTTAGAAAATCTGAGCATCAAGAGATCCATGGCAAATTTAATCAGACATGACATATATGGGTACTGTTTCCTCAACAAAAACCACTGCTGCTTCATCACTTCTAAGAAAATCAAGTGATCTCAACAGATGTCTATCTGGTACCATGGTCAAAAAATAATTCCACAGATGTCCTCATTTTCAGAAATTTTCCTTTAGAACTTAAAATAATGCTCTGCACTGTTAATCAAAATTCCACAAATATTTAACTGGATTCATTAGCTAAAGTCACCTTTCTTTTACTTTGCAATTCATGAGATTTTGAGACTATAGGTTGACCTAAGTGCTTACCCGTGTTCAGGGTAGGCTGCTTCAAATTCATAGCCTGGCTCATAAGACTCATAGCCCTGGAAAAAAGGCAATTGAACAAGATGAATATATTTAAAACCACTGTTTCATTCAGACATTGAAACTTCTGTTCATGCAGTAATTCCAATTGTTTTAATTTTAACTTTCTAGCATGATGATTTTATCTATTTAACAGCTTCCTTTGTGAGAATGTTTTAACTTTAAGGTTATTGCATTTAAATGTAAAGTAGAGTGAGATTTGGTTTACGTTATTGTGAATATCTAGTGGAAAATTACTGATAGGCCACGCGGGTAATTAAGGAACTGTAATATGAAAAGGGCATGGTTACAACTCTACCTGAAAACTGTTCACAGAGACTGAATTGGAAGTGATGATGTAAAATATGGTTTAGTTTAATTCCACCAGGCAATCATGAAGTGTGATCATATGAGTGAGGGAAGTCCTGAAAAGGACTTTTGTCCATAATAGTGACTCATGTTTTCTCCTTTGAAAACACTTCTGCTGAGGTTCAAAATTTCATTCATCAAAACCCATTCATTGGCTTAATCTGTTGCTCACTGGACAATGAAGTAAAATGTCCAGGTTGGGGCCTTTGCTATGTCACTGCGTTATGTTCTTGGGGCAGATAACACTTTCAGAGTGCCTCTCTAAAGTATCATGAAGAACCAGCAGAAAGTCACCAAAATAAGTAACCCTAAGGATAACCCTAAAATGAACTGCCATCCCCTAAGAAAAGGTAGTTCCATGCTACTGAAATCAAGATGTGCTGGCTTTTACATGGGAACTTTTCTAGAACTCCCCTCCACCAAAAGATCACACTACATTATACACTGATACTACAGTAATAACTGTGTTGATTTAACCAATTGTAAATTTATTATCAAGGCTCCTTTACCCATGAGCACTTACAATCACTTGTTCTCCAGTAGTCAGCAGTTGTACCCCAACTGATGCAGGAAGTGTGTGCACTGCCTAGCAGATTTAAGTGCACAAGTAAAGGTATTTCAGGCAAACAGTTTTAAGTGCAGTTAAAAAAAATATTTAAAGGGCTTTCATGGAATAAACTGTGGTGTACACCATAAAATTGATGTGTCATTTCATCTAAAGTGGTCTATTTTGGTTTAACACGGCTTAACATTGTTAATATTACAAATTAGAGTGCAGCAACACTGCAATTACTACATTTAATTTCCCTTATTTAACTTCATTTTTAACTTTTAGACAGGATTATGATGATTGACAACAAGCAGAAGTTGCTTAATTTCATGCTAGTTCAGTCTTTTTGCTTTTTCTTTTGTGATTTTGTAATCTCACTGCCCCAGAAGAGACTGCTGCCCTCTTTGGTTTTTTCGTTTACAGTGCCTAGCCTAAAATACCACGACCAAGTGTTTCAATTATTCCTTCATGTACTTCTTTTACAGTTATTTTAGTTAATAATTTATTTCAGGTCCTGAAATAATGTAATATTTCTAAAAATAAATATATATCCACTTACTCCATATGGATCCCCTGGTACTGCAGCTGCTCTTGGAGCTGCATGGGCTACAGTGGGTGATGATGGGCCTAGTCCTGCTGCAGAACGTGCTGCTGACACACTCACATGTCCTACAGCTGGTCCTCTCGGTCTTGCAATGGTAGTTGTGCGTGGAACTGGGCTTCCTCGTCCATGATGAGCTGGGTGGTGTAAGTGATGTGGAACTCCCCTGGGATGGGGGCGTCCCCGAGGAACAGGTGCAGGAACTGCAACTGGAGCAGCTGCAGGAACTGGTTCCTCCATGCCATTAAGTATTGCCATTTCTCTCATCTGTTCCTGATGGATTTCATCATTATTTTCCTACAAAGTAGTAAAAAAACAAACTAATCAAAACTAAGACTTGTGTGAAGGCTTAAAACTGCAACAGCAAGATTTAAAACTTAAGACTACCTGCAAATCTCATTGTGGAACAACTGGATGGGTTGTGGGGATTGTTAGCAATAAAACATATTACTTTTTTTTATGAGTAGATAAACAAATGAACTGGCAAAGCAAAATACATTGCAAAACAACATAGAGATACATGAACAAATACATACAGAGCAACAAGAAAAGACCAGTATTCAGTAATAAAAAGTAACTAACCATACATTGGGTAAAAATGTACACTGTTCTGCATAGCAAATTGCAAGTTTTTCATCTCTTTGCATATTTATTGATACATGTATTTTGATGTTTGTTGTCTTTAAATCAGGAAGAACAAAAAAGTGTCCCTTCAACTTAGCATATAAATGCAGGCAATTTTTACTGAATAACTATGTAAATAAGAGCATACTTACAGGTACCAAAAATTTCTTAATCTCTTCAATAGCAAGGCCTAATCTAGCATGAGCTTGGCCTGGGGGAGCTTCAACTTCAATTAGCACATGGAGATCTTCTTCAAGGTGTGCATATTTTGCATCACCAGAACCTCTCAGTTCTTCCTCCTGTATTGAACATTAGCATAATTTCAGAGCTGAACAAAGAGTTTCCAGCAATCTGATTGGTCGAGCAGTTCCTTATATGACGCTATATAAACCGCTCCGCGTGGTTTATATAAAATGTTAAAATAAAATGTAAATAAATGTTACTAAAATGTTATGATTTTAGAAATTTCTCTGTTGTTCAGCTCTGAAATTATACTAAAAAAATTATTCGCCGAAGGCGAGGTGAATATCGTCGAATAATCCCCTTGACTTCGTCTCGGGGATTATTCGACGATATTCACCTCACCTTCGGTGAATAATTGTTAATTATCACTATTTTTAAGCCCTATAATTGTGCATTCTTGTTTGAAATGTACAGTATGAATCCGTAGCACAGTAGACATGTACAAATGTGTCACATGCCAAGAAAATATAAAAAATTAGAATGAACTTCCAAATTCAATTAAAATCATTTATTTGCACAGAAAATGAACCTCTACAACAAAATTACAACATATTGACCTATTTGGGAATTAACTGGAGCAATTTCTGTAGTACCCAGAATGTATTGCAGTCCCACCCATTTTACGTTTTTTACAATATCATGTCTCGTTTTTTTCGGCAATTCTGGCCTTATTTTTTTCATACATTGTTTTTTTTTTTTACATTCTTTTCTTCTCCTTTTGGTTTTCTCTCCATTTCCTCATAGATTCTGTTTTGTCTTCACACTTCATCGCCAGACAGCCATTCTTACACACTGATTATGCCAGATGATTTCAAGCTAAAACTCAGGTGTACGCAACGTTTTCTCATGTGTTTTTTACTAGTTGCATAACATTGAGCTTCCAAAAACTTCTTGAGTGGTTACCAAGGCTGTTTTGAAGCATTCGATCATTGTTCAAGGAACTGAAATGGCGGTCAAAGACCACGAAATAGATGCTTGTCTTCGAGGTTGATGTTGCTGAATGAAACCCTTCATGAAACATTTCAAAACGTTTGGGATTTAGTAAATTGGTTCTAGCACATGCAATTTGTTATATATTAAAATGAAAATTGCTATTTTCAATCGTTGTGAGTTGAGAATGACACTTGAAAGGAAATCAGGAAGGTCAGTTTCACTCTTTGCGTGTGGAGGGTACTTACATTTTGCCTTTCTTGCAAAAATGAAGTGTAAACATGGCACGTTTCAGAGTGTTTGGGAATCAGACATTTGCTTCATTCTCTGGATGGCAAAAAGGAATTAAGCCAAAATTTTCAGGATTGACTGTTCGAAAGGTGAGCATTCCAATTATCGAGGCTATTTGAACTTTGAAGCAATTTACATTTTGAAATGTTGGATGCATTTCTGACTTAGTGGATTGAAAGGTACAGCGTGATGCTAGTACACTGGTTCAAGGAATCTAATTTTTCTCCAAAATCGCTTTTCCTGAGAAATTTTGACCTATGCGCCCGAAATCTATGAATAATTTTGATTAATAAGGATCTTAGTTCTGCTTTAATCTATTATGGTTAAGCCTGAAATGTTACCAAAATGATAATTTTCTGTGTGTGAATGTTACACGTGACGGTGCTTGTCTCCATGACAGTGAAGCAAAGTCATTATTTTCCCTTTCACTTCCAATATCTTATCAGCAATTCTCCTTACAGTCTGCCATTCAATTCTTATGATGCTAATTCTGAGAATTTGGTTTTGGATCAATTAATAATCCCCTAGTTGATTTTTTCCCTTTATTTTCTACACTTATCTGCTTAATATTGTATTCATATTATAAGGAAAAATTCTGTCTTGGTCACTCATGGGAATAACAGGGTTACAGCCAAGTGGAGAGTTGTGTGCAGCTGAAATACTTAAGCCTTGAGTGTGTTATGCAGATTGGTTAAGTTTTGGCACGTTATTTTCATTTTTGACCAATATTGAATGGTCACTTTCTATCAGCTAGTTAAGTTACAAATAGGTTTCTTTGGCTCATATTTCATGAATTGGTCTATTGGATAGTGCTGCAAGTTGTTGGAGAGAAATCTGTCTGAAATCTGTTTTCCACTTCATAATGATAGGCAGTATAATCACTAAATGCAGGGGTTTCAATCAAAGTCAGTCATTAGCAGTCTACTGCTGCCTTAAAGACCTCTTACTTCTGTCTGTTTAGCTTGCAAGCAAGCTTGCATTTGGGTTTTGCTGCCCATAACACCACTGGCAGCTGCTTTGGATAAAGTTATTGAAACTCCTGTGAATGTACTGTACCAGAATGTTTCCCTATTAAATAAAGTAACATGATGACCTAAGTCTACTACGAGTCTACTGACCTTTTCCTTGTCTCGCATGGAACCTTTACCAAGAATTGACATCTTGGTGCCTGTACTAGCTTGAAGACGCTTAAAGGTGTTACCTCTTGGACCAAGCAACTTTCCAACAAAATTGAACTAAGGCAATGGGAAAAAACAACAAATAATACAAACCCAGCTTTAGATACAATGCATAAAACTACAAAGTGTGATGATGATAAAAGACAACATTTGATCCAACATGTCAAATTAGGATTCAACGGCCTTACATTAAGAAGAAAGAAAATTCACCTTGGGGTATTCTTTTACTGGAATGAAGACCTTTTCCATCAATTTGGTGGGCTGATAAAGCTTACTGTCAAAGACATCTGCAGGTCTACGGAAGTGATGTGTCTGAGGGGGAGGTCTGGTTACTGCTGGCACCTCTGGGCTTTCAGGAGCAGGCACTTGGCTACTAGCAGGTACATTCTCTGACACAGGTGATAAAGCATTCCCATTACTTGTTTTCTCAACTTTGGGTTTTTTTAACGCTTGCACTGCTGTAAGTGCTCCCCCAGTTTGTACTTTGTTGATTTCTGTCAAATAATTCAAGACAAATGTAGTGTTTATTGACTGATGAACAATGCAGGATCTTAAAAATGGTTTAGCTTTGGCTCAGAGTAAATTTCTACGAGGTGCATGATGAAACAACAGTGTTTATATTTGTGAGCATGAACATGTTTTAGGCCCAAAACATATTTATTCCCAAGAACATTAACTGTATAGCTAGTACCACTTTTGAGGGCAATGAGAAAATAAGAACTGAAATGATGATGACAAAACAGTTTGAACAATCATGCAAGCAAACAAGCAGGCTAAAATGCCGAAATCTCCATTCTTGCCTGCAAAATGCACCTCACTGCCAG